AAATTTGTAGAACAAGGAGTTATCAATTTTTAAAAATATACACTTGAGATTTTGATACTTTTTGAAGGAGATTTCAAGTTTAAGAAGCTTTCAGAAACATTGGAACTCTTCGAAACCTGCATAAAAAACTTATCGAAATTCTATTAGGTAGTTAAATTACTGAGTACAAAATTGTCGTCCAGAATTTTAAAATAAATTCCCAGAGCGGAGAAATGATTAAAAATGTGTAGATTTTTGCCGTTTTGGTCATATATCATGTTACGCTAATTAAAAATTGATGCGATCCTGCCTCAGAAATTTTGGTGTAATGTAATGGTGACGCTAATTTTGGGGGAAACTATTACTCAAAAATTTTTATGTTTCCGAAATCCCTAAATTTGTGCAGGTTTCATATCTGTAAAATCTGCTTCATCAAAAATAAAAGCTAACCTGCCCTACGAAATGGTTGCTTACAAGGCTAATTTTGTATGAAATTAGTGCATAGAAAATCGCGTGGGCCCGAAATTCGTGCAGGTTCCCGAAGAGACGGGAGAAAGAAATATATTATAAAAAAAGTTTGCTTCTTCGCCGGCTTTCTCTCTTCTCTCGAGGCGGAATTAAGCCAATTACGCCAAGAGAAAGAAAAAAGTTGGCCAGACAAGAATGGCAGAGGACGAAGACGACGACTTAAGTTGGCGTCGCCATCATATCCTCGCCATCACCAGGGACCGCGGAAGCAGTAGGTGGGGACATTGGGGACGTCAACATTGTAGGTTGAGGGGTTTATATAAGATGGGGAGATGCTGATTCGGACATCGAATAACTGTGGGGACATTGTCCCTCTGACCCCACACGCTTCCGCGGCCACTGTGAAGAGGACTTTGCTAATAGAAGAAGGAGAATTCAGTGGCCGCGGAAGGGGTGGGGACATCGGGGGACGCTAACATTATAGGATGGGGGGAAGGGACGCGGTTATATAAGATGGGCAGACGATGCAGACATCGGACAATCGTGGGGATACATTGATCCTCTGTCCCTGCACTTTCTCCGCGGCCACTGCACATCCTCCCTTTACGTATGCTTCCTTAGTGGCCGCGGAAGCCGTGGGGACATTTCCATTGCAGGATAGGGAAGGTCGAGGTTTGTATAAGATGAGCAGAAGATGATGCGGACCTCGAACAACCGTGGGGACATTGCCCCTCTGTCCCTACACTTGCTCCGCGGCCACTGGGGACATATGTACACATAGGGATATATATGCTAGGCGGTGGTGGTGGTGGTAATCGTCGTGCTGAGTTGTTGCCACCATTAGTGCGGAGTTTGGTGGAAATTAAATTAAATTTTCTCCCCTCTCTCTGGCTCTCTTCTTAGTCTGCTTGTAATGGAGGACGGAAATTGGGAACAAGTGGATTAAAGTACGAATTAGAATGAGTTTGAGCAGCCCATTAACTTTTCTTCTCCGCTTTCTTTCTCTTTCCCCACTTTCTCTCTTCTTATCCCGGGTATTTAGGAAGGAAGCGAGCAGTTGAGTTATTTCGGAGAGAGGAAGAGAGGGGTGCATGTGGATGTGGGTGGGACCAGAGAGAGAGAGATCAGACCCTCCTACTTACGATGGAAAAAGAGACAGACACACACTTAATAATGGGGGGGCAAAATTGGGATAAAATTTTCCAACATTTCTTAGCAATTTTTTTCATGCAAATTTCAATTTTTTGAAAAGTCGTCCCGAGACACGCTTAATAATTTTGGAACAGGATTTTCTAAAATTTATTGGCACGTGGCAATCAGTTTTTTCAAGTACGAAAGTACAAAGCATGTCTTTTTCGTCATTATTGTAAAAAATTGAAATTTAGTAATTATTCTGATTTTGTATATAAGCATCTAATTTACATAAGGGTAAAAGAAAAACTTGGTAAGTTTGACCTTGTGGGTCGAAAGGTCAAAATAGGTCGTTTCATTACAACTTTTACTTTATACATATGTAGAGTTTACGCATTATTTAGAGTGAATCCGCTTTCTTAACTGTCCAAAAATCCCCCAATTTTCGGCATCAATGACTTAACTTCTAGACTACATGTGAGGGCTCCCGGGGTCACGATATGCATCCAGCAGTAACCCACCCACCCTTACCAAAAACTTATCAAAGACAAACAAATTTTTTCTCTGTATTTAAGCGAGAATTGCATACGAAATCGTTGTTCAGTTCAGCTCCAGACATTCTCTCTCACTCAGGACACGCCAACTCCATAATGTGAGACGCTGTGATCATGATTTTTTTTCCTGTCCGGAGGTTGGTGTAGCACAGGAAGTAGTTGGTTGGTCGGGCTTCCCGAGCGGGGGAGGAGTCGGTCGGAGGAGAAAAGAATAGGAGAGAGATCTTCTCCTTCTGCGACTAAATTTACGGTCATTAGGCAAGATTGAGGATTATCTTGGAAATTACGCCATACATTTTATACCAAAGTTGGTCTCGCACAGGGAGACACCACGTGTCACATGAGAATAATTTGAAATCAAACCCACTCCCAATTTTATACCCCCGTCCCCCCAAGAGAAGAAGACATTGTCCTGTTTTGCGCCACGTGACCACCACCACGTGTCACATGACAATAGTTTTGCATAAAACCCACTCCCAATTTTATTCCCCTCTCCCCCCAAGTTGTCCTTCTTGCCCCACGTGTCACATGACCACTGCAATTTTACCCCCCAATTTAATATCCCTAACTCTCTCTCTCTCCAAACAGAAACAGGAACACAATGTCCCGAACATTGTCCTTTTTTGCTCCTTCCGTTGAGACGAGATGATGATGATGATGATGATTCGGATGATGATTTCGGCAGCGGAGGAGGAGGAGGACGCCTGACTCGTGATGGGAGAGAGAAAGAGAAAGAAAGAAAGAAACGCATTTGGGGAATTAGCTCCCAAATCAACGACTCCAAACGACCCACTAACTGAAGGATGAGCTCAACGACCAGATTAAAGTCATCTCCACCAAAGAAGAAGAAGAAGACGACGACAATGACGATGACGACGACCAGGATTTTTACTCTATTGTCGCCTAAATTGCATCTCATAATCTACACTAATGATTAAAAATCTTCATAAAAATGGTATTACCAAACTAAAGATATGTCCGTTTTGAAACCAAAATTTCATAAAAGAGGAGGCCAAAATTGTTTCAAAATCGTGTCTTAATAAGAATCCTTTAGTAAAACGTGCATGTTTAAGAAGAGGAGAGGAGGATGAGGCAAAGTGAGACTTTTCATTAAAAAGACGCCATCCTCGCGTTCTCTCCCCATTGAATTGAACAAGGCTAATTTTGACGATTATCTACTTTAATTTGGGAGAAAGAGAAAAGAGGGATCAGAAACGTGCGACATTTCTGAAGAGAAAGAAAGGAAACTTTGTGTCTGTCCGGGAAGACCAGTGGCCGCGGAAGTGGTGCATGGGGACATTGCCATTGTAGGATAGGGGAGGCACGGGTTGATATAAGATGATGCGGACATGGAACAACCGTGGGGACACATTATCACATTATCCCCCACACCCTTCCGCGGCCACTGGGAGAGAGAGCGAGATGGAGAGAGTGATTGGGGAGTCGTAAAAAAATCCTCGACTTTCTCCGTGAAGAAGAGAAATAAATTCTTCTAAATCACTTGCACATACAATTTCGCTAAAAGCCTCGGCAAAGTGGGCATCATTCCTTCATTCGCTCCCCATCGCTCCCCCCACCACCAACCCAGCCAAACAACCACCACCACCACCGCCAAGCATGCATAATGTATGTATCATCATCATCAACAAGCATCAAGCACCAGCCAAGGATCACTCACGTCGCGGATGAGATTCAATTCGAAACGAGGTGTCAAAATAAACCGATTTTTTCTTCGGAGTGAACGAATTTCTTCTTCCGGGTCAAGAACACTTTTCGGGGATAAGAGGGGGGGGGGATTTTTTAGCAGTGTTTCGGGTGAAAGTGACCATTTGGGAGAAAGGGTTTCCTGCAGGTACATATTTTGACCTGGGAGAAATTCACGGCGCAAGAAACGACGCCCCACCGCGGTAAATACTTCATACGGCACGTAGCTGGATGGCGCATATTTCTCCCAGTTTCTTGCACCTCACATTTCTTGCTTTGCAGTGCAAGAAATGTGGGAAACCTGCAAGAAACGAGGCACTGATTTTTGTCGGATTTTTTTCTTTTGTGGATACAGGGGGGGATTTATTTGGGGGGGAGGAGGAGGCAGGGAATTTGAAATAATGGCGTGATTTTGACTGGAGGATGAGAGTTTAGAGAGTATAGTAATGCTGATGAGTGTAATTTGCCGTGCCGCGGGAGTAAGTGGTCCCCTGACCCCGATTAGCACACACGCGCTTAATCAAGATATGGAATATCATCATCCCGTCATTAATAGGACCCCCTAGACCCGCATTCCCAGCCATATCATCCCATCCCACATACGCACACACACACCAATCAAACTAATCACTTATTATGGGTACGTGCGTACGTTTAAATGGTGAGATTCGTGAGGGGAAAGATTGTTACCGTTTTGAGGGTTTTTTTTAGTTTTATGAATTTTTCGGTGTGGTTGAAATGTGAAATTTTGGGTGGAAAATTTAGGTTTTTTTGGCATGGTTTACGGTGTTACTAATTTTCTTGGAAAAGAAACAATGCACAAGATACAAGTGGTTATTATGACCTGTGACCTAGTGTCGTGACCTTTTGACCTAGCAAAGTGTCCTCCTACTTTGAAAATTAGGTGTCCACATCCGAAATATTTATTTGCAAAATTGTGCAAAAGTTTGTGAAATTACGGATTTTACAAAGTTACCAAAGACTGCGTGAATTGCCTCAGTTTGATTTTGTTAATAATTTAATACATAAATATGCACCTATTTTTCGATCTTAAAATGCAAATGAGATGCAAAATTTTTATAACACAAACACCAAATTGTTTTTTTCCTTATTAAATTTTTCATCATTTTTTATTCATCCATTTATTTTCCCTCTGCAGTCGTACTCTTTTTTTATTTCGGAGATTATTAATAATCATTTTTTTATACTTTTTGTCTTCAACTGTTTTTTTGTTTCTTTTTTCATTATTATTTTTCATCCTTTTTGTCGTATCGTGGCTTTTGTCTAATATTTTTCTGGTTCGAAAAACCAGGCACCACCACCACCACCACCACGAGCACTATTTATTACCAACGTGGTAGTAGAAGAAGAAGAAGAGACCAACAACGCGTGGCGTGTGTGTCGTAATATGTAGTCAGAAATATAACATAATAATTAATATAGTAAAATATATAACAAATAGGAAATAGTGCTAAGAATATTTTGATTCATCATAGTTAAATTCGAAATTAATTAGTATTCATTTATTTAGACCCACCACGTGGGGGGCACGTGGAGGTTGATTTTTTCAGGGGGAGTGAAAATCGTGGCGACAATGATGTCGAGCCATTGTCGACACGATTTTGCACCACGTGTGTGATTTACATATTAATTATTTGGATCAAATCCACCACGTGGTATATGTCACGTGGAGGTTGATTTCTTCACGGGGGAGTGAAAATCGTGGCGACAATGACGACAAGACAATTGCGCCATTGTCGACACGATTTTGCACGATTTACATACATATTTTTAGTGGACAGTGTAAGAAAACAATGATTTTTTTAGTCTTATAATATGTAATAGCATTTCATCATCCTATCCTTTTTTTGCCGACGTAGTGCCGCAGGGGAGGAATTGTTCCCAAATCAAAGAACAATTACGTTAGGAACATTGTCCCGAGAAGTAGTTTAGTACAACCCTTATCAATTAATTGTAATATTTAAGTGATGAATATTAACAATTAAATTTACACCACACGCACGTGACAACAATAAGAATGACGACGACTATTACTTCGATCCACTAACGCCAACCACGTGGCGTGGCCACGTGACTCATTAGCATAAAGGTGAAGGAGGGGACAAATTCATGTTATCTTTCTTTTAAGGCATACAAGGTACACAGACCAAACCACACGTGTCTTCTTATCTAACAAAACAAATGACAACGACAAAATTGTGGATAAGGTGTTGGAGAGATATCAGTTCTTTTGTGTAATATAACAGTCAGAATTAAATAAGTGGAATATTATACGATTATTTAGCATCGTGTATATTGTATTGTAAGGTATCCTAGATTCTATTTTATCCTATTTTTTAAGGGGGGAGGGGGGACTTGAACAGGAATAAATGAACGAAAAAATTATTCAACATTCAACGAAAGGAGTATATATTGCTTTGAAAAATGTGTAAAGGTTTTTTTATACAGGTTTTGAAATTCAGTCTATCGCAACATTATTGATTTTCATGTAGCGATAAGAACAATAAAAATAAGTAAGTGATAACTTAGCAATGATAAGATATACAATATCGATCGACTCCCAAATTTAAAGAAAAGTTGACCCAAAACAAAAAAAAACACGGCGAATTTTTAACATACTTATGCATGACTGCCTCACTGACTAAATCAAAAAGATAAAAAACAAACAAACAAACAAAACTTGGATAAAAGTTGCTAAACTTGATTAAAAACGTGCTACGGTTTTTTTAGATTAAGATCTAAGATTGGAATTTTTCGTATTGTTATCCCTCGAACTGGAGGAACTACCCCCGTGACCGTCCGGTTTTTTGATGGAGAGCCTAATTTTTAAATGGTTGTTGTCCGCCGGGGTGGGCGTGGGCCGGGATGACGACGATGACGAAGAAGGGGGTCCCCCGTCGATGGAGGAAGGAGGGTTTAAAATGTCTTGAGAAAGGTGCAACACGGAGACGGAGACTTTATTATTCGGCGCCGTGCTGGACGTGGTGCTGCTGCTGCTGTTGTGGTGGTGATGGTGATGCTTTTTGTCCTTCTTTTTAGACGAGGAGGACGACAATGAGGTGCCCCCACCACCTCCCCCGCCGCCACCACCACTCGCACTGCTGCTCTCCTTATCTTTGTGCTTATCCCTTTTATGCTTCTTTTCATCGCGGTGACGCTCCTTGTCTTTGTCCTTGTGCTTTTCCTTCTTCTTCTTCTTGTGTTTTTCCTCCTTCTCTTTTTTCACTTTGACACCACCGTCCATCGTCACGGGGCCGGCCGAGACGATGTTGTGGTGGTGGTGGTGAGTAGTGGGGGTGGGAGGAGGCTCTGTTTTTATGACGTGGTTGGTGGTAGTGACCGACAATGAGGCGAATGGGTCGAGGGTGGGTACTCCACTACCGCTCGTATTGAAGGAGACCGGCTCCTGCTTGATGGGAACGACGGGAGCGGGAGGGAGCGGGGGAGGTGGGTAGGGTCGAGATGAAGAAGATGACGACTTATGAAAGTTATTGTTGGTCGGTGGTGGCGGCGTGGTTGTCGGAATCGTCGTGTTGTTTAGCAAGGAGGATTGATGTGAAGGAGGAGCTTGGTCTTTAGAACTCGGTGGCACGATTGGCTTTGGGGGACGATTGTTGTAAGATTGCAGGGTTGGGATGGGATTTCGGGTTGTGGTTTGACTTTGGGCTTGACTGTTGTTCTGGGAAGAGTTGTGGGAGTGGTGCTGTTGGTTGTGGTGGGAGGAGGGGTGACGAGAAGAAGGAGGTTGAGTAGAAGAAGATAAGTACGGGTCGGGTTGTTGTTGCTTTGGTGGTGGTGGAGGAGGAGGATGGGCTGACTTGTGGGGGAAAGGATAAGCTGAAGAAGATGAGGGTGGAGGTGGAGGAGGAGCCCCCGTTCTAGAATTGGGGACGGGATTATTAGAGTTTAAGTGTGACCCGGTCCCGTGATGAGGTCGAGAAGAAGGTTGCTGTTGTTGAGGTGGAAAGCCCACTTTGCCGGGGGGAATTAGATGGTCGCTTGCGGCGAGAATGGGAGCAAACGCGTTTTTCATGTCGGCCCCACCAGCAGTGTGGTGATAGCTGCTGCTTGAAGATGTAGAGTTTGAAGAAGAATGGTGGCCGGATGGGTGGCCCTTGACGGCAGAGTTGGGATGAGCATTTGATCTCGGGTTGGAGGACGACCCGCTTCCCGGATAGTAAGGAGGAGGAGGTTGGCCTGGAGGAACGGGAGGTTTCCGGAGGTGTTGGGGTGGAGGACCACTCCCTCCGCTGGGTGGAGGAGGATGTAAGTTAGAAGAGGAGGAGTGGTGATGCTGTTGTTGTTGGGGTGGTTGGCCGTGGTGTTTTGAAGATGGTGGAAGTGAAGGATGTGGTGGAGGTGGTTGTTTGGATGATGGAGGAGGAGGTGGCCCTCCTTTCGATGATGCTTGAGCCATGTGAGGTCCTACGGGAGGAGAAAAGGTGTAAATTTGTGGTTAGAGCGCTTCTCATAAAAATAGAAGGACGTGGGTTCGTATCTCACTGCGATAGTTGTCAAAATAGGACCGAACCGAAGCGATAAGCGTTATCGGCACGGATGCGGACAAAGCTTATCGGTCATATTTTGAGAACATTAGGCTGTAGCTACTTTTTAACCCATTAACTATTCCGTAGTTAATTCATAAAGCTAAAGTAATACTCGAAACTTTAAAATTCTATTGATGAATATGAGAAGATTTTACGAATAAAATATAAATTAATAATTGTGAGATGAGATGACTCACCTGGTGGTGGTTTCTGCATTCCACGATGAGGATGTTGCACTCCGGGGGGAAGAGGTAGAGATAGCGGGCGGACGTTGCTTGACCCATGACCTCCACTACTACTACTGCCAGACAGGCTGGAAGCACCAATATTATGACCACCATGTCCCTCCCCGGGTTTCGTGACCCTTTGCCTACAACAAGAAAACAATAATATTATAATCAACCACACACTTAACACTTAACCTTGACTTATCGTCAAATTCAACACATTACGACTAATTTGTAGAGCAGGTCGTTGTCAATGTTTAAAATATGTACTCCAGATTTAGGCGGAGGAGATTTCAAGAATCCTTCAGAAAAATAGGAACTCATCGAAACTGGCTTAAAAAACTCGTCGCCATTCCATTAATCAACTCACTGACTACAAATTGTCGTCCAGAATTTTAAAATAAGTTCCCAGAGCGCAGAAATGAATTTCTTTTTACAACTTTGGTGATGATTCCTTATACGTTAAATATCTTTTTGTATATCAAAAATAATTACCTCTTTGGTGATGGTGACCTCGATCTCGACCTCTTGAGCGGATTATTACCACCACTCGTCGAGGAGGAGTTGCCTGCCGCACCCACGACACCAGCCATGTTATCTAACGACACCCTTCCAGCAGACGCCGGCGTGAGTTGCAGCGGGGGCACGGGTGGTCCTCCAGTGACAGAACCCGCCGACCCAGCCGCAGAAGAGGACACACTCCCCAAACTGTCGAGTGGCGGAAGGGGTGGCAACATCCCGGCCGCACTACCGCCAGCTGTAGCACCGGGAGGCCCACTCCCACCTTGGGCGCCCTTCATGGAGGTGAAACTCTGAATTTTCAGCTTCAAGCGGGGCGGAGCCTTGTTGTAAATGTCCAAATATTCTTTGGTCAACTCCTCCAGCTCGGTGTACGTGCACTGGTCGTCCACATACTTCCACCAGTCTTTCCCCTCCTTGGACCGCGGGATCTAAAAACGTGTCGTCAACAGATAGTGGAGTGTAGTGTTGACTCTCTTTCATTAAGACAACGAGATTAAGTCACATCGTCTCCACTAACCTGCCAGCCTGACCATTTGCAAGCCACGTGGATTGCCAGAGTGGCTACGAGCGTGGGTCGATATTGGACACACATCGTGGTCAAGTGCAGTCTGTGGGGGAGAAAATTAACAAAATTAGGATCATAATTTTGACAAAGCTGTGTTAAGTGCTGGCGGAAGTAGTGGGGACATTAAAATTGTGGGATTAGAGAAGGAGGGGCTTATCAACATGGACAAGATACGATTGTCCCCCTACTTCCGCCGCCAATACTCTATTATTTTCAGGTATGACTTACATATTCGTCGCCAGAAGATACGATACTTGACCCAGATCTTTGCTCGCTGTATGAATCAAACACAAGAAATTGTTAGCTTTTGTCAAAATAAAAATGAAATAGGAATATAAATTTAAAAAAGCAGGGTTCATTTCACGTCGCGAAATTTCCGACGTGAAATCAGATAAATAATGAAATTGGGTAAATTTACGGATATTTCTCCCACCTCGAACAAGCTGACAACACTTTATGATGTGGGTGTGGGGATGATCAACGGCCAAATCAAACCCCAGTGTTTGCAAGAGCACGTTCTCATTCATGACAAGCTCGTGGCACATGTTGGTGTATGCCTGAAAAAGGTTCGATAAGCATTATTATCGACGATAAGAATTATGTATGTATGAAATAAGTTATTAGAATCTGTGTAATGTAAATACCTCAGATTTTGGGTCGATCATTGGCTCATTTCTGAATTGGATGTAGTGCGCGACTCGAACGACGTGGTCCAGCTTGCGGGGTTGTTCTTCGACCTGATGATTAACATTTAATTAACGGTTTGAACATGGTTTAATACGAGTTTTTTTAGCGCAAACTGACCTTAGCAGCGAGAAAGATGGCCGCGATGGAGATGGTATTCCGGTGGAAATGTGTGAAGGAATGGAACATGTAGAATCTGTTCATGTACACGATGGCGGTATTGTTGCAGAGTTGATTCCTATAAAATAATGTAAATGAGAACAATTAAGGTTACTACAATTTATAGTTATTACAATACAATAAGTATTTACGCAATTCTTCACGAAGTTATTAATAACTTTGTAAAATCCGTAAAACCCGTAAACTTACAAACTTCTACAAAATAAAGAGACGACTGATCTGAACAAGTTTACAAAATTTGCAAGCAAATTTGCCTTCGAAATATAAATACAATTTTGTAAAAGTTTGTACTGTCTGTTTGTTACAGAATTTATGGGCTTTGTACTGAGGCAATTCACGCAGTCATTGGCAACTTTGTAAAATCCGTTTGTACAAAATTAGGAGACTCCTTTGATCTGAGCAAGTTTATAAAAATTTGGTAGCTAATTTTCCATCTAAATATGAGTATACCTTAGTAAAGTTTGTAAGTTTACGTATTTTACAAAGTTACCAAGAATTTGGTGAATCGCCTACTTAATAATAATAACTGTTATACGTACACTTTCAACTTTTGACCCATTTCTTGTATAAAACAAGCAGCGCCTTGTCGATAGTTGAGTTCCTTCTCGGCATCAATGCCCGCCTTTCGCGACGGCGTGTTTTCCATCCCGACCTTGTCAAAGTACCATTTCGCTGGATTATTGCGACACGTCTCGTCCTCCTCGATGACGGGAGGAGGTCCACCAGTCGACCCGCCGGCGCCACTGCTGGTGGTGGCGTTTGGATTAATAGAGGAGGGAGGTAGCAGGGTGGGAACTACGGGTCCACCACCACCGCCACGTGCCGCACCGCCGGGTGTCGAAGAGGTCATTCCACCACCACCACCGCTGCTGCTGCTGCTGCCCATTGACGACATTGTTGTTCTTGTTGAGGAGAATGGGATTCCACGACCAAGAAAATGACCTCGATGACCCCCGCCAGCACCACCACCACCTCCCCGAACTGGATGAAAACCCTACTGAAAGGTAGAAAAGAAGAACAAAATTAGTACAATTAATAGTTTTAAATGGTATAAGTACTACGATAAGTAGAAGATAAGCAGACTTACTTATTCTAAATTATGTAAATAAGCCTTATCGGTTTTGTAAAGTATCACGTATATTATCTTTGATAACTAGTACTTTTAAATTTGGATTTTTTAGAGCTATCGAAGCTGGTTGAGAAGACTTTCTCCCTGAATAAAGCTCTTTTTTAACAAGTTTGAACTTAATTTTTAACTGAATACGACTCACGCACAGTTAATTACTACCTTATCAAGATTCTAAATTACTTAAATATGGAATTATTTCAGTATATAAAATTAAATAACTGTAAAAAAATATGACTGATTTGAAATATTAAATTCTCTTCGGTATCACAGCGTAATTTTGCAGTCTTTTTAGTTTTCCTTTGGTTATAAAAACTTCTAGTTTGATTATAATGTATAAATTTGTATTTTTTTAAGTGAGCAATTAACTAATTAATTAATTAATTTTAAAGAAAGCTGTGCAAAAGAAAACCACCACACCACGCGCGGAGAGGAGTCGGCAAAATTCCCCTCCATTTCAAAAATCCCGCTGTCACTTTCTCATTCGCTTTGGTTAAGTAAAAAAATAAGTATTACGACGATATGTTCTTGGAATCGAGGTAAATAAAATTAGCGTATTTGCGTCTTATTATTATGCAAATTAACGGGAAATAGTGGAGTTTCTAAATACAGACATGCCCTACTTTAATTTTAATTAAAGTTAAAGTTAAATGGATGACGATGATGATGATAATGCGTAGTAATTTGTTGTTAAATATAACCGGACGAATTTAACAGAACGTTTAAGAGATGATGGGGGAAGGGATAAGATAAGATAAGATGTTATCTGCACATGTACGAAAGCTTGTCGTTGGTAGACTCGTGTTTAAAAACAGAAATTAATGAATCATCATGAAGGTTAAGGTCGTATAATGAATTAATTGGTAGTTGCTTGCTTAATTAAGTAATTAATTAGGGTAGATAAGATGTTATCATGTGTACATGTACGAAAGCTTGTCATTGATAGATTTTTGTTTAATAATAACAGTTGAATCGTCATGTGTCATGAAGGTTAAGGTCGTAAAATAATGATATAATTGATAATTGATTGTTTAATTGCTTAATTAATGAATGGAGAAAGTATTTTCTTACTGTTATTTGGATCATAAAGCCGAAATTTGTGTGGGTCCGTTCCGTCCAAAAGAACGACCGGGATCGCCACGAGATGAGTTTTTTGTTTTGCAGCTATTTTTGCAAATTTTGGCGAAAATTAAACCACAACGGGCGACGACGACGACGACGGTGGCGTTATTCCATCCAAAAAGGGGAGGAGTAGTAGTATTTAATCGCTGTTTAATTAATGATTAACCGAAAATTAGATTAAAACAAGCACGATTTTCACTTTTCCTATTAATTTTGATCAGAGTCTGATTTTTGACTTAATAAAACGATGTCTGGGTCGCAAAAATGAGATATTTAATTACAATTAAGATGCAAATATTGCTAAAAAACTCTCTCCGAGAGACAAAAATATGTTGTTTTGTTGACTTAATTCTTAATTTCGTCGTGTGACGAATGACGTCAAAAATAAGAACCGGTTGACATAAAAATAATTAATTGTAAGTAAATTACGACTCGTATAATTAGAAAATACCAGTAAATATAAATACCTTATCAATTATTTCAAGGATAAGTGTACACACTTGACTATTTATAAATTTCCCGGAACAATGTTTACACTTTTTATAAGGATTAAGTTTTAAAAAAGAAATTGAAAAAATGAAGAAGAAACTAAGTTTAAGTTAACTATTTAAGAGATACGTTACTTTAATTAAAACGCCAATTAAACTCGTACAAATTTCTCCTTGTCCGGCAAGTCGAAGTTTGTGAAAGTTTCCGAAATTGTAAGGAACGAACAGGTGAATTTTTTAGGGAATATTTGTTTGAAGCCTTTTTTCTACTACTTTCACCACTATCTTGACTTGACTTCGTCACATGAACGTTAGCGGATGAACGGGGACGGTTCGAGGCGGACGAGGGGAACGGCGACGTATTTCGACGTGTCGCAAATTGTGGCGACGCGCGGTGTGAACGGCCCCTTGAGAGTTGGCTGGCTATCGGCCAGGTAACTGGGTGGGTTTCTAAAGCATGGGCGACATCAAGTCGAGACGTGCTTGAAGAGCTGGGTGATCGTGGCGGAAAAAGAGATCGGACTTTCATTTTGTGTGGACTGTCAGGGCCGGCGGAATGTGAAGGGGGGCATTTGTGGGGACATTAGTATTTTAAGATGGGGGTTATGATGAGGAAGGTAGGATTTTTATTAATTTTTTGGGGGGCAGTATCACCCCATGCCCCCGCTTCCGCCGCCCCTGTCTACTTTCAGACAGCATCTGTCTAGTGACGGTGAGGCCTCCATGGTTTCTGATTGTTGTTAGAAACCCAAAGAAATTTTGGAAAAAGGGGTGTATTTTTGGAAATTGGGGGGTGGGAGATGATTTAGAAAGGGAAATTATTTGATTTTGGGGGATGAGATGAGTATTTAGTATGTTTTATGATGGGGAGATGGGGGCATTTCGGGGGTTTTGTAAAGGGGGGAGAAATTTGAATTTGGAAATTGGACATTTTATGAAAATTTGGTTTCGTATGAAATTTTTATAAAGGTTTTTTTGGGTAGGAAAGGAAATTTTGAGGGTAGGAACGAAATATGTGGGTGGCCTTTGTACGAGTTGCATGATGCCCCGGGTGGGTAACGCGGGGAGGAAGCATTTTCCGCCTCCACCAGCACAGCACAAGGCATAGCAGAGGCAGAGGTGTAGAAGAGAGAAGACTGAAGGATAGTTCTTTTTTGTACTAGTTTTTTAATTGCTGAGAGGAAATTTGCATATAAATTGATCAATTGATAAGTCCAGGTATTACTCAGGAAGTTATTACTTTGTTGGAAATGGTAAGAAAACTGGGGGGGGGGGGGAGGGAGGAGGGCGGTCATAATTATGAGTCAATTGTCTCGTGGTCTTGCAAATCCAGCAAGATCACGAGACTTTTAAATCGTACTTTGGGAGAAGTAAATTTTTTGGGTGTTATTCTTAACGCCAAATTTTGATAGTAAGTGGGTGTGGCTACTCATATTTGGTAATGGGTACTAATAATGGAGATCTCCCAGCGTTTCCTGTCCGATTTTAGTGTCAATCGATCACAAATTTGATTAGTATGAAATTTGCGAAAGATACGATCTCCCAATGGGCACGTTTGGCCGAGATATTTGCATCCAAAGAGGAGAAAACACCCAGTAAATTTGGAAAGTGTGAAATTTTTCAAGTTTAGGGCCGCTTCCTCCTCTTTTGATGCAAATATCTCTGCCAAATATGCCCATTGCATTGTTAGAAAATATATTAAAAATACATTTCACGAACGGAATCCAATTTTAATTTTGATTCAATTATTTTATTTAGGACGGTTAACCCGTCAGGTGCGACGTGAGCTTGTCCTTAACCCTGTAACAACATGGACGGGGATGAGATGATGAAGGAGGAAGAGGTCAAGATGGAGGTGGAGGCTGATGGCGAGGACGCCACCATCGGCCGGGACCCTCTGTGCAATTCGCCCCCGCCGTCGTCCTCCTCTCTGTCGCAGCCCACGACGCCAACATCTGCAACCGGACACAGGTCGAGGAAGGAGAAGCTGGTGGTGAGAAGGTAGTGGAAAATTAATTAATTGATTAATTACATGACTTAATTTTTATGTTTTGCCCAACTAAATTTGTACAGATTAGGTAACGATTAATTAATTTTGGAAGCGTTTCAGTCCACCATACAGTTTCAAATTTATGTAACAGAATTTTGTGCAAAGAATTACGATGGTGGTCGGTCAGGGAATATGGAATATTGTAGTTTAAAATTTCTGGGGAACATAAAATGTTAAGAATTAGCTTTTTTAAATACTAAACAAGCATGAGACATAATTTTGTGTATGCATTAACAAACGTGGCAGAAGTCTGTCCAGTTAAAAATCAAGATTTGATTGTACAAAATTATGGTGGCCGATCGAATATGTGTAGTTTAAAATAACCTTTTTTGTTTACTAAATAAGACTATTTTAGACAAGTTTGTCCAGTTAGAAATGTATTATTATTATTAATCAAAAATGTCTGTTTTTCAGCTTTTCCACAGAAATCGACGAGATTCAACCTAAGATCTTAAGTCATGCTGAATTCTTCGGGTCACCAACGCCCGGAAAGCGACGCACTCGACGAACCGCGTCCGCCCCGGTTGCCTCCACGTCAAAGGCACGATCTCGCGAGCACTCGCCCAGCGTGGACGGCGAGGGTAGCGACGAAGAGGACGAGAGTGACGTTGGTACGGATAGCACTGCCAGCAGCGGATTGAATGAGGGAGGCGGCGACCCGCTCACGTCGAATCCTGTGCGAAAGTATAGGCGACGAAAGGAGAAAAAGATGAAGGAAGAAGCGGCAGGTGAAGAGGAAGAAGATGAGTTTGTGGATGTTGATGATGACGTGGAAGTGGGGAAGAAAGGGAGGAAAAAGATCGGTGAGTTGTTGTCAATCATGACTCAATCTCGAACTTAATTCATTGGATATTGATTTATTTTCCATATTTATTAAGATAGAACAGGCAAATTTTGTTAAATTAACAATGAAAGTCTCCCAGCGTATGCACTCATATTTTGACGAAATTAGTGTTAATTGATGACAAACTTAATTAGTATGAAATTTGCAGAAGACATGAACTCCCAATGGGCACGTTTGGCTGAGATATTTGCATCCGAAGAGGAGAAAATGCGCAGTAAAGTTGATAAATTTTACACGTGGTCAATTTACTATGCGTTTTCACCTCTTCGGATGCAAATATCTCGGCCAAACGTGCCCATTGGGAGATAATGCATTTTTAAAGGTCCGTATTAATTAAGTTTGTGACTGATAAAAGAACTGCATGTAAATGATAATGATAACTTATCATTGATAAGCCTTATTATAATTAATATATGCATTGTGATTGTTTACTTTCCACTTTTTTCTCTTGATAAGACTAAATTTTCCAACTTTTTGGGCGTGTTGCACAAAATATTAATCCAATAATTTTCAATATTTCGAGGTTTTCATAAATATTCCGGCTTATTTTGCCAATATTTTGACGAACAATTTGCACTACAAGACATGTATTAGTTAAAACATTTCGCATAGGGAACATGAATCTATGTAAATGGTTACAGCTCTATTTAGTTATAATAATAATAAATTAAGGGTTAATTAACTTTACAAATCAAATTACAACACTAATTAAATTTGAATTTGATTATTCTTCTTAGCTGGAAAGAAATCAGGGCGGACCCGGCGTGGATCCGGATCTCAAGGAGGGCGAGGCCGTAAAACTCCCAAAACGCCATCCGACTTGGATTCGCCCGTAAAGGAGAGGAAGCGACGATCACAAACGCCACGGGAGAAAAAGGCACCGTCCTCCCCGCAGCTCAAGACTTCTCCCAAATACACTCGGCAACTGGCCAAGCTTCAACTGATGCATGCCAAGGCAGCCCTCGACAAGGCCAAGACTAGTCCGGTTGGTAGTCCGAAACAGAAAGTGAGGTTCCAGGACCCTCTGACTTCGTCGGTATCGAAGAACAGAGTCGTCACGGGGGGCAATCTCACCGCAAAAAGCAGCACCGTTGGGCCGAAACCACAAAGATCTTCGTCTTCTTCTCTGGTGAGTGTACCCCCACCAACGGCAGCAGCAGCAGTACCGCCAGCACCAGCTCCACCCCTGCCGAGACGTCTGATCCACTACAAAGTGCCAGATAAGTTTCAAAGTATAATGGATCGAAGTCAAGAGAAAAAGATTGAAGTGGACAGTTATATTGGTAAGTTTTCGGGTGTAGTTAAATATTTGGAGGATATACATATGTACCTGCTTAAACTGATTTATTCGATAAATTCATGAATGTAATGAGGGAATAGTTTGTTCAAAATTTGTGAATGAATGAATATTGAAAAAAATGTTTATGTCATATATTTGAAGAATGAATGAACGAACTATATAGTTGATGCATGAGTTATATTAGGAAATCCAGCTAATAAGGCGAAGTTGATATAAAATTAATAAAAACTGAATAAAGAAATGTAAATTTTTAATAAATGAGCAATGAATCAATAATTGTTTCCAATTTTCCAATTGAATGAATTTTGAGAATGAAGAAATATATTTGAACTGATATGATTTCTAGTTCGCAAACTAATTTTGAAATTTGATTCTTACAGAGTCTCTAATTAAAACCCGTTCGGAACTGGCCGCTCAATTGGAGGCCGTACAGTCTTCCACTAACAAATACAAATCCTCATGTAAAAAGATACCCGAGCTCCTCGCTCCACCACCACCACCAGCCGCGGCGTCATCCCCCTTCACGCCCCCACAACCACCTTCGCAGCAGGTGGTGGCTCTCTCCACCGAGGTGAGTCGCCCTTACCTGGAAGACAGCGACGACGACAAGGTCGTCTCCTTCCCCAAGGAACAACACGAGCTTAACTACGCGCACGGCTACAACGTCCTGAGCGAACTGATGTCTTCCTACACACGAGAAGACGATGGGGATGAACAACAATCCATCCTACGACGATCAGTCGGATCATCATCCAATCTGTCTTTCACTATGCCGGACGTTTGTCGCGAAACGGTCGCCCAGTTGAGCTCGCTCGTGGCCAAGTGCAGCGTCAAGTCTAAAAGAAAAGAAAAGCCGCCACGCGACGCGGATAAGGATGACGGTTCGACAAGCGATTGCTCGTCGGAGGAAGATTATTCGCCCTTCTTTCAGCCGACGTATCCTGAATCAAGCTCCATCCCGAAGATGGAGTCGTACATAAGGAAAGTCCTCCGGAAGTCGAGCCGAACTCAGGAGATCAGTCATCTCCACGCATCTCCCCGGCAGGAGGGTGAGTTCAACCCGAATTTTGTGATGGGGTCGTACATCGGGCCGGACGAGGAGACCGGGCGCCGGCCTCGGGTTACTGCGCAGGAGTTGGAAACGTTTAAGGAATTGATGGAGCCTTCGGATACGTTCATGTTGTACGACGACGAGCAGGAGATGATTAATCTGTGGTGTGAGTTGATGCGGGATGAACTGAGAGCGATCAAGGAGGAGAGGGAGATGAAGGGGGAATTGGAGGATTTGTTGATGGACGCGGCGGAGGGAGCAGAAGGGAAGAAAATTGTCGACGCGTATCCAATCTTTGTGAAGCCGGAGCACAAGCATTGCTTTCTCGAGGGGAGTTTAATGTCGCAGGAGGCGTTTATCAAGCATGTTACGGTACGTTGGTTAAAATACTTTGTCGAAATGGGTAGTATTTTGAGCTCCGTTGTTGCAAGGGGGTTGGATTTCTAAGGTTATTTCAGCAACGTAAAGATTAAAATCTACGTGGAGAATGGAGCAGTCATATGAAAATACAAATTTTGTGAAGAAGTTAACTCTTTATCGCAGTCAAAATACTGCACTTTCAAAATATAGCGAAGCAATTCATGCAGGCATTGGTAACATTGTAAAATCCGTAAGTACTGTAGGCTCACAAACTTTTACACATTTTTAGTCATATTTTGAAGGAAAATTAGCTTTCAAATTTGTGTAAACTTGCAAATCAGATCAAGGGTGTGTTCTTATTCTATATTGAAGTAAAACTTAGGGATTTTACAAGTTTCCAATGACTGCGGGAATTGCTTCAGTGCTGACATCGACAGCGATGAAAAGTTAATTTCTTCGCAAACCCTGTATTTTTGTATGACTGCACGTAGATTGTCGTCTTTTTGTGGGTGTAACACCCCAGGAAATCCAAACGCTGTGAATAACAGAGCTAAAAAGTGCTCTGTTTTATGCATTTTGGTCACTTCTGATGAATAAATATGTTGACTATTATTATTGTAACATGAGTTTGGGTTGACTACATTTATGTATTTCCTTATGTTTATAGAAGGGGAAAGAAAACCAGAGGAAAGAATTGGCCACGCGACGTCTCCGTAGTGGAAAAACGGTCCCATTGAAAAAGATTTATATCCCTGAATGGAAAAAGAAAGTGGCGGCGCCGCCAGCAACTTCAGGATTAAGCAATAATCGTAGCGAAGAATCAGGCAAAAAGGCTGCCCCATCAGCACCAGCAGCAGCCGCTTCTTCAGCCTCTGCTCTGTCCACAGCAACGTGTGGACCTGCGGGACGACTTATGACTGTTGGAGGGCGACGAATTCGTATCCCTATCCGCCGCACCAAGAAGATTCCCGCCGCCGCGACGTTGCCCATGATTAAGCCCGACTGCTTGACTCCATCCTCTCCGCTGAAAGTGTTGAAGGGGATGTCGCCACCCTCCTCCAGGATGATGCTGCGAGATGGGACGGAAGTGAGTCCAGCGACGAGCAGCAGCAACAGCAGCAGTCCTGGCGGATCGGGGAGTGATTCCATGTGTCAGGTAGAAATCCCGGCAACGCTGCGTGGAGGGACGGCTCGCTCCGTGGGGATGGAGGACAATACGACGACAGGAAGTCCGCCGAAGGCTGGTGAGTGAGAGATTAACATTAAAAACTATTATTTAAGGGGACGTAGTAAGGTAGGGAGGCCTTGTCCTTTGTTTCTTCTTCCTAGCTGTAAAAGGTTAGTGGCGGAGGAGCAGGGCAGTGATTTTTGAGGAGAGCAAAGGTTTTTTGAGGCAAAAGTGCGGCTTCTTACATAACTTTTTAATCAAAATGTATTATATTTACTAAAATTGTAATTCCGATTACTAGAATTGTAACACCGATTACTTACCATTCTTACCTGTTAGTGCATGTCCGGGCGTATTTATCTCCATAACTTCGGGCATTTACTAAGTAATTGCTGCTATGATAGTACATAAAATGCACCCTCCGTTACACAAATCATTAATAATTAATGTAAGAATCGTCATCAAAAGCAGCACATTTTAAATCATTTCTCGCCTCTGGGAATTTGGGAATGTACTTTAAAATTCTGAATGACGAATTTATTAATCGAATGGCGCCGAGTTGTTTGAGTCAGTTTCGATGAGTTCTAATTTTTTGAAAGCTTCTTAAACTTGAGATCTAAAAATGTTGAAATATTGAAAAATTGATAACGACTTGCTCATCAAATTTGTCGTCCAGAATTTTAAAATACATTCCCAGGGAGGAGAAATGATTAAAACTGTAATGATTTTGACGATTAGTCTACGTTAACCATTAAATGGACAATTATTAACTCTTGGTGTTGTTCTGCTAGATGAGTATTCACAACGGGTTGAAGCCTCCCTGCGCCGACTTGAGGCCGGGACTGCCTTTTCTCGAGAGGATGTCGACATCTCATACATCGACCAAGGTTGGTCTTCACCTCCAACCTCGGTCGCATCGTCGTCATCATCTACATCACGGTGTCGAACTCAGCCGTTGGGAGGAGCACGTGGAATGCTCGGGAGCAACCAAAGTTACGGTCCCGCGTCTCCATCCACCAGTGCGTGGGCCGCTTCGATCTCAACCGTGCTCACTCCACCACCACAGTCTTCGTCTTCTGACGGCGGAATTTTCAACTTTTCTGGAATAGCCACTGGATTCAGTGGTGATCAGGCGACTGGTGAGTTGATTTGCATGTAAAATGCTTAGAAGATTTAATAATGGTATCATTCTAGAGTGAAAAAGCACATGGTAAATTTTGAAAATAATAACTTTTTTTTTGTTCCGATAAAGACTAAAATAAGGGTACAATGATTTTTGTTTAATGTTACATAGAGGCAATTCACGTAAACCTTCGTAACTCCGTAACCTGATCTTCATAAAGTTACGACGATCAGGTTACGAATGAAATAAATGCATTTTATCTTCGTAAGGTTTTGTAAGTTCGTAAGCTAAAATTGCTTACTCACTAATAAATTGATGTTCCTGAGTTTGCGTGATTACGGGTTTACGAAGGTTGGCGTGAATTGCCTCATAGTTTCAAATAACATCATTTTCTCCTCATTCTGAGCGAAAAATAGTGACCGCAAATGTGCGAAAAATGTATACTTTTACTGAGAATTTTATACAAGATCCCAATTTTTCATGCTTTTTTCTGACATTGTTGTTATACAAATAATTGTTGCACCATTATTTTTGTGGAACAGAAAAGTTGTTGATTTTGGGAGCTTCTCTACTATTGTTAAATATTCTAAGATAAAATGTTGATGTAGTAATTTAATTAGATATTATTAACCCACCAATTGAACACTCAATTGGTGCAATTACTCAACAATTTGATAGCTTGGAGTATTAGTATTTACACTAATTTATAAGTTGGCTGGTTAAATCTTAATCAATTGTTTAAACCTAAACTTAAGTATTAGTTGTTTGTCATGAAAATGGGCTAGTCTGCTTAGCAAACGGCGTTTTGTAATCACTGGTTCTAGTAAATGAGTATAATGAAGCATTATTATCATTATTTCAGACGGTCTGCCCTCCACCCCACCAAACATGATGAGCAGCGGTGGTGCTGGCGGCGGTGGTTATCTTCCTGGTCCGAGTTCCTCCTCCTCTTTGTACTTCAAGCCCATCCAGACCTACCCATTTGGCTCGAACTCTCAGCAAGGGCATGTTTTTGACAACTACTTGCGCAGGAACCCGGCCACTATGCAGTATCAATTGGGAGGCAGTCCACTCTCGTCGCCGTACAACGGCGGGAGTAATGCTAACTTGAGGAGTGGACCATTCAGCGGTGCTATGATGAGCGGCATAAACAGTCCGATGATCGGGACATGCAGTCCAATGGATTCGACTAAGGTGGGTTGAAAAGAAGGTTAAATTAAGCATTTTACGGGTTACAATGTGGTATTTAATGTCAAATAGGAAGCATTTAAGTTAAGATTTGTGACGAATACGATGCAAAATTAGTGTCAGATATCATGCAAAATTTATGACGAATTTGTAAGCTGAAGTCAGAAGCGTATTTCGTGTCAAATAGTAAGCAGTTGCAGTACAAATTTATAAATATCATGAAAATTAGTGTCAAATATCATGCAAAATTTAGGGCGAATGTGTATTAAGCTGAAGTCAGAAGTGTGTAAGCTACAAGTCTGGTTGAATGTGTGCATGCAGACTGGCTGAGCAGCGGCGTTAGCACCACTGCCTGTGATGTGATGCCTCATGCTCACAAACCAACTTGTGGCTCATGCTATGCACAACCAACCAACGCACTTAACTCAACGTTGAGCTCGGTGTGACTGTTTTTTACTGTCATTTTATTTATTTATTTTTTAATTTTACAATTGTACACACCATTGTTTGAGCAGGAAGTATGTCAGTTCGTCAAGCCGGGTCATTTGCATGAGGGGTTTAGCTTGTTTCATATTATGCAATCTAAATACATGGCTATATTCTCTGAATTATTTTGCAGACTCGGTACTCACGGCTGCGACACGCCACACTCTGCCCACCCTTCGATAACAACAATTGTTCCTACAACTTCCACAATTGTACATACCCCAGAGCTCCGAACTCTCGCTTTTGTATTCATCACGTCGACGAGGGAGCCACTGTGAATTTTGAACGGTGCATTTATGTGAAGGGGACTCGAGAATGTGGCGCTTTCGTGCCCCGGTCAAGTTCGCAGGGCTTGTAAGTTGCTTAATTGTATGGATGGGGATTAAGGTTAAGAGGTGGTTATACTGTAATTTGGTTTGTAATCGTTGCAGATTTTGCGACCCGCACAGCCTCGCGATTGCAAATGCACATATGAAAAAGACTCGCCCTGTGAAAACCATGGACAAGACGGAGGGGCTGTTGAAGCACTTGCGCTGTAATTTGGACCGATCTGAGGGGAAAATTATGGAACGTGAGTGATTTTCGAGCATACGTTCACATTCATTTATTCAATACACAATGAATAAATTCATCATTCATTATTCAGTAAATTCATGAATAATGAGTGAGTACTTTTTTCCATATTTTTTTGAATGAACGAATATTTGTAGATTTCATATCCATTAAGAATTAGACCAATTTGAGATAAAAATGCATACGTATTTATTTTCAAATTTTCAATAAACGAATAATTAATAAATAGTTGTTTCCAATTTTAAAAATGAATGAATATTGAATGAAGAAATACTTTTTATAGCTATATTTGCAATGTGTATGAGTAATAATAATAACTGGGTTTTTTATTGTGTGCTTATAGCAGATGGCCATGGAAGCTACTCCGTCCGCAAGGACTTCATTGAGGATGAGTTTGATACGTTGAACAACTCGTCGGACACGGACGAGAGTGACGACGAGTCGAGTGTGGAACGGATGTGTAAAGCGCAGCGGGGCGATGACGACTCCGACGTGGATGACACCGATCCAAACGTGCCAGATTATGGAGCCCTCAAGTAAGTTGGGATTGTTGAAGGGTAACGTAGGGCTGGATGAATAATGGCCAAAAGTAGCACATTTTTAATTATTTTTCTGCTCTGGGAATTTATTATAAATTTCTGGACATATTTGTAGAGCAGGGAGTTACCATTTTTTAAAGAAATATACACTCGAGATTTTCACACTTTTTGAAGGAGGAGATTTCAAGTTTAAGAAGCCTTCAGAAATATTGGAACTCTTCGAATCTGGCTTTAAAAACTCACCGTCATTCCATTAATCATCTTACTAACTACAAATTTGTCGTCCAGAATTTTAAAATAAATTCCCAGAGGCGAGAAATTATTAAAAATGTGCTGATTTTAGTGATGCACTCCTACGTAAATTACTTACTACATAAATTCTGTGCGGTCGCTTTAATGTTACACCTTTACAGGAATGCGGGTCACTTTACGGTCGAAGAGTGTGTCAAGATGTCTCAAAGAGCGCTTGAGGAGCAGCGAAAATGCATGTTACAGGAGATGGAGCTCGTCAAGCGGAAATTCTCCTTGGGCTATCGACAATACCAGCAAGGGATTCAAGCCCTGCGCTCGAAACGAGTCAACTTTACGACGGACCCAAAGTTCCTATCGACCAACATGTCCGGCCTGACGCCACAACAAATCCAACGCGAAGTTAAAGTCCACAACGAGACGACCGCTATGATGTCGCATCGGCGCATTTCAGGGCAGCGGTGTCTCCTTCGGCATGAAGTGCTGCGGCGGAGACAAGCCATTTTTGAAGCGGCCCGCCCACCAGGCCCGGCTTCTGCGGGGATTGAGTTCTCTCGGTGGCCAATACATCCGGCCGAGACGAAAGAGGAGATTCATCTCCGTCTCCGCCGCGCGAAGAAGGGGAAACCCGTCCTCTGCTCGTTTGGAAGTGGGCATGAAAAGTGTGGCGAAAAGGCGGTCCAGCTGGCGCGATTTTGTTGGAAGCATATCGCGATGGTGGGTTATCACATTATTTTCAGTTTATTATCAGTGTTTCGGGTCGAAGTAAATACTTGTAAGAAATAACGGGAAGAAAGTGCTGCTGCCCGCCGGTATATTTCATGGGGCGCGTGGCTACTGTTCATCCAGTATTATTAGTCGCAAAAAATTCTGGAAGGTTACCTGGCAGATTATTTATTTTTCAATTAGCAACCAAATAACCTCTCAGAAAATTTTCCAAGAAATTGCGACTAATAATACTGGATGAACAGTAGTTGGCGTCATACCTATTCAAAAATTTAGTTTTCATTCAATTGTCAGTCATCCCAATTTCTGACTCAAGATTTTCATTCACATTCAGTTATTTTCGTTAAAATTTATTTCATTTCACTTCATCTGACTTCATTCCTGACTTCGCCCCATGTATTAAGCATAGGATGAAAAATGAAATTAGTGAGAAATCCTTTCATTCACAGTCATTCATCTGAAATGACGGAATCCTTCACTCATTTTCACTCAAGTCACAGGAAATTCATTTTCATTCACTATCATAATCACTCAAATGAATGAAAGTGAACAGGTATGGTTGGTGCTTATTTTTTTGCAATTTGTTGCATCTCGCATTTCTTGCGTGGCTTGCTTTGCAGTGCAAGAAATGTAGCAAACAAATGAAACACTGCGTGTGCACCATAAATTTATACCGTTTTTTTTGCTTATCACAGGATAAGTCGCAGCATCTCTTTACCACTTGTGGATTCCGTCTCGGTCCCGACACTGACGACGTGTGCACGACACCCGTGTTCTCTGAAATCGAGAAGTTTGGTTGTCCCCTACACGCACTGCCGATACCGTTGAAGGACCCGCCAGAAAGTCAGAACAAGAAGGCGAAGGTCGAGGAGGAGATTGACAAGTTGATGGAGGAGCCGGGAATGGATTCGAGTGGGGATGAGGAGGAGGAAGACGAGTCGAGTGGAGGAGGTGGCGATGGGGGCGAAGAGGACGGTGCTGATCGGCATGATGAGGTAAAGGAAATGGTGTACACTGTTTAAAATGTGTAGAGGGAGATAGATACTTCGAATTGGTAATAATTTCCTGGTAGTAGTTTGGTAAAGTTTTCATTAACACAACATTACTAAACCGGTGGTGCTCTTAATTACCGTGCTGGTAGAGTCATACATATATGTACTTCGCACTGGTATTGATTTGGTAATAACTAACTTCCTACTGGATTGGTAGTAGTTTGTTTCTGAGTGGTAAGTTTTTCAATACGACAACATTACTAAACGGTATTGTCTGTTATTACTAGTGCCGGTAGAGTCATGCTCTATACTGGTATTGGTTTGATAATAAATAACTTATTACTGGATTGGTGGTAGTTTGTTTAGGAGTGATAAACTTTTCAATACTACAACATTACCAAAAGGCAATATATGACTACCGGTAGAGTCATGCATATATGAACTCCGCATGGTATTGATTTGGTAATAACTAATTGATGGTAGTTTGTTTCTGAGTAATAAACTTTTCAATACCACAACATTTCTAAACGGTAGTGCCCACTATTACCGTGCCGTTAGAGTCATACTCGTATATGTACTCTAGTCAGTAATGATTTACTACCAGTGTAACAAACGGCATGATGAAGGAGGCAATATTAAATACTGATGATTGTTTTTGTTTGTGGCGCAGTCCATGGTACGTGAGATGGAGCATTTGGTGGGAGACGAGCTCGTGGACGCTGACCACTTCAAGGAGACGCTGGCCTCCATCTATGCCCGCGGCATGTACGAGACGGACTCCGAGGAGAGTGAAGATACCGAAGAGGAAGATGAGAACGGCGGTGGCGGAGGAGGAGGTCAGCAGCAAGACGGTGGTGGCGGTGATGCTGGCGGCGGCGGTGCTGGTGGAATGGAGTTGTAGTCAGTTACACCAGTCATCCACTATAAGATACTCAATTATAATGACCATTCACTAAATTACCATTAGCTTTATGAACCAAATTACAGTTATTTTGATACATACAGAACAGAGAGATGTCTTCTTATGGCTAAGATATTTAGGATAGAAATGAATCTCATCTAACTCCATTGTGTGTGAACATGTTCTTTGTGTTGTGAACATGTCCTATGTATTTATTGTTCTTCCATTCTTGCTACTCTTATTGTTTATCAATCTATATATGTAAATGACACGTGGTATATACATTTGTACGTATGATACACGTGTCATCTTTATGAATCTCATTATACTTTTCAAACTCTGAAGTGTATTCAGTTTCTACTTTTTTTTTATACTTATCACTGTTCTGAACATGTTCTTCTACATATATTAATTGTTCTTCTTTATACCATTCTGATTGTTGTCAAACTATATAAATGATATGCTGTACTGTACATGCATTTGTACGTTGTATGATACACGTGCTGTGTACTACGCGTACACGTGCTCCTTCCTATGAAACTATGTCTTTCTTTCCGTCTTCTAAATTTCTATTACGAATTAAGCCATATATTTATTATACTTTTTGATATTTATGAAGAATTAGTTAATTTAAGCGTTGTGAAATCCAGATTATTTGTCTAAATAAAGAATAGTAAAAAGAAAGTTGATAAATATCGTGGTCTTTATTATTACATGTTGAATGTGAATCTCTCATTATAAGTTAAGTTAGTTATATTTAGTACAGTAAATATGTAATTGTAGATAATATACTCTCTTTTTTTGCATTACAACGAGGAACAATTGGGTCATTAAGGGTTAGTAATTCGGGAGGATACTAAATTACTTGTCGGAATATAATACGTGGTGGTGGTGGTGCTGAGGTAGACGAAGGGGTCGATGCAGCAGAAGGGAACTTATCAGGTAAGATGAATGAGTAACATTATGCCTGATGTGACATAATAAAGGGTTGGTTAGCCTCTAATAAATTAATAAGAGTTGGATAAACGTAGGGCATTCTGTGTTATCTGATATTTTTGTTGGCCTGCATTTCCTACATGTTCAAAAAATAAGCTTGGTTAGAGAACAGCCAATAAGGTGAGATAGCACACATTGCACCAGTGAATTATGTGTTATCTCATTATTTGGCCTGTATATTTCCAAAATATGGTTAGAGGAGAACACCCAATAAAATGAGATACCACATACTTTGGGAAATAACTTGATTAAATGTAACGTAAGTGTAAATACTAACCCCTTTAAATAATACGCTACATTTAACAATTGAGGGTGGACTAAGTTATCTTATGATAACCGTGGCTTGGTGGCGTGGCACATTTTCCGTGAAATAAAAATATATCTCGATCTCTTCTCTGGTACAAAATATGTATTGCATGCAGTCAACTTGCCACGGTGGTCAATTTAATCAACAAATTAGACGAACTACTAGACCACCAACACCGTAATTTGCTTATCATCGTCATCACCATGAAATAAACTCTATTCAGTATTTAAAGGTAATTGGTTGGTTGGTTTGGTTGATTGATTAATTGCACTGTAAAGCTTTCCGTTCTAATGGTCTACTCTAGTATTAATTAAAGCTATATCTTCTCGGTACTTGCAACGTCGTCGTAAAATTAAGTTATGTATGGATAAATAAATATATAGATATTTAGATAACAACAATTCCTACGCATGTAGATAACAGTGTAGATAATTAATAATAACTATGTAGAAAAAGTCTTTTCTTCATCTGCATCACTCACCCAAACTTGCGTCAATGTTGTGAGTTAACGATGCCGCAAGTTAACAAGGAGTGAAGCATATAACCTCGGCTTTATTCTTTTCCTATTTAGATATGACACAACTTGTTAATATATATAGTTTTCGTCAAAATAGATAACTACGGAATATGGCGAGATTCAAAAAGTATGATGATTTCTGTCGGTTGCATATGTAATAATTTAGATTTTATATGTCTATACAGGTTTTGGTACAGCTACATATTACTTTCTGCTGTGTAGAGTTACGAGCAATGGACGTCTCCCAGCGCATGTGATCCGATTTTGAGCAAACTATTATCAATCCATCGCAAATTTGATTAGTATGAAATTTGCGAAAGACACGATCCCCCAATGGGCACGTTTGGCCGAGATATTTGCATCCCAAGAGGAGAAAAGGCGCTTTAAAATCGACAAATTTTACACTTTCTAAATTTACTGTGCGTTTTCTCCTCTTCGGATGCAAATATCTCGGCCAAACGTGCCCATTCGGAGATCGTGTTTTTCGCAAATTTCATACTAATCAAATTTGTCATCGATTCACGCTAATTTGCTCAAAATCTGATCCCATGCCCTGGTCGACCTCCATTATCCGCGTGGGATTTTAGTCACTATTATTATTATCGTGATGATGAGCTCCCCTCATTTTTACTTAATCTACTTATTTCGTGGATATAAGGCAGGTTTTGCATTGATTTGATTTCTCTACGATTATTATTATCCGTTCTTGCATAGCATAGCGTAATAACATAACATATTTTTTTATAATACTTGTGTGGTTTGTCGTCGTACATACATATGTTAAAAAAAATCGACACAATTCTCTCCTCCTCCGGCGAAGCGAAACGAATACAAAACGTGACGAAGGAGGACATGAATGACACACAGACTGAAAATTTGACTCGAGAAACAAAAATTTTGCGAAAAGTTTTAGATTTTCTTTCACGTGTTGTCCACACTTTTGAGATTTGCCCGTTGCTTGAGACGATTATTGACGCTGAAGAGATTCACGTTGAGGTCGTCAATGTCCAAGTGATGCGGAGTTGTCGTGGTGTTGTTGAGGAGGAGGATTTTGTCCAGGTCGTCGTCCTCCAGGTGAAGGGATGGTGGGGACGTGGTGATGATGTCCATGTCACCGCCGTCGGAGGAGGGGGGGAAGATGGGGGCACTCTTTTTCGGAGAGCTGACAAATTTCTTGGAGTAGGCGAGCTGCTGCTGTTCCTTCCACTCCTTTTTGGCAAAGGCACGCTTCAGGGCGCCGTCCCAGTCGAGGTCGACCAGACCACCTTTCCGGGCGATGACTGCTTTCACCTGGGGAGAAGAAAAAAAAGGATGTGATTAAAGGGTGTGAGGTTAATTTGAATTTTGTAAGGGAATGAAGGTGAGAAATAAGTTGACCCCATAATTCATGATTTGTTGTTACGTTATTACGATTATATGCATTCATACTCCACAATTTTCAAGCAGCATAGGTATTTTATTCTTATTGGTTGATTTTATAATTGTTATGTGATTAACATGCTGAAATCATGAAGCAATTAAATCGTGAAGAAATCATGGAGTTATAGTTTGGATATGTAAATTAGTCAGTCTTTTTGCGGTTGTTCACATATGTAGATTCTGGTCGGCTTGTGGGTTTGAAAATGCAATAATTTAACCGCGATAAAAAGTTAATTTCTTCACAAAACGTGTATTTTCGTACGACTCCACGTAGATTTTCGTCTTTTTGTGGGTGTAACACACCAGGAAATCTAAACCCTGTGAAGAACCGAGCTCAAAATACTCTTTTAACAAAGTGTTTTGCCCATCCATGAAAATTAGTCAGTCTGTTTGCAGTTGAAACCAGTTTTAAATGGAAATTAGGTGTTAAGTTGTTCCTATATTGCGAAAAGACTGACTAGTTTACATATTTGCTCATGGTGTAGATTGCTGTACAGTGTTAATTCGGCTATGAGTATTCGCTTGTTATATATAGTTTGTAAATGGGGGTAATAAAAGCCATTACATTTTTGTAATTTACAGACATGGACAAAATCAGTGGCGGATAAATAGGGTACGTGGGGTAGGCGTAACATAGGGGCCCCCGCTGCGCGGGGGCCCCCGGTTGCGGCGTGGTGTATGTCTTTATTGCTTTACTTAAGTTTGATCAACGAATTTCGAAAAATAAATTCACTGATACATACTGCGGATAAATTATTATTAGGTTAATTGTTATTAAGTACTCGCATAGCAAGTAGTTTGGGGAAACTACAAGTAGGTGGTTGGTTATGTATTTATGCTGAAGGTAATTCGGTTACGATTATTAATTGTCGATTTGGAATAAATTTCTCACCGGTCAGTTATAAATTGATAACCAGGCAGTGGTAGCCACAAATATATATCTTCGATTGTGGTTATACAAATAATCGTAATCGAGTTACTTCCAGTTGAAATTATGTAACCTTGGAAGGTGCTTTTTGGGGGTTTGAACAATTTTTGTATGAGATTCCTCAAAATTTTCGCACACTTCAGTATCTTGATAAAAAATTTGGGGGCCCCTTGACCGAGGTGAGACTTTTTCTAGCCAGAAACTGATTCTTGAAATATGTATGAGAAATGGCAGGCAGTGGTGGCGAGTGGTCTGGTCATCACACTGTGCTTCAAGCCAAATGGAGGTTCTGGGTTCAATTCCCAGTACTGGCAGAGTTTTTTCCCTTGTGGTTTTCCTCTCTGACTTGTTGCACAGGTCTGTGCGGTGTCCATTGCACTACGGGCACCATAGTTAGGAACCTGTGACCATCTATTTCTCACTTATGTAAGGTTTGGTTCACTTGTAATTCAAATGCAATGGCTAAAATTGGGAATCAATAAAGACGACCTTTTTTAAATATGTGCCCAAAATTATATTTTAAGAAAATTTTGCTAGAAAAAAGTCTCGTATCTGTCAAAGGGCCCCCAAATTTATTATCAAGCTACTGAAGTGTGCTAAAATTTTGCGGAATCGCATGCAAAAATTGTCAAACAAAATAATGTTGCCCTCTTTATATTAATCGGTGTCTTAATCTAGTTCGTGGTGATTCTCAATTGGGGCCTAATTCTCCACGAATCTGGAGAAATTTCATAGCGAGTTAACTCTTTAACGAGTATAATTGACTCCAAGAAAATGCATTAATTCGGGGATGTTATAATGTTGTGACCATGGAGAAGGAATTCTCGAGTTTTAATCAAAGTCGAAATAATTGAAAAATAAAAAAAATTAACATTGTGTTAGATTGGGAAATTTCTTCTAAAACGACAAGGTTACGAGTTAAAGGCTTAATATTCCCCACCTATTTAGATTATTGAATTGGGAATTATTGCGACGATGGTCATAAGTGGTTAGGATTAAAAGTAAATGCAAATAATTTAATTTCGCTAAGAACTTAAGTCCTTCCCAAGGCGATATGGTCTGGCTTAATTTTATTTCTGGGAGCGGTGCAACGTATTGAAAACTGAATATTTTCTATAAGAAGTTAAAATAGCTCTTTAACACTACAAGACATTAAAAATGTCGCCAATCGGAGCTCTTTATACGGAAAGCCGTTTTCTGTATCAAGTCAGAGCGCATAATTTAAAGATAAACTGGCAAAATATGCTTGCTAAACGTAGTACACAAAATAACACAAACAAAATGTTATAAAATCAAACATACATAGTTAAGAATTTTAAATACCGTTAAATATCACAAAAAAATCCCACCTAGAGGCCCCGAGTTGGCTTTATCCGCCACTGGACAAAATACTTTGTTAAACTACAGCATATATTTAAAGGGGACATATGTAGTAAGGTATGTTATAAGAAAGGGATCTATACAATGTGTAAAGTTTCTTAAATTGGTTTTTGATACGTACACAATTTTTACTGACTGATTTTCAAGGAATATGCTATGAAGTGATAAAAAAGCTATGAAAGGATAAGGATAATGCAATGTAATGATGTGCAATTTAATAATAAAGCCATGCAGTGATAATGCCATGTAATGATAACGTGTTATAAGGATTGCCATGTAATGATTCCCATGAAACGATCGGGAGGCCCTGTCCTTTGGTTCTTCCTCCTCGCTGCAAAAAGTAAGTGGTGGAGGAGCAGGGCAGCGATTTTTGAGAGGAGAGCAAAGGGTTTTTGAGGCAAAAGTGCGTTTTTTTTACATAAAAAGTACTCCCCAATTACTAATTGTAAGTGCATGCCCTGGGTTATCGTACTTATCCCATAACCCCGGACATTTACTAATTGTAAGTAATCGGTGCAGTGATAGTACATAAAATGCATGCTGCAAAATAAGTACAATAAGATCTCCCTTTGCTATATAATTTAGCATATTCCCGATATGAAATGGTAGCACCTTCGCTCACACAAAGCGTTAAGATGCGACTTAATGAACAATTAAACTTAATAAACTATACTTAACTAACCATACTTTGAATTTATATCGGAATATTTTCAAGTTCCACGTTTAAAAATATATTATATTTTCCGCAACCACTTGTACGTACAATCCTCATTCTTGCATGAAAGACTAAGCAGAATATCATAACTTAATTCCATTGAATCTCTCTCCACTACTGTCTCTGCATAACATTTGGTTATGGTCAAGGCAGGTTTGAATAAGATAGTATTCTAGTTATGGTCAACTTGGATTCCATTATGATGAGAGAAGGAGTGTTTTGGGGAAAAAAAGTATTAACTATGGTCGAAAGTAGTAGTTAATTATGATCAGTTAAATGGGACCCTTATTATTATGGAGAAACTTATTGGATGGAAATTATTGTAAGGGAGTATTTAAAAGAGTATACGTACCCTGCTTGCAAATTCCACCGCGGATTCGCCCTTCTTACGAAACATTGGTGGAAGATACCACACATCACAAACGATCGCCCAACTGCTCATCCTGGAAAAACAAGGAGAAAGATGAGATTAATTAATGAATTACTGGCAAATAGTTAAATACATTTGTTTATTTGTACACAAAATTGGTAGCTGAACTTACATCATGAGTAGATATTGAACCATGGAGTAGCTGCTCGAGTCCCAAAATGGATCGCCAAATCTGGCATCGTACTAGAATAACAATGAAATAACAATGTACATTTTCTTCTGCTGTTAAAGTTAATGTGAACAAAGTTAATGCTAATTCTTAATTACCTTGATGGCGACGGGATAAATGACTCCTTCGACTTCGAAGGAACCTTTCTTAAACTGCATGACGGCGCTGTTGTTGATGCACGTGCCTTCAGGAAAGATCAAAATGGGCAACTTCCTCGCATCGTCGACGTGCTCCTTCAGCCTGAAATGACACACAAAATATGTTAATAATACAAATACTCGTACATTAATTATAAGTTAAATTTGATCATGAATTTCATCATTGACTGGACGAAAATGTGAATAAAAATAGCAATGTAATTAAAAATATGAATAATATTCATTATTTCATACTGAAGCAATTCACGCAGATCTTGGAAACATTGTAAATTCTGTAAACTTACAACCTTTGACAAAATTGTACTCATATTTCGAAGGAAAATTAGCTCACAATTTTTTGTAAACTTGCAAATCAGATGAAGGGCGTATCTATGCATTGTAATAGTTTTTAGCATTATGGTACAAAACGCATGGAATTTACAAAGTTACAAATGACTGCGTGAATTGCCTTGGTATGTTTTCTGTGTAATAATTATTTGGCTGAATTTAATCAATAGTTAAGTTGTCACCTTCTCGCGACGGCTTCTCTATCCTTCATTTCAGATCGTTCGAACCAAATGTGTGACGATGCACGGGCCAAGGCGCGTTGGAGGATGCCTAAAAGTCCACCATGCGTTTGTCCAACCTAGTGTAAAATTAAATATGTATAAGATGAGAAAATTTAAATATCAGTTTAATAATAATTAAGCTAAGTTAAGGACAATCCGAACAAATTAATTAAGATCAATTAGATTAAGTTAAGTTAAGTAAAGGACACGCACCATGTCGTAACACTGATCCACCGCGAGAACAAGGACGTCGATAGGGGAAGTGTGATTCGCCACGCAGATTCCACCCCCACGAGATATCGCTTTCCCTTCAAGCGTGCGTTTCGCCACTGCAATTAAAAAATAATATGTAATTAATTAAAAATCAGATTTGCTAATTAATCAATAACTATACAACGTTATTGAAACAGTAATGATTTGCATGTGTAACAATGTTCTGCCCAAATTTTACATATTAAAGCATAAATAACTCTCGTCACTATACGATTTGAGTACAGTTTGTATGATAAAAACTGACTTGTGGTCATATATACGCACAATACAAAGTAATGTTATTTAACGCTTTATGTGACGGAAGGTGCTACCGTCTCATACTGGGAATATACATGCAAATTGTATTCATGAACATAGCACTAGATTATGTAATAATTTTAGGAGCACTGCAAAACTGAATTTGTTAAAAAACTCCTTCCACTTTAGACCTATTGGTTTATGGAATATGACTTACCGGAAAATCTGCAATCTTATAATACGTTCAAAACTAAACTAAAAAGCTATATGTTACATTCTTAAGTATTTGAATACCTGTTCTTCTGACTAAAGTTTAGTATGAATTATCCTTGCAGATTTGTTATGTAATTGATTTTTCATATGATTTGATAACTATAATTAAGACATTCATGCATTTTGATCTTCTTGAAATGTATTACTACCAAATGTGAAGTGAATAAAGTATTATTTACTATTGTATGTTCAATGCTGTAGTAAAGTGGGATTTTTTTTACTCATTTTGCATGTCATGCACTATCATTGCAGTAAATACCTGGGATTATGGGGATAACTTATCCCGGATAAGTACCCCCGGGCATGCAGTAAAGTAGTTGGTGCAACGGTAGTAGATAAAGTGCATTTTTAATCAAAATTGTGCTGTAAAAAGCCACACTTTTGCCTCAAAAAACCTTTGTCTCCTTCTCAAAAATCAATACCCTGCTCCTCCGCCACTTACTTGTTGCAGCGAGGAGGAAGAAATGAAGGAATATCTTATAAATAAGACACCTTACTTACTACGTCGTCTTCAGGTGAGATAATTACTAATCTCATTCCACCCTATGCCATGTGTTTAAATGCATGTTTCTAAAATGACATCAATTTCATGAGTTTTGAGATAAATGCAACTCTTTATACGGTAATGCAAAGTTAATTTTTGGTACTACAAACCTATCGATGTGAAAAAATTAGCCAATTCATTTTGAAGGAAATTGATTGTGAACAAATGGCATATGAATTAGCCATTTTGTTTAAATCGATGATTTTGTAGCACCAAAAATTGAGTTTACATTAAACTATGAAAAGTTACATTTATCTGAAAACTCACGAAATTTATGCCAGTTTAGACATTTGCATTAAAAGCGATTAAATTGGTGTACAATGAGATTTAAAATGTATGCCATATCAAATCGTAATTATGTGACACCTTACTGAAACAGCTATACAAATATAGCCAAGAACAACAGTGCTGAAATATTAATCTTATCGTTGAAACAGACCCGTTTTGATGTGTAAAATTTATGCGAAACATCAATGTTTCGTTATTGCTGCTTGTAATCAACTAATTAATTTAGCTAAATATATGCATAAGCGCTATTAAATACTCACCTCCGGGTCTATTTTCCCTGTGATGATGACTAATCACGGCGGACAAGGACCACGAGAGGAACTCGAAGGCGTGAAGGTACACAATCTTGTATAACTTTTGCTTCAATCCGTGATAACTTTGCGGAATACAGCCAACAAGCGCGGTCGACATTGTGAGGAAGACACACTGCAAATTTTAATCAATAAATCAATTAAATCAAGATTTTTAAATTAATAAATCCATTAAATCCTGATTTTTTAAATTAATACGGTTGAAATCTTACCCCGAGAAAGCAAATCGTAACCCTGAAGGGTAACAGGATTCCGTACCGGACACAAAACCCGACCAACCAAATGAACGAGAGCCTCCATGAAATGAATTCGTAGACACGATTCGTTCTCGTCAACAGGTTCCAGGACTAAAAATAAGTAAATAAACAGAGATAAAAGTTAACCCGTCAATATAATTAAGTTAAATTAATGGGTGTCAATAACTGTAATTTCGCAACTCATTGAGCCTCTCTTATCTTATCAGGAGTAAATAGTAAAACGTGGCCATTCGTTTCGTGACTTGTAATAATTCGTTATCAAACTCTGCCACGCGAACGAACAAGGTTATCGGAAGGTTATCAACGCATCGAAAAATTATTTTATACTGTATCATCATTTCCAGTGGATTGGAAATGAGTCCATCGGACTTACAATGGAGGTCTCCCAACGTATGCTCACAGATTTGGACCAAAATAGCGTCAATCGATCACAAATGTAATTAGAATGAAATTTGCAAATGGAACTACCTGCCAATGCGCAGGTTTGGCGGAGATATTTGCATCCAAGGTGGGAAAAATGCGCAGCAAATTGGGAAAATTACAAATTTGCCGGCCTTGGGGGTGCGTTTTCCCCTCTTTTTATGCAAATATCTCCCCCAAACCTGCGCATTGGCAGGTAGTTCCATTTGCAAATTTCATTCTAATTACATTTGTGATCGATTGACGCTAGTTTGACCCAAATCTGTGAGCATACGTTGGGAGACCTCCATTGTTAGTGACATTTATTTGGTCGAATTCAATGAATGAAGTGACTGAATCATCAATAAATCGTCACACATTTGATGCACTTCATTCATTCATCGTCACTCTGAAGAGTGGAGGATGAATCATCTCAAGGAAATTTAATGAAGAGAAAATAAACAAACAGGCAAGGATTAAGATTAAGACGACGTGGCGTAAAGTAAATAAATGATGGCGTAGCGTGGCGTGACCACTCGGGACGACAAACATGTGATGCAAGTCAATTAACTTGGTGCTTGTTGTTAATCAATAACAAATTAAGTAGTACCTTCAACTCTTCTGACGCAAATCTTTGAGTGACTTGATCCTCCACGATGGCTTCAATTCCGGAATGAATGAATTCGAAAATGTCGCTCAATTCGAAATCGGCGTTGTCATCCTTGTCTAAAATCATGTTTTCTTCCTCCTGGAAATGAAAGAATTAGTTAATTAGTAAGTAATTAAGTCAAAATCAACACATTTTTAATCATTTCTTCTCCCCTCTGGGAATTTATTTTAAAATTCTGGACGACAAATTTGTAGTCAGTGATTTGATTAAAGTTTTGAAGGCAGTTTCGACGAGTTCCGAATTTTCTGAAGGCTTTTTAAACTTGAAATCTACTCCTTAAAAAAGTGTGAAAATCTGGAGTGTATATTTTTTAATTGACAATTTCCTCGTCTACAAATTTGTCGTTCAGAATTTTAAAATAAATTCCCAGAGGCGAGAAATGATTAAACATTTGTTGATATTCTGACGATGCGTTTTACATTAATTCCTAAAACTAACCTCTTGACCCATACTGCCATCCCCGGTCCCCGTGCTGGCCCCGTCCCAGCTGGGCGCTGCATTCTCGCTCTCGAGTTTGCACTCATCCGAGATTTGGCCGAGACCAATGTGCGAGACGTGATGTCGACAAGGCGGCGAGCTTCCGATACTTCGACCCATCGTGTCCAGATACTCGCTCTCGGATGCGGTCGATATCCCATCGTCGACATCCTCGTCGTCATTAGAATCGGAGGATGGGAGGATAATTTCACTCTCGTCAATGCTGTCTTGACGGTCTTGACGTTTTAGGCGGTGGGCGCGTTCGATTCGTTTTTTTCCGTACTGAAAAATAAATAGAAAAGTTAGAGTATAAGTAACGAGTTGGGAGAAATAAGGGGGAGAAAGTGGTTTCTTGCAGGGGAATATTTTGACCTGGGAGAAATGCACGGCGCAAGAAACTGCGCCTCGCCGCGATAGTTCATACGGGATAAATAGCGCATATTTCTCGCACTTTCTTCTTGCGTTGCTTGATTTCCAATGTAAGAAATAACCGAAAAGTGGTTTCTTGCAGCGATTTTGACCTGCAAGAAATGCAAGGCGCAAGAAACTACTTCTCGCCGCTGTACTTCACAGGGCGCGCCGCTAAATAGCGCATATTTCTTGCCCTTTCTTGCACCTCGCATTTTTTACTTTATTTTGCAATACAAGAAATGTACCAAACCCACCCACAAGAAACGAAACACTAATTATAAATAAATTGAAATTTACATATTAAAAAACTTCGGAAATTTTCAATTTTTATGTTCCCTCACCTCAAAAATGTAGAGTAAACACTGAATATATTTTCTCCTGAAGCCGAGCCATTTTCCGACCGCGGAGAGCGTGTAGACCGTGACGATGAAGAGGGAAACGGGGACGCAGAGGAGGAGGAAGGCCACACCCTCGATGACACCCATCTCTCAGGGCGGCTCGATAAGGTGATGATAATTAACTTATCTGCACTCTTCTAAATTGTGTAACTCTCTTATTTCTTGACTTGTGAATAGTTCCTCCTCCCAAAAGAAATGATAAGCACGAAATAAATCCACTCCTCTCCTGTCTGTTGATATAATTAAAGCAAAGAAACAACAAAATTAGTAAATAACATTATCGACCCACTTATTTTTACGTCAGCAAAAGCAAATCAATCAATACTAAATCAATAAATAATAATAAATCAAATCAAATCAAATCAATACTAAATAAAGTCACCTTTGCCCTTATCCTTTTCCGTCAGTTTTTATTTTTTTATTTTACAAAAAAGAAAAAAGAAATTTAAAGAACCAAACAAAACTCCAAATAACAAAAATAGAGTTTGTTGACCGATTTTGTTTTTTCTCGAAAATAATTTAATTGCTTAGTTAGTTAGTTAACTAAGTGAATTACTAGAAATTTGAAGAAATCGAGGATGGATGGATGAGTGAATGAAATCAAGGTGATCAAAATCCAATCCACGAGTAAACTAAAAGTAGTAATTTTATTTAGTGGTTTGGTTTGGTTGGGCACGACGAATACGAGCTCGTTGGCCAGTACAAATACAAATGAGTGAGTACATAAGTAAGCAAAGGAAAGTAAGTAAGTAACATACGAATACGACGACATCAACAAGAACAACATAGAACATACAGGCAATAAGTAAGTAAGTGGTATATTTGGTTAGTTGGTTTTGGTTGGCTGGTTGGTGTATACGTATCTGATCCACGTCTCACTAGTGGAAAGTGGAGGATGATCTCATCTCATCTCACCCACCTTGCTCAGAATTAGTAATCGTACTCTCAACTTGCCTCATACGGATTCTTGAGCTTGTACTGGACTGGATGGATGGATGTATGATTAGTTGGTTAATTGGATGGATAAGAATTGGAAGTTATGCATGTAATGTAATTGAGATGGATACTTGCTTGGTATTAGTTACGCAAGGTAAGGTAAGGTAAGTGATGATGAGGGGTATTATTAGTGATCGTCTCATGGTGAACGTGTCTGTCTCATTGCTTATTAAGTAGAAGGTAAGGGGCGAGTTGGGATTAGGTGTGTGAGACGAATAGATGGATATTTATGACGTAATAAAATGAAATCAAAATTTGGACGTGGTAATAAAATCAAAATTTGGATGGGAATGGGATAAAATGAAATCAAAATTTGGATGTGATGCATACACAGGTATCAAAATTTGGATGTGGTAAATGAAATCAAAATTTATTTACTTATTTATTGACGAGATTTAAGTATTCTTTTTTTTGCTTTTCTTAAACTATGGTTAATTTAAGAGATGAACTTATAGTTTTAAGTAGCTGGACAATTTAGAGTATATATACAGTGTCGGACAGATGTCTACGTCCACATAGTCGCGTCAATTTCATTTTCAAATTGTCACTGAACTACTGAACCAATTTTCATCATTGATATATCAAATTCTCACAAATTTAACGTAATTTCATAGCACATTATTAGTTTTCCGCTAAAAAATTTATTTTATGCCAGAGATGTATTTTAATTCAAAATGAAAACAATTGGATGGACAAAAATCAACGTCCAGTCAGAGAAAACATACAAAAAAAACTGTAATTTATAAGGAATGTTATAACAATTAATTTTTAATATTTGGTTGGGCCTCCGTTCGTTTTAAGGACGGCTTCAAGGCGTCGAGTCATAGAGTTTACCAAATTCTTGGTCACATCTTCAGAAATGGTTTCCCAAACTTCACGAATTCTGGATTTTAGGCCCGGAATTCCTGAAAAAGATTTTTTTCTTATTTCTCTTTCAATGTGGTCCCACAGATGCTCAATGGGATTCAAGTCTGGAGATTGGGGAGGCCATTCTAGCTTCGGAATTTTTTTTTCTTGAAGTATTCCATGGTGGACGTGGCAGAGTGTTTCGGATCGTTGTCTTGTTGGAAGGCAAATCGTCGTCCAAGTCCAAGTTTTCGAACAGATTCCTGGATATTACGGTCAAGTATTCCCTGGTACTTGTATTGGTCCATAATTCCGTCAACAAATTCCATTTTTCCTGCCCCACTTGAAGCCATGCATCCCCACACCATTACCGACCCGCCGCCGTGCTTAACTGTGGGGTTGAGATTTTTTGGATTCAAAGCTTCTTTTGGATATCTCCACACTCTACGACGCCCATCTGACCCAAAGACATTGAACTTTGACTCGTCAGTCCATAAAATATGTCCCAGAATGTTTGTGGCTTGGAAATGTGGTCTCTGGCAAACTTCACTCGTTTGGTTGCATTCCTCGGTACAATAAGAGGCTTCCGGACTGCTCTGTGGGATTTCAAATTTCCCTTATTCAGTGTTCTTTGGATGGTCATAGGACTAACCTGTTTGCCGAACATCTCCTTGATCTCGGTAGATAGCTTTGGAGCACTAAGTGAGGGTGTAACGTTGACTTTGTTGAGCACGTGGCGTACTTCTCGGTGAGCCAAAATGGGTTTTCGACCACTTCTGACCTTGTTTTGGACTGAACCATTAGCTCTAAAGTTCTTAATGATTGTCTGGATGGTTGTCCTTGCTAATTTATACTTGGTCCCTATTTGTCTCTGCGACAGCCCCCCTTTTTGTCCACCCTTCCAGTCCTGAATGACAAGATCTCGAATAGCGATAGGAATTTCCTTGCGTGTCGACGCCATCATATTTTTCTGGAAGAAAATTATTTAAAAATTAATGCGGCATATATTATTGATAGATTTATTAAGTTACCTGATTTTATAAATTGGAGAGATTTTTGTTGTTGACAATTAAAGTGAAGTGGACGTAGACTTTTGTCCGCTCAAATTTCATCCTCTCTCGCTCTGCACTATGATTCTCAGTTTTCCCAGAATTTTCAGAAATAACTCATGTTTTATGAAATTACGTTAAATTTGTGAGAATTTGATATATCAATGATGAAAATTGGTTCAGTAGTTCAGTGACAATTTGAAAATGAAATTGACGCGACTATGTGGACGTAGACATCTGTCCGACACTGTATGTATAATTTTAATTTAATTATCTACTAATGATAAGTACTAGTTAGTAATACATAACTAAGGATGGAATTCACACAGAGTAAAGTAGAAGAACTAATTTTAACAACTAATTAAAGTAAACTACGTCAAACAACAACAATTTTTTTTTTCTGGCTGGAGCATTTCTTTTGTTTGTATCGTTACGTAATAATGAATAGGTACATATTTTTATCGTTTTTTTGTTTCTATTTCTATTTCACAACTTAAATAAATACAGTTTAAATTTGAGTGAGTTTTGTTTTAAATTAGGATTTTAAATTGTTTTTTTTTGAATATATGAAATGTGAAATTGAAAAACAAAAATGGCGATAAATCATACATTTTTGCAGAATCAAGAAAATGAAAGGTTGTGTTTTTTACATAGGTTTTCATTCGTTTTTTATCCAAATAAACTTAATGGCGGTGATTATTATGATATGTGTATTGTTTAATTGAGGCAATTCACTCATTCAAGTCTTGCCAATTCACGCAGGCCTTGGTAACTTTGTACAATCCGTAAACTTACAAACTGTTACAAAATTGTAGACATATTTCGAAGGAAAGTTAGCTCCCGATTTTTTTGCAAACTTGTTCCGATCAAGATGAAGGGCGTCTCTTTATTTTGTAGAAGTTTGTAAAACAAGTCGCCGTGTAATTAACAAATTTTGAAATTGTTTACAAAATTTCCGAGTTACTCATAAAATTATGTATGTATGAGTAACAGTATTTACAGGTTAAGTTACCAAGAACTGCGAGAATAGTCTAGTGAAGTTTACAGTGCGACTTGTGATTTCTTTGTGATTTTTTATGAATTAAATCGCAACCATATTTGCATCGGCATTGTGCGGCATATATTTTTTATTAATAAAAGAAGAGTAAATCTGCGCATTATTTTCGCGGAGGAATTTATAAATAAATCCATGATTTTTTTAAGAGAGCGAAATACTGCCTGGTTCATGGGTGAGATTCTCAGAATTTCTATTTTTTGAGAGGACATTACTTCTTCCGAATTGCTTTCAATATCCATTCCACGCCGTCCTGAAATTTGTAAGATACATACATGAAAAATAAAATACATTTTTATAGAAATTGGGGAAATTCTATTTACTTTGATTGAATTGTGATGATTACTGATTAATAATCACCACAATTTTTGCTTCTCCATGTCTTTGTTGTATACTGATAATAACTGATTATCAGTGTATTGATAGGGTACTTATGATTTCCCAAAAGCATGGGAAATTTGTCATTATCTAATTCACCACCTTAATTAGTCGCGGACCAAAATTAAGTGCAAATTTGTATGTAATGTAATATTGCTGGACAACTCGTGGCAGAAGAAAAAATTAGTGCGTATGAAAATCGACGTGTCGAAAATTAGCCAAGTTTTTGTTTTAACGTGCAGAATTTTGAAATGGGCATAAAGATTCAAAATTCAAGGTTTATATCCACCTGTACAAATTCCAAATAAATCTAAAAGATAATGATTTGATTAAAGATCTCCTATAAAGATTTTTCATTTCTTTTTCTAAATTTCCTAAACAAGTAAACTACTAAATACTTTAAAGCTTCTGTTTTGTTCTTCTTTCCCATGAAACAAAATCCTGCATACTTTTCTTTGATACATTCCTTGAAATAAATCTAATTTCCGTAACTAATTTATTGAGAGTCAATTATTGTCCAAAACCTATGACAAACATTGTTCTAATTTAAATGGTTCGTGCTAACGTCCAGATTTTACCTCTAAATCAAGCTTGATTTGAATAATAATAATGTTTGTATACATGTATTATGTAATGTGTAGAGCAATGCACAATAGTGAGAAAATAGGAATTATAGTTTTTCCCTAATAACTTCTTTCATAGTTAACATAGCGCAGAGATTAATGCATCATTAGAAAGATGAGAAGTTATCACATTTCAATTCTCGATCATTCGCATTGAGATGATAATTCGATAGAACAATTTTCTATGTAAAGTCTAACACATTTTGTGGTTAGCAGGGAATTTTGAGTAGGCAAAGATTCTGACAATCAATCTGGGCTTCTGTACGACCAATGTGCAGAAGACAGGGCTATCTCGCCTACACTACACTCCATACACGGTGCTTACCATACCTCGGGTAGCATCTCACGGTAACCGGAACCGCTTACACAAAGTTACATATCTTCGTGTCGGATTGAGGACCGATCTCGTCTGATTGCGGGTTACCTTGCCCTGTACACATTAGTGATACTGCTATAGCGTGAGCATTATTTCCATTAGTAATTCGTACCGAAATTCCTATAGCTTGTTCTTATCCAAATTCTTCTACATACTTAATTAGATTATCTCTGAAACCGATTATTGTGCTGAGCTCTACGGAATCTCTCCTGTTAGCTTTAAACCATAAATCGTTTTGTTCTTATAATTGGCACTCATTCTAAATCATCTCATATCTCTTTCCTATATCACTCTCGCACGTAGCTCCAACTTAGGATCACGAACCTATTCCAATGGTAATGCATGTATTTTATACGGAGTATTTGCAGTAGGTGCATAATCGAGTACACTTAGCATATACTACTATATATACATATATCCATCACGTAATAATGTATTATTCTATACGTATTTACACGCATAATCCATTACAAATGTTGCATGTTGTTGATTGATGCAAATTTTATATTTTGCAAACACTTATTTTTGCGAATTAGAATCAAATTTCTGTACAATTTTAGGTACAAACATGAACGCGAAGCAACTCTGCTAAATAATATTGAAGCGGGAACAATTTGTACAATTTGTAGTTGAAAAAGAGTGCATGAAACTCGAACACAATTCTCAAGGATTAAGTTGTGCGAATTCATTTCATACATATTTTGCACTGTCTCTGAAATAACTTGAATTGGCATTTATTGCACATGCAAAAAACATATAGTATACGCGAAATAAATAAATATATCTTTATCTTGTATCGTGGTGGGATTTCCTCCTTGTGTTCACTCACGCCCATACTAATACGGGTATTTCTTCATCCCGTGGAAAATTTGCACGTGCAAAAAATTTGGCACAATAAAATAAGAATGTATGTATATAGCAGTTTGATTGAATTAATTATTTGTAAGCTACAGCCACTCCACACAATGATGAAGTTACTGTGTAAAAACTGCACGTATTTTTAAATATACTTGGAATTGTATGGATACGCAGTGGCCGCGGAAGCCGTGGGGACATCGGGGGACTACTGGGGACGCTAATATTGTAGGATCATACCTGTTCACTTTCATTCATGTGACTGATTAATAATCAGTGATTATGATAAAGAATGATAGTGAATGAAAATGAATTTCCTGTGATTTGAGTGAAAATGATTGAAAGATTCCGTCATTTCAGATGAATGACTGTGAATGATAGGATTTCTCACTCATTTAATTTTTCACCCTGTGCTTAATACATGGGCGAAGTAAGAAATGAAGTCAGATGAAGTGAAATGAATGAAATGAGTTTGAAAGAAAATGACTGAATGTGAATGAAAATCTTCAGTCAGAAATCGGGATGGCTGAATTTTGAATGAAAAAAGTTTTTTTGAACAGGTATGTGTAAGATAAGGGAGGGAGGGGCTTGTATAAGATGGGGAGATGATGCGGACATCAAGCAACCGTGGGGACCTCTGTCCCCTCACCCTTCCGCGGTCATTGCACGTACATACAAAGAATAACAAGTAATGGTGACGTGACGGTACAAAAAATATTAAAAAGGTCTCCAGAAACAAAGCAAAACAAGTCGAAGGATATTGTCCAGCCGAGAATTTTTATGAATCGCAAGTGCAGCGTCATTCATCGCGTCGGAATAATGATGATGCAGGCAGATTGGCCACAATTCGCATATTTTTTTGCATGCACGATGATAAGGGTGACATGCTTAATTTCGTGATTTTGTAATGTATCGTATTGTTTATGTAATGCATTGTGGGTGTGAATTTGCATGTACGTACAGCTCTGTGATTATGACATGCAAATACGTAGATATACATAAAAATATGTACATGCAAATTGTGCTTTTTCATGCCACCGGTAAAACCTGGGGTAATAAATTAATAAGTATTTAGGTATTTATACACGGCGTACTTCCCCTTTTGTGGAGAAGTGAATGACCATACTCATTTTTTGTGGGGGTTATTACGTATGTGCAAATAATGGGTGAATTGTGGGTACATAGGGAACAAATGGAGGTCGACCAGCGTATATATGCGATACGATTTTGAGCAAATTATAGTGTCAATTGATGGCAAATTTGATTAGTATGAAATTTGCGAAAGATACGATCTCCCAATAGGCACGTTTGGCCGAGATATTTGCATCCGAAGAGGAGAAAACGCATAGGAAATTTGAAAAGTGTACAATTTGTCGACTTTAAGGCGCGTTTTCTCCTCTTCGGATGCAAATATCTCGGCCAAACGTGCCCATTCGGAGATCGTGTCTTTCGCAAATTTCATACTATGCAAATTTGCGATCGATTGAGACCAGTTTGCTAAAATCGGATTGCATACGCTGCGAGACCTCCATTGTTAGTTAATAAATTGCACAAAATCGTGACTTATTGGGGGACGAAATGACCTAGAAATTCCCTATTTATTAAGTTTCCTTACCCGAACGCCTTCCCCCGTGGCGGCGGAACAGCCCTGGATCTGCCACGCTCTGTCCCGAATGGTGTGAAGGTTGAGGGAGCGCGCAATGTCGGCTGTGGACGCGGCGTCGGCGAGATCTTGCTTGTTTCCGAAGACGATGAGTGGCACGCCGCCCATTTTTTCATCCTCCAAGAGATCAAACAGGATCTCACCACTTTCTCCGAGTCGTTTCCGGTCGGCGGAGTCGATGACGTAAATCTGACCAAGAAAATAAGGACAATGAGACCGATATTTTTTCAGGGTTTCGGGTAGAAGTAATCAGTTTTGCAAGAAATAACGGGAAGAAAGTAGTTTCTTAGTACATATTTTCAGAAACACATGAATAATGACTTTGTGAGATTAAGGATTAATCTTATTCCGGGATTAGATTAATTCAAGATTAATTAAATAAATCAATTTGTTGGGATTAAGGATTAAGTCGTAATGCTCTTATTAGGATTAATTTGTGCTGATTCCTCCTTGATTGAGGATTAATTAATCCTGACCAATTTTGGATTAAGGATTAATTTAATTTTGATTTTACTGCATTTAATGATTGCAATCAACTTAGTGCTAATTATGATTAAGGATTAATAATTTAGCCACGCTTTGTCGGAATTAAGGAGTAATGATTAATTACATGCAAATTTTTAATCCTTAATCCCCATTCCTAATCTGTTAATCACGATTAATTAATCACGCATATAATCTGCATGTATTTCATACAGTTTCTTGCATTGCTTCCTTTCCAGTGTACGAAATGTAGCAACGAAACACTGAATATTTACCAAGGCGTCCGCATTTTCCAAGTAGTTTGTCCAGTACGGGCGAATATTCCTCTGTCCCCCGACGTCCCACACGTTGAGGCGAAAGCCCGAGTCAGTCTGGACCGTTTTGACGTTGAAGCCCCGCGTGGGGGACGTCTTCAAGTGTTCGTCCGTCTCGTTTGCGAGCATTTTGAGGAGCGTCGTCTTCCCCGCGTTGTCCAGACCCAGGAGGAGGATCCGGTACTGCGCCACGCCCGAGTTGGCGCTCGTGTGCACGGCCAATTTCCGGAGGAGCGAGAGCAACCCCTAAAACGAGACGGACAGATAAGTATGAGAACAGATAAGATAGAAGATAAGAGTTGACGTATGTAGGACTGGATGTCACATCGTCAAAATTCACACATTTTTAATAATTTCTTCTCCGCTCTGGGAACTTATTTTAAAATTCTGAACGACAAATTTGCCGTCAGTGAGTTGATTAATGGAATGACGCTGAGTTTTTTGAGCCAGTTTCGACGAGTTCCAATTTTTCTGAAGGCTTCTTAAACTTGAGATCTCCTCCGCCAAAAAAGTGTCAACATCTAAAAAAAATTGGAACTCCCTCCTCTACAAATTTGTCGGTCAGAATTTTAAAATTCTTTCCCAGAGCATACAAATGACTAAAAATGTGCCGATTTAGACGATGAGACATCAAGTCCTGAATACGTAAAGAGTGAGACTTACCATAATTTTCGCAACACTTTAACGTTTCCTTCCTAGAACAGAAATGTTCCAATTTTCCTCACTTCTTGGTCTTGGACCGCTTATGAAACGGAATGAATTGCCTCTCACTCTTTCTCCTGATTAGAATTAGACCGATTTAATGGGTCGGACGTCGGACTAATTGACACGCCCCGAGATAGATAAGAGGACGAGACAACAGGAATAACACCGAATACCAATTAGTTGATGGACTTAATAGCAAATTGCGGACAAAAATATTCTTCTTCTTTATCGAATTGAAAATGTATGCATGACTGAAAGAAGTGAATGGCTAGATGGATGGCTAGCTGGAATTGGTGTAAGTTGAGTTATTGGGTGGTTGATTTTGCCAATAATTATGCAATGTTTGGTTCCTTCAGCGTGGTTGCTGGGACACGAGAAATGCCAAACAACGTGCACAGTGCCATTTACATATAAGTGACGATTAGACTCAATTTTACATATCCTCGAGAAATTGATTGATTAAGTTATTATTTATAGAATTTGTCAATAACATTTGTATCGGACTGTGGATTGTGTATATCTTCCAAAATTATAAAATTGGTTTATTTCTCACTGCGCGTCTTTTGCATACCACATTATTTTTAAAAAAGGGTTGTTGCTTATCAAGAAGTCGGCTTATCTATCGGTATAAAACCCACGACTACGGTTCGTTCAAAAAAATAGAGAGAAAGTACTTATATTTTTCTAAATTATTATTTTTTTAAAGAAATTCTGCCAGATAACTAGACAGATTTTCTGTGTCTCTATTTTTTTGAACGAACAATAGTTAACTATGGGCATATCGATGGATAAACTGACCCTTTAAGATAACATATTCAGTATAAAAGTAAGCTTATCGGTAAATAATAGTAATATCATTAATCATTAAAATTAGGTTAAGTTATATTTAAAACTATTCAGACCCCACCTTCTCGTCATCAGTACTATAAATTAAATCGACATCCAAACACAATTCTCCAGAGACATTTTAATATACCAATTTTGTCCTTTAGACAGATTAATATAATGGATTTTTTAAAGTACCATAATAAATTTTGGGTTGGAGACATAGTTAACAAAATACTTTTGTGTACAAGGATAAAAAACATGATATAAAAGTTCCTATGACTTTGAAATCGACGATAAATTTTGGATTGGATAGACAATTAACAACATCGTTTTGTATAGAAACATATAAAATGCCGATTGGATTACACATGACTTTTGAAATCGACGCAGCGATTAATTTAGAAAAAATAAATATTACTGAACACCAATTAGTGACACTGCTTCTTTTTCACGGATAATTTTGCGGGCGATTCCATTACGTTGTTGATGAAGCTGTTGTTTTTCATATGGTTGCCGATGATAACCTCAACCTGAAAGGTAGAAAAAAGGAGACCTTGTTAAGTAAAATGGTGGAGGAAGCACGTTCTTAAAATTGTAATAACGGTTTAAATAAGATAAGCTGCGGGTGGATGCAAAAGCAGGTGGCATTTTTGGTCCTCGAATGTTTACCTTCTGCGTAGCAAGGTCAATAGATTCATATCCAAAATGGGAGAAGATTCTTGTTGTTGGGCCTTGGGGGTAACGGTTCGCTCAATTTGTGGAAATACTTCCTTATGGAGAAAGAAGATCATTTCCAACTGGCGAGATGTGAAGAGAAGAAATGATAATAATAATAATAATAATAATAATTATGGTAATTATAATGATAGGCTAGTCAAATCTCAGTCGGTTTAGGGCCACCTCTTACTGTTAGGCCGAGTAGGAGGATAAATAAGTAATAAATAATTAAAGTAATTAGTAAATAAATACAATAGTATAATGTGGTACGACTTATAAATAATTGCAGCAGAAGCGACAGCGGCAGCGGCAGCAGCGCATTTGGATGAGTCTATAAATGATTGTTTTTGTGTGCAGCGGCGGCGGCAGCGCGCGCGCGAACGTTTTGGTTGAAATTACATAGGTAATAAATTAATTAGGGTTGGGACGATTCAATTCGTCCCCAGTAACAGGTTTAGCGTCAAGATTATTACAAATTTCTTGCTGTTGCAGCTCGATTTTCTCTATACCGCGCGAAATGATGACAATTACCTTCTCCAAGGCGTACGTAAGCCGTTCCAACATAGCGCTCGAGAGGCCCTTGTCCATACTGGCGATTTTGTAGGTGCGCATGTGTTTCGAGGGACCTAGAGTGGTGATGGCGCCGAGCATAGGGCACAAAATCATCTTGGTGTGATCGCGGAAATTGTTGATTTGTATGGTGCCGCTAGAAAGAACCATGACGACGGAGCGTGAAGTGCGGAACCATGTCCACATGTTGGGGACGCGGGCGATGCAGTTGGGCGGGAGAGGTTTGTGATCTCCGGTGGCCTGAGAGAGATAAGATTTGGGCGAGTTAAAAATAGTCGTAGGACTTGATTACTCATTATCAAAATATGCACGTTTTTAATCATTTTTCGACTCTGGGAATTTATTTTAAGATTCTGAACGACAAATTTGTAGTTAGAAAGTTGATTAATGGAATGACGGTGAGGTTTTAAGGTAGTTTTGATGAGTTTTATTTGTTTGAAGGCATTGAGATCGTGTTCAAATTCTGGAGTGTGCATTAAAAAAATAGTAACCACCTGCTCTACAAATTTGTCGTCCAAAACTTTGAAATAAATTTCCAGAGTCGAGAAATGATTAGCAAATGTGTTAATTATGTTACTATAGTCTGTCTCAAAATGAAGAGATAGTTTTGGAAAATTCTACTATTTCTTAATAGCTTGGTCCTGGGGCCCAAAGTTTTATTATAATATAGCTCAGGTATTGCTACAAGTTCATGCCAAGTTTCATTGAGATTTGACTTAAATCAAGAAATTTATATGCAATCTTACAAAATTAGTCAAAATCGACTGTCTCAAAAGTAAGAGATATGAAATTTAAACATTTAAACAGTTAATTTTAAGGGAGTCAGTACCCTTGAAACTTATTCTAGTATTTGGTAAAACCTTTCTTAGCTAGAATTAACGCGAATATTCGTCGCTTCATTGAGTTATTGAAGTGCTGAAGGGTCTCCAGCAGGATATTTGCCCATCCGCCATGCATCATTTGCTCCAATCCCTTTTTGGTTCGAAATTGACGCCCACCCGACGCGAGAAGTTGGCCCAAAAATTCTTCATGGGATTTAGGTCAGGACTGCTAGCCGGCTAAGCCAAGTTCCCGGCATTTTTCCTGGCAAAGAAGTCCATGATTAAACTGGAAGTATGAATTTGGGCGTTGTGATTCTGAATATCCCACCTTATCCGCAAAATTCTGGGTCCCTAGCTGACCAGATTTGACTGGCGTTATCCCTGATAACCTTGTGAATCTGTTCTGGGTGTACTCGTGCTATTCCGGTCTTTCCACGATATCCAAAACCTCCCACAATATTACCAAATTTTCCCTTAAAAATTACAAATTCAATTTAAATTTGTGGTTCATATTTTTGGACAAATATTTTTATGCAGAATATTTTTTTAGTCCCATGCATAACCTACATTCTTGTCTAAAAAATACCCCATACCAAAATATGTGTTAACAAATGTGCACCATATTTAAATTAAGTTTGTAATTTTTAAGGGGTAATTTTGTAATAATATGGGAGGATTTGGATATCATGGAAAGACCGAAATAGCACCGATTACACACAGAATAGGTTCACGAGGTTATCAGAGAGTACGCCAGTCAAATCTAGTCAGTTAGGGACCCAGAATTTTGCGGATAAGGTGGGATATTCAGAATCACAACGCCCAAATTCATACTTCCCGTTTAATCATGGACTTCTTTGCCAGGAAAAATGCCTGGAACTTGGCTTAGCCGGCTAGCAGTCCTGACCTAAATCCCATGAAGAATTTTTGGGCCAACTTCTCGCGTCGGGTGGGCGTCAATTTCGAACCAAAAAGGAATTGGAGCAAATGATGCATGGCGGATGGGCAAATATCCCGCTGGAGACCCTTCAGTACTTCAATGACTCCATGAAGCGATGAATATTCGCGTCAATTTTAGCTAGGAAAGGTTTTACCGAATACTAGAGTAAGTTTTAAAGGTAGTTAGCCCCTTCAAATTAACTTATAAACTAATTAAATTTCATAAAAATGCCCTATCTCTTACTTTTGAGACAGTCGAATTTGACTAATTTTTTAAGATTGCAGATAAAGTTCTTGATTTAAGTCAAATGTCAATGAAACTCGGCATGAACTTGTAGCAATACCTGAGCTATAATATAATAAAACTTTGGGCTCCAGGGCCAAGCTATTAAGAAATAGTAGAATTTTATAAAACTATCTCTTCATTTTGAGACAGAGCGTACTTACTTTCATCAAATTGTCCTTCATATACTGTTGAAAGTACTTGAGCAGTTTGACCTTCTTGGAAAGGTCGTTGGGATACTGATCAAGTGAGTAGTATGATTCGACTCCCTCTTTCTCAATGTAATGCATACTGCGCGCATCCGAGAGCAGGATAATTTTTGAGTTATCATTAAAGCTTACACCGACCGTGTCATCGCACAAGTTGTACCCGAATCCGTACTTGTCCGAGTAGTCGACCCACTTGCAAATCCAGAGGAACGGAGAGAGAGCTGGTTCTTCGGCCTCGTCTAGGGAAAGAAATGATGGCATAATTAGTACAATTAATTCATACTAATTAATAACAATTAGTTAATTAGTGATTTACTATCATCCAGCGTGGTGCGAGGTTCAAGTTCAATAATTCGCTTCAACTGATCCCTCAAATTCTTCATGTACTCCACCATGTCCATGTTGTCAAGTTCTCCGGCAGAAACAATATTATTGTTGGCATTTTCGACCGGGGTCCCCACGCGAGGAATCAAATTCGTTTGACCAATAATGGTACGAGGGACAGAAGGCTGAGTGGGTGGTAGTGGTGCGTCGCCATCACTTCCGGTCCGAGGTTGATTGCTCTCCGTGAGTGGCTTCTTCGGTTGGCCGGTTGGTGCAAGCGTATCAGGCGGCGCGGCCCCAGCAGCCGCTGGAGCGGTGGAACTGGGCTGGGCAGTTTTTGGGAAATCAAAACGTGGCGCCATGGTCAGGACGGAAAGTGGCAGAACGGTGGGCATAAATCCTAAAAGAATTAATGTGTAATTTAATATATATTTGTGGTTGATTTAAGGATAAGGATTTTTTTCTCACCACAAAGAATGAATTCATTTGAAATGATTTGCCTAGCAGATGGGCGAAGGTCCGGATTTACTTGGAGCATTTTGTGCAATAGGTTCTTCGCGGGGTGACCGATCTTCACATTTTGTGGAAAGATGTACTCCCCACGACGAATCTTTTGGTAGGTGTCGCGCAGTGTGGCAGTTTCAAAGGGAGGTCGTCCAATGAGCAAGGTGTACCTTGGGGAAAGATAAGTAAAAGTTTATGTAATGTAATCTACATAAAGTAAGGATGAGAATTATGGGCTCAAAGAATGGAACGTGCCCATTGGGATATTGTGGCTTTTTCAAATTGCATATCAATTAAATTGTGAATCACAAATTCTTATCGATTGACATTAATTTGCTACAAATCTGAGAGACTTACAGAATACACCCAATTGACCAAATGTCCACTTGATAGCTGTGCCCCTTTTTACCCAAAACTTCGGGTGCAATGTAGTTTGGCGTACCGCAAAGCGTCCTGTAAATAAATCAGTTAGTTTTTCTTTGTTTTTGTTTTATTACTGGTATTGATTTTGACTCACTTTTTCCTTTCCCCCTCAAAGTCCACTGTGGTCGCAAGACCAAAATCGCCAATTTTCAATTTCATATCTTCTGAAATGAAGATATTACCCAGCTTGAGATCTCGATGAATGATGTGCATGTCTTCATGCAAGTATTGGACGGCTACGGCAATCTGACGCAAAAAGTATTTCGCCTCCGGTTCAGTAAGGATCCTCCTCCGTTTCTGGAGTTCCATCAGACTCTGAGAGTGAGAAAAGGAGAACAATTGTAAATTTATAACCCAAGATTTTAATAGTTAGTGACGTACGTGAATAGAATAGAATGGTGACAAAGTTTATGCATTTTGCACAACAAAAATAGGCGAAATATTTACACATTTTTTAACTAATGGCTCCATATATTTGTAAAATAGCGAGGCAATTCACGCAGGACTTTGCAAAACATTATAAAATCCGTTACAAACCTTTACAAATTGTTACAAGTATTTCTAAGGTAAATTAGGCTACAAGGTTTTGAATTTTTGTAAACTTGCAAATCAGATCAAGGGCGTCTCTTTATTTTGTAAAAATATGCCACAAAACGCACGGATTTAACAAGGTTACTAAGGACTGCGTGAATTGTCTGATTTATATTTATAACAATCTAGCAATATATTTTTGTTTAATTAGAATTTTTACTGATCTAGAAGAATTGTTGAACCAATCCATAAAGTTTGACCACCGCGATTCATCAAAATTCACAATAAATAAAAAATTGATTAGTTATCAAACAGCTTGAAAGTTATTCTCACCTTCTTACTACAAAGCTCCAGAGTTATGTAAACGTTAGAATCATCCTCAAAATGGGAGAGGAACTTGACAATGAACTCGTGCCTGAGTTTTCGATGGATAGTAATTTCCTACATAAAATTAACATAATTACAAACGTCAAATGCAATCTTAGATATATTTAAAAACCTACCTGGATCATCTTGTCTCGCTGGTGAGGTTTGATCAAGAGTTCTTTATTGACAATTTTGCACGCCACCACTTGCCTCGTCTTAGACTGCTGTACTTCGAAACACCTCGCAAAACCACCCTGTGCAGAGAACACAAATACAAATTACTACCTCATTTAACTTTAAAGTAGACGCAGGACCCGATGACTAAATCAGCACATTGTTAATCATTTCTCCTCTCGAAGGTTTATTGTAAAATTCTGGACAATAAATTCTACTCAGGAAAATTGAAACTGGCTTCAAAACCTCAATGTCATTCAATTAAGAGACTCACTGACTACAAACTCGTCGTTCAGAATTGTAAATTAAATTCCCAGAGGGAAGAAATGATTACAAATTTACTGAATTTGTTAAATAAATGAATACTCACCTTTCCCAGCAGTTTCCCCCTGGCGTAGGCATTGCCCGTGCTGACGTCCCGGATAACCGTGGGGATTTCTTGCGTCGACTGGGACGTGGGGTTTGATGGTGGCGGTGGTGCGGCCGCGGCTGCCGCTCCGGCTGCTGCTGCAGCTTGACCACCACCACCCCCAGCCCGTACAACTGTTGAGGGGCCAGAGCCAGGATAACGGGGTGGCTGCGGTTGAGCTAGTTTTCAAACCAAACTAGTTTTATCAACTGATGACTATTTAAAAATTTAAAGGCACACTTGCGAACCAACATTTCTGGCTTGCGATCCACAAAGTTACAATTTTACCCTGGTCAATGGTAACTTTGTGGAACCAAACTAAAGTAACAACTAACTAAAGTTACAAGTGTGTTTAAAGGTCAAAAATAAAAATTAAATTAAATCGAACCTGATCCTTTTTGCGGCAACTGTTTCATTTGGAGTCGCTGAGGCTGATTTTCTCGATCCGCCCGTCCATCATCTCCGCCTCCTCCTCCTCCTCCTCTCACTTGTCGTGACATTGGAGTCGGTTGTTGAGGGGGGAAATAGTGGTGGTGAGGGGGGAAGGGAGGAAGATAAGTCTGTCGATAAGTGGTGGTGGGAGTGGAGGAGAGGTCAGCCGAAGCGGAGGACGACGAGAAGTGAACTGAACCAGAAGAGCAGCGTGAGTGAAGTGAAGAAGGAATTTGGCAGCCAACGGCCACCGCTGCTTCCCTCCCAACAAGTTATTGGCTGCAGCCAAGGAAACCCAGCCAATGCTGGTGCGAGGTGAAGAGTTGGTGCTTTATGATGGGGGATTTGGTGCATGATTTTGCTTTGTTGGGGTGGCTTGGTTTTTGGTCAAGTTTTTGGTCATACTTTAAATGGGGGGATGGGGAAAGTATGGATTTAAATATTAAATGGATAAATAATTTGGTTTGGGTTGAGGTAGGTGAATAGTTTAATTATTGTTGGTAAGTTGTGGGAACGATTTTGATTTGTTGGGGTGGGTGGTTTTGTCAAGTTTTGCATAATATTTGCATATTGTTTTAAATATGGGGATGCTGAAAGTACTTAAATATTAAATAGATAAATGATTTATTTTGGTTTGAGGTAGGTGAATGGTTTAATTATTGTTGTTACAGTAGCCACGTCCAAAACAAAGTTGCGGTCGGTTTTTTCAATTTACCATAAGATGAGACATGGGAGGCCAATGAGCTATGGCCTCCAATGTCTCCCATTACGGGAATTAGGCAAAAACCAGGTAAAAATGTTGGCTGGTACCATAAATTATGGTCCATAATAGGATTAGTAGACTTAAATATTATTATGGGTATTTACTTCGAGGTTGCATCTTTAGCAACTTGCCAAGGTTTAGTGAGGCATGATTTTATTTTGGTATGATTTGGTTTGGCCAACTTTTGCATAATTTAGATAAACCAGATGTTGTTTAAAATATGAATATAAAGGAAAAAATAAGTAGAATTAAGCATTAGGGGTATTCATCACTTTGAGTTTGCATGCTTAACAAGGTTAGCATGAAAATAATTTTGTAAGAAATTCACTTAAAAAAATGCTACTGCTTTGGGCTCAACCTGATCCGATTTCTGATATGTAGGCTTGCATTTTAAAAAAATTAAAGTTTGTCTACCCATTTAAATTGTCGTAAAAACGCATTACTAAAAAGTCGAAAAGACAAAAAATTATAATAATTTCCATTAAATAATTTCAAACAAAAAATTGGCCAATTATTCAATATGATAATAGTTTGAATAAATGTTCCTCTTTCGATTTACTTTTTATCTTAAAAGTGCATAGATTCTGGGAAACATGCACCAATTTCAGTGCATACGGCACTCCCAGTTTATTCGTCTCGGTCTCTGTCTCTCTCACTCTCGCTCTGCTTTCTTTTTTTAGGACGCTATTTAATTATTCTATGCACTGCCTGCAATGACCAAGGAAACGAGGAAGTATTTGCAGCATTTTCGGCCAGCCTTCAACCCACAAAAAGTGTTGTTGTGTCTATTTATTGGATGAGCTATGCAATCCACGCTTTTGTGGTTGGTGGGTGAAACCCGGGTATTGGCTTTCTCTTCTTCCCGGACATCGGACGGACACAATGAAATGATGTTGGTTGTCGATAAGGCTCTGTCTTCCTGGGTCATTCTCCTCCGCGATAGGTCGATTTTTTTATTAGTTCGGTGCGAATAATAATGCGTACCTTGCACTGCCAGCCATGCAGCTACTGCCCTTTTGCATGTCAGCATATTCAAGGGAAAGCTGGAGAGAATTTGCGAGGAGGAGGATTTTATTGCGAATATGTATGCAGTGGCCGTGGAAGCTGTGGGGACATGTGGGGACGTTAACATTGTAGGATGGGGGAAGGGACGGGTTTGTGTAAGATGGGGATATGATAGATGATAAATATCGACATCCGAAATATCGACATTCGAACAACCGTGGGGACATTGTCCCTGTCTGTCCCCTCAAGCTTCCGCGGACACTGTATATATGTGACCCCATTTTTTTGCAAAGTTCTTGTTCAATAAATGGTGAAAGAGATGATAAGAGAGTGAAAGTGTTGTGTTGAAACTTGGATTAGCTTCAAATTTGGATGGGCTTTCTTTCTATATTTTGTTGTTTAGTATACTTAAAATAGTTATTTATAGCTAGAGAGTGAAAGTATTGTGTTAAAATTTGGATTAGGATATGGGCTTTCGCTTTCTTTCCATGTTGTTTAGTTTGGTGTACTTCAAATAGTTATTTATATAGCTAGTTAATAAAGTTCGATATTGGACGAGTCGTAGCAAATTTCTGTAAAATGCAGCACAATCGCTTGCTGACATTTCTTGGGGGTAGTGGCGTCAAAGTCGTTAAATATTTAGACGAATAATGCCCCGAATTTGACATGATTCCCTTAAATACTAAATACATACATTCTATCGGGCATCTGGAAAAGGGCATAAACTCGGAGAGTGTTTTGCAACTTGAATACACATCTTCGCCTCTTCGGATGCAACTATCTCTGCCAAACGTGCCCATTGGGAGATCGTGTCTTTTGCAACTTTCATATTAGTTAAATTTGTGATCGATTGAGACCAGTTTAATAACCAAAGTTTAAAACCTTACGCTGGGAGACGTCCATTATATATCGTGCTAATTTCGTACTCGAAGTTTTGTAAAGTAAATATTTTTGCACTTATCAAAATGAAATTAGGTTACAGTTTTGCATACAAAATTGCATGATTTCTTTTGCGAATTTCATATTCCTTAAATTTGCATCGAACTCCGTTTGACTCTCAAAATCTGATATCATACGCTGGGAGACCTCCTACTATTTTGCACTTTAAGTTTTGCACCATAAATATTTTCGTAATTTTGACAAAATTCAATTAAATTCCAATTTTGCACCCACCAATTTTTTGCATGCAAATCCAAAATTTTTGCAATCTCATCCTGACTCATCCTCCAAATCGTTTTGGGACCAAGTCCGCCACCTACACGGGGTTGGATGAAACTGTGAAAATTTGAAAATTGTCGCGGGAAGGCTTCCTCTCCTCCAATCCTCTGACCGATGATGATGCTTGCTGAACAAGGAGCTCACTCACTACTGTATTCCTAAAGGAAGGTCCCAGAACCAAAAACCAAACTAACTCCTCGAAAACGAGGTCATCCAGGGGCAAGGTCAAGGGTCATCCTACTCACAAAATTCTTGAGGTCATTAAAATTTCGAAAGTTTTTGAAATTTTGGGAACTTTCGAAATCTGTGGGTGCTCCCGGAGTAGGAAATCCGTCCGACTGACTGCTTGCTGGCTCACCTTCTTCTCTTTTGGCTGGCTGGTTGGTTTGGTGGCTACTTCTTCTCTCGCTCTTGTCCAGGACACAGGTAAGTTTTTCGTCTGCTCCTCGTTTTTTACGGGTATTTCGTATTTAGTGGGGAGAGGGGCACACCCCCTGAGGTAAAATGGGGTGAGAGTGTCTGGAGGAAGGGGGGTAGTGAGGGGTTTAGGAGAAAAAGTTATTTCCGGGTGGAATTTGGTAGGTAGGTTTGAGGAGAGAAGAGAGGTTAGATTTTTGGATGGAGGTGGGTTTTTTCTTGTTCTTTTCTTTGTAGTTTGTGAAGAGGGGGGAGGGGGGGCTGGGGGGGAAGTAGCTTAGTGGGGGGGGGTAGGTTTGATTGATTTCTGGGGGAATTTATGTGCCAGGTTTGTGAATAGGCAGAGTTGATTGAGAGAGGTTATAGGCTTGAAGGTGAGTAGGATTTAGGTTATTGGTCTTTTGTTTGTACTTTTTTAAAGAAGGGGGACTGGAGGGGGGGGAGTAGTTTAGTGGGGGGTAAGGGTAGGTTTAGATTTCTGGGTGGAATTTGTACCAGGTTTGTGGTAGGTAGACGTTAGATTTGAGTTGAACGAAAGGTTAGATTTGGAGGTGGGTTGGATTTCTTTGTATTTTTTAAGCACAGAGGTTCGAAATTTGATCCTTTTTGAGGTTGAGTCATTTCATTTTTAGTGTTTTGATCAGTTTAGCTGGGTGCTGCTGCTGCTGGGCTTGAGAGTAGTTAGATAGATAGTTAAGTTAGTAGTTAGTTGAGATTGAATGAGTCATCGGTTCGATTTCATGGTTAAATGGATATGGTGTGATTTGATGGGAGGCTATAGATTGAGAGAAAAGGTAGATTACGAATTATTCAGGCAGGAGAAGGGCAGAAGTATTATTTTGTCAAGTTAGTTATAAAATAAATGGATACTTGGCTTGGTGGTAGTAAAGTTAGTTAGTTAATTAGTGAAAGTTGGTTAGTCAGTTAGTTGAAGGGAAGCAGTAAGGCAAATAGGAGAGGAAGGAGGTTTAAGCAAAAGATAGTTAATTATCGGTCAAGAATAATTAATATTAGTGTTAACTAACACTGCTAACTACTCAATTATTTGAGGAGGAGACTAAAGTTAACGTTTTTTGTCTTTTTATGTCCAGATTTTACTCGATACTACTACGCGAAATCCATGTGATAACGTCTTGTGAGTACGACGACGACACTGTAAAGGAAAAGACTGATTAATTTCATTTCTTCTTTCTGCCAAGAAAGACAGCGCAGCGCAGCTACGGCAAAATCTCTTTGTTGATAAGATACTCGACTTGATCTCGGAGTGGTCAAGTCTCTTTTTGTGAGGTTTCTCGCATCAATAAATAATCCAGCAAGGAACGCAGATCTATAAAGGTCAACGGCATTACGATAGACAAAATGGCTTTGAAACGTATTAATAAGGTGAGTAATTAGAGTTTATTTTACTAATTAAGAGGGGAAATTAATTGGTTTTAATGATTGATTAAATAGGAACTGCAAGACTTGGGCACTGATCCACCAGCGCAATGCTCTGCAGGACCAATTGGTGAAGACAGTAAGTTGATATGATTAGTTGGTTAAGTTAATTAGTGTTTATTCGAAATTAATATACAGTGAATAGTGTCGAAAGTGTCGATTTAATGGCAATTAGTAACTTGGGGTATGTAACGTTTTAAAAACGTTTTGAGGAGTTCATTGCATATTAAGTTTGAAAGCATGATAGTTAAAGTAATTTTGTGTTTGGCCAAATTGTAAACATTTGTTTCTCTTTATTTGCAGTGTTTCACTGGCAAGCAACAATCATGGGACCGGTAAGTTTATTAAGTTAGTTAGTTAATTAATGTAGGAATTGATGAATGAGTCATCACCAAAATAGTTCAAATAAGCACATTGTTAATCATCTGTTTGCTCTGGGAACTTATTTTAAAATTCTGGATGACAAATTTGTAGTTGGTGAGTTGATTAATGGAATGGCGATGAGTTTTTTAACCTAGTTTCGATGGGTTTCAAATTTTCTGAATGCTTCTTAAACTTAAGATCTCGTAGCCCTTGAAGAAGTGTCAAAATCTGGGGTGTATTTTTTAATTGGGAACAACCTGCTCTACAAATTTGTCGTCCAGAATTTTAAAATAAATTCCCAGAGGCGAGATTGGATTAACAATGTGCTGATTTTGATGGATTTGAATTGAGCATGCATATAAATTTATTATTGTTCCCACAGCCGGACAGCCCCTACCAAGGAGGAGTTTTCTTTTTGTCCATCCACTTTCCAGTCGACTATCCATTCAAGCCGCCGAAGGTTTCATTCACTACGCGTATCTATCATCCGAACATTAACGCGAACGGGTCAATTTGTTTGGACATTTTGCGCTCGCAATGGTCGCCTGCTTTGACTATTTCAAAAGGTAAGAATCGATTTCAACCTTTATTCTAGTGTTAATAGATATCAGTTTACAAAAACTCATTTGAAATCTATGATCGAGTAAAATACTTTGTGAAAATACAGTATTTTGACAAAGTATTTTGCACACAATTAGTGGAAATTTCAAAATTAACCGATCCTTTTCTCCCAATTAATCTAGTGCTCCTCTCAATATGTTCACTTCTCTGCGACGCAAATCCGGACGATCCACTCGTCCCTGAGATTGCTCGGATCTACAAGACAGATCGGAACAAGTACAACGAACTAGCGCGCGAATGGACTCGAAAGTACGCCATGTAGTCAAACCAGAAGTCAGCACAATCATCATTAAAAAAAACAAAATCCGATAAATTCATGATCGCCAACGTTAACGTCCGCCACCTTCTCGTCAGTCCAACTCCTACTGAACCGAAAGAAGAAGAAGAAGAAGAAATACATGTCATTTATCCTTCTCTCCTATTATTTATCCTCATTTTTCTTATAATAATACTTATCGTCGTCGTCGTGTGTACGAGACATGAGCGAGATGAAGATTCACACTTAATTAATTAGAATGAATTTAAATGCGTAGCAAAATTTCTCATGTTATTATTATATAAAACTCACTACGCTCCGCTACTACTCCACATTTTTTCTATGTACGAAACACACCAAGGTGTTTTTAAATTCTTGTTCTTATCGTGTGTATCGAAATCTCGTGAGTTGATTGTACTTACTTTTTAGATACTTGTATAACAGCAGCAGGAAGAGGAGGAGCAACAGCTATATGCAAACCCCTAAAAAATTTTAAGTCTTCTACTTACTACTACTCCTCTATATATTTCTCTTTACTTGTTGCATTTATTAATTTAAATTTTTGTAACTGAAATGTCTCACAAGAGTTGTAAATGAATTGTGTTGAAATTTAAAAACGATTGAAAAGTTGTAGCAATATTTAATCATCTCGTTTTTACGATCATAATAATTAACGTGCTTCCCCTCTTGTCAAGGCCACTTTTTTACCTGTATGTCTGTCATTTTATGAATGTTCTTGTTAAGTTCTTATCTCTTTCTTTCTTATCTCCCGATGATGACACGTTACATTTGAATTTGTTGTTGGTATGATTTTTAAATTTTTCGGATGATATTTTTTTTTGTCTGAGTTCCCCACTAATAGGAAAGAAATTAGGGATATATAAAGAAAAATAGTCAGTTTAATTAAATACCGATTATTAACTAACACCACTCCAATCCAATCCACCAAACCAACACCAACCACTACATAAAATCGCAGTAAGTAAATTATAGTCAGTAAATAAGAGCAAATGTAAGTTTACTAATTAATAATAATTAGTGTCGTCGTCGTAAAGGAAGCGTCACGGTCGGAATTGAAATTGTCGTTTCTTTTTTTCTCAAAAAAAGTCCCCTTTGGAAGAAGAGTATTTATTAAATTGTAGGGAAAAGCAAGGCATTAATTATTAGTTACCCGGATGATAAGATAAGATGAGCGAGGGGAGATAAGCAGTGAGTAATAATAATAATAAATCTACCGTCGTCACTCATTAAAAACTTATGTGAAATATTATCTCTTCTGTATGATTAAAGAAATTAATACCTAAAAAAGAACACCGGTACTTATCCACATTTAAATAAAAAATAACCATAATTAATATCTTATAGGTAGCATTTATACCTTTTATATTTATATTGGATGATGGAGACAAATGTATGAGTGCGTGCGTCCCCTTGGGGGGTCGGCGATTTTAAATTGTTTATTTGTTCGAAACGTTTACCCACCCTGCTGAACTGATGAAACGATTTTTTTGTAATAATTAAGTAGTGACTAATTAATTAATTAGGTGCGTTTATAATTGATTATTTCGCCAATTTGGGCCAAAGTTTATAAATTTAACTATGGCGCAAGTACTGAAGATGAATAAACGCAGCTAAATATTTATAATTACGGAGAAATTAAATTGTAATTAATTATCTGCGTTTATACTTGACTCCTTATTTGCGCCAATGTTTTAACTATGGCGCAAGTTACTTACGACGAGTGATAAATAAATAAACGCAGCTAAATATTTACAAGAGAAGAAATTGAAGCAAAGCAAGCACTGAAAAATTGTGGAGATCGTCATCCCCGACTACTTTTTTGATTTTATTTATTTTTGTGTCCTCTTAATTATTATTTTCGAAATCTGAGACAAAGTGGAAAAAGCATTATTTTGTATTTTGTTGGATAAGTGTGTAGAAATTTGGAAAAGGTGTGTTTTTTTGTGCGATTTTTTTTCTCTCTGGTCTCTCTTCTTCTTGTGTGTGTGCGAATTTGTATGAATATGATGATGATGAATGAAATTGCGTTAATTAATTAATTAATTATTGTATTACTTGTGATTATTAATTAATTATTAAAAATATGATTAAATAACTATGATGATGATGATATTGGACTTTGCGTGCTAACTGTGAATGAATTTAGGGAATCAAGCAGAAGAAGAAGAATATTTGTTGTAATTTTTTTATGTATTTAAAATGCTGCATAAAATGATAAAATTACTGGAAAAGAAGACAGAGATTTATTTATTTAGGATAAGGTTTGGGATTTATTTTTGATTAGCTTTTTGATTGACGGCTTGTTTTTTTAGTTTGATTTATTGATTTTTTTAAAGGGCACGTTATTATCTGGAAATTATGAAGAAACGCATTAATTTTAAGGAGGCATTTCATAAAGAGTTTGGGAGGAGGAGGAGGAATTTCATAAAGAGTCTTAAAAGGGTGTAAAAGTAAAAGAAAATTTTGAATTTTTCGATTCTGGGATAAATTTTGAGTGGAAATATTTTCCTATATAAATTTCAAATAGTTAAAAAGTTAAAATAGTTAAAAAAATAGTTAAAGTATAGCAGCTTGATCTAAAAATTTCCGCTTTATAAATTTATTTTCAAAATTCAACAGAAATTTATAATAATTTATAAATATGGCTGTAAATTTCAAATTCTTAAAATTTCCAACCACATTTATCTCGGAATCGAACAGAAATCTTAACTTTTTCTCTTTTTATTTTCTTTCTTTTTAAAAAATTAATTTAAGTGCACCCTTAATTTTTAGCCATACACAATTTTCTCATCCCTGCTGCTGCGTACCTAGACTTTCGTTACGCAGTTGTTCTCTACCTCGGTAATAAAATCGGTAATAAAACTGCGACTTAAATTCACTCCTTCTTCTTGTCCAAGCCAGCAAGCAGGCAGAATGACGCATATGTATCATGCTTGCTGGCTGGCTGGCAAAATAAATGGTACGAAATCTCGTCATTGCTTTGCTGCCCCTGCATTCGCATCGCATGAACAAAGAAGAAAACGTATGTGCAATATGTAACCCGGAAGAACTGCTTTTTTTACCCCCTCCACACACCGCGTCACACCCCCCACAAAGGTCACCCCGAGGTCAACCCAATCATAGTTAAATTTTTCCTACAAATTTTCAAATTTTATAAAATTTCCAAAAATCCGTGCACAGTCCGGGCTGCGATCTGCTGATCACTTCAAAGAGACAGGGGAGGGAGGGGAGAGGGTAAAGTTTTGAAACAAAAAAGGTGGGGGATATTTTTGCAGGGGATAAGGGAGGGCTTATCGAGGGGAAGGGTTATCTTATCTGAATTTTCGGGTGGGTACGCCCCTTGCCCGTGCTGCACAAAGTGAACAGAGAAGAAAGAAAGGTCCTCAGTGTGATGAGAGCTTTTGGCAGGAGAGCAGCACGTTTTTCGTCATTCGCAGCGAACGGGATAGGAAAAAAAGTGTGTAAATCAGCAGCCAGCGAGCAAACAATAGATAAAAAGGCAGCCTATATAGCGTGTTTTACTTGTCCCCCTGTTTCTGAAATTGTGGGGATAAAATGAAATGAAAAAGTGGGAACATTTTGTCACAAAAGTTTGAAAATTTTGATAAGATACTTTCGACTTGGAGGGGTGTCGTGGGTCGTGGTGTGGTCGTCGTGGTGTAGTTGTCATGGCAACAGGAAGAGGAATAAATGAGATAAATGTTCCATCTTCTTCTGAGTCGTAGCGAAGGGTGAATTAGGTGTTCGAGAATACAAAAGAAAGAAGTTCGAGTTGCGACGAGGACGGAGGAAGGAAGAGATTTTTTGTAGGGAAAGAAAGAAGGGGACTGATAAGAGAAGAGAGAGATATCTGAACTGGTAGAAGGGAGAGTTAAATTTTAAATTGACAAGTTTTAAATTTCGAAAAGGAAGAAGAAACCAAGATAAGAAGATGTCGTCACCCAGCGCGGGCAAGAGGAGGATGGATACGGACGTTATCAAATTGTAAGTTAATTTATATTTAATTTTATTATGAAAATATTGAGAAGGATGAAATTGTGCTTATCTGCTGGTCAAATGGTAGGATTAAAGTGTGATGATGATGGGCATGATATAAATGTGTGTCAGGCTTGATAACCATTTTGTATATAGGGTTTTATATTGGGATTTGGGTCTGATTGTCCTGTGATTGTCCCGAGCAGAAGGGGATTGTCCAAGGACAAAGAAAATGGGGGGTCAGGTCAAATTATTGTCCAGTTGAGGGGATATTTTGAGGTCATTTATGCAGTTACAGAAGAGTAATAGATGCATAAATTTGTATTATATAAATTCATCTCGCAGAAATAATTCCTAATTAAGAAGACTTTAACCTGCTCAACATCCTGGAAAAAAGGGATCCAGAGCGGAAATAGGGTCGAGTTCTCCAGCTCCAGCGAATCGTAGAATTATTTTATTAGACTTTTTTTCATTTCATTTCATTACCCAGAAATATTTTTTCCCCTAGAAAAAAAAAACAACAATGAAATAATGCAGGCAGGCATGCATGCTCATCGTCGTCCGTTGGGTGTGGTTCACTAAATTCATACTAATAAATAAATATCCTTCATAGCAGTCTCCTTCTCGAGGGTGGGTGAAGTAGGGAGGGGTTACTGGTGACCAGACCACCACCACCAGCTGATTGTGCCCCCTCCAGAACAGCTGATCGTAAATCCTCTCTCTCTCTCTCAAAATCCTCTTACCCTTTCATACATATCTTTGTTAGTGAGTGAATTGAATTGAATGGTCGGTGGTGGTTTGGTTTGGTTGGTTGGTTGTCCAATACAAGCAATCCAATCCACTTATTATCTCGCCTGCTGCTGCTACTTTGGCGTTTGGCATTTGGCTGGCCAGCGAGAGTTGAGAACATCTTTGGACTCATCCCTTTTTTGAAGCAGTTTATGGATGGAGATGGATGATGGCATATATACTCACTTTTTGGTTAAAGAGAGCTATGGGATTGAAATGTGGCATTGATTTTAGTTACTTACCGAGGTGAACAGGCACATTAGCAGAAAGTTAGAGAGAGATATATAGGCATCATTGCATTGCAGTGGTTGGTATCTCGTACGTTCTGGTATCAGTGGCCGCGGAAGGAAGTGTGGACAATGTCCTCATAACTGTTGTTCGTCACCTGCCCATGTTGTTAATGTCCCCACACCTTGGGCGGGCTGTGTTTGTTATGTTATGTTATGCATGCACTAATAACATGTAGCTTTTGCTGGTCTGGCTTATGAAATGAAGGAGTGTGCATGGGAATGCGAAAATGTGTAATGTGTAAAGGCTGGATTTTACTCCTATAGACTTCCTTCGGTTTAGTCGGACGGAGTAGTAGAGTCGATTTCCCAGAAGAAGAGAGCCAGGAGAAAACTCTGTATGTATGTAGAATACTACACGAGGAGATTTGGTTTGGTTTGGTCGTCGTCGTCGTCGTCGTCGTGAAGTACATAAACCTGAACTTGGTGTTCGGTATGAAAGAGAGAGAGAAAGAGCTATATGTTGTTACCAGCCAAAAGTAAGTAAGTGAGCAGAGAGAGAGAGGACTGACCCTGATCAATACGTACGGAAATGGTACGTACATACCAAATTAAAGGCAAGGAAAGGATGACTGACTCATGTATGCATTTATTGGCAAGTTGATAATTGATGGGGGACAAATTGGGCGTCATTTTTAAGTAAACTATTGGCGAATAAATAAATCTTGTCGCCAAGGAGGAGGAGGAGGTTAGGTGGAGGGAAGAATGATGCTAAAAGTAGGTCATGGCGCCACCACCACGAGCAGCAGAAGCATGACTAGTGAGAGTGTGAAGCTATATGCATCTCGGCTGCTGGGGTGCGTTACATAATCGTGGCAAATTATTGCAGAGCTATAGCAAGTGATCTCTGGTTTGGTTATAGGCTTGACATTGGGCTGGGAGGGAGGGAAGGAGTTGAAACTGATGAGAAATTTTGTGTAGTTGCGACGGCATGTGTCGTCGATGTCCTTGTTGTGCGTAAATATGTTGATTGGCGAATTAAGTGCGTGTATGTAAATATGTAAATAAATAGCTAGCTGGTTTGGTTAGTTAGTTAGTTAGTGATATCATGCATGATGAGTTCATCATCTTGACGAGGGGGTAGTTGGGAGGGGGGTGGAGTGGATTATTGCACGCGTGGATAGGTATTAGGTTAGGTAGGTACTTAGCAAAATAGTGAGTGACGCTATATGCACAAAGAAGGATCGAATCGTGCAGAATGACAATAAAAAAGAGCGAGCGAGCGAGGCGCAGTATTTTATTGCAGGGTAAAATAAAAGTAAGTAACATACGTGAGGTAATAAGTTGAAGAATTGTGGATGGCTGGACTGGAGTGGATTTTGATATTATTGAGGCACGCAGCCAAGAAATTTTATAAAGGAGCCCGAAAAGTACGTAAAACTGGGTAAGCGTTACATAGTTTTGGATTGAAAAACAGGATTTGACAAGAATGAAATGACCAGCTAATTGAATTCTGTATAAGCTATGTGTCGCGACCAGTGGCCGCGGAGGAAGGATATGGACAGAGGGGCAATGTCCACACGGTTGTTCGATGTCCCCATCATCTATACCCCCTAATGTCCCCACGGTTGTTCGATGTCCCCATCATCTCTCCATCTAATATAAACCCGTTCCTCCTACAATGTTAATGTCCCCGCGGCCACTGTATGTCGCGACCTGGTCTGGTCTGGTCATTGAATGATGATAATGATAATGACAAGGAAACTTTTTACGATGGACGACGACGACCAAGCTGATTAACAAAAACACGACTCGATTTTAGCTTTGGGAAGAGTCCAGTTATTTATTTTGCTGGGTCGTCGTCTTACGCTTATCTTTCTCCACTACATATTTCTCATCATGATTTGAATGGAGTGAGTGAGTGAGTGAGAGTGAGTGTTGATCGTGAGACGAGCATGTGTCAATAAAGTTATGCATGTAAAAGTAATAAGTTATTGACCTTTATCTGGTTGGTTGGTTGGTTGGTTAAGAGGCCTAAAAAAGATGGAGAGAAACAGTTTGATAAATAGGAATATTATTACAGGTCTAAAATTATCTGATTTTCAGTCCATGCATTTAAATTCATGCTAAAATTAGGGTCGAGTGGTGCGAGTCAGTTTTGTTTGATGAGTGTTGATGGGCTGTCCTTCTGTCGTCAGATTTGGGTTCGTGTTGACACTGGGTTGACATTTATGGTCTGGTCGTCGTCGTCGTCATTTGTTGTCCAGAAGGGAAAGGACTTTGTGAGTGAGTGATGATGTCACACACCGCGTGGGACTTATTTTCAGCCTCTGGTCATTTCATTAATATCGGGGTATTTATAAATAGCATAGTTGGATTGGATTGGACGGAGAAAAAGTGCCTTAAATTAATCGGGTGTGCTATTATTATTGTTGGGCACCACATATTAACTGGAGAGGGTCGTAGATATCTACGTAGTTGATAACATGATGGCTGAGTAGACTAATTTATTGAGGTTATTGCCTTTCCCAAATCCCAAACCACTAACTGGCTAACTAACTAACTGCATAAGTAACTACGACGTATATTCATCGATAGATTTGTCCCGAGACGAAGGCATTGTTTAAATTTAAGGCCAATGTTGTCATAAATGTCCAAAATGCGTGTCCATCCATCCAATCCACCACTAACTGGCTGACTGGCTAACTAATTATATAAGTAAGTAAGAAGTACATATTTAAATGGCATCTTTATCGATAGATTTGTATTAGCAGGAAGAAGGCATTGTTTAACGTAATGTTCCGATCATAAATGTCCGAAATGTTGGCCCATCCATTGTACAACTCTGCAACTTATCGATGAATCCATTAGTAAATACATACGTGAGGATGGATAATAATCCTGGTTAAATTTGATGCCTGCCTCTGGTTTATTTAACAAACTTTTGCTTTGCTTCCTCATGACTAATGAGTTGGGTCTAATGTGTTATGAATTTTGATTTCGACTACTTCTCGTATATCATCACATTAGACTGCGTAGCACGGTTTATTTACTAATTGACTTTCATGTTAAACAAGAGATTTTATTATGCGTAAATAAATAAATGAACACGTGGACGTGGAAGTTTTTTGACTTGAGCTAATTTTGATGTTTTTTTTATGATTGTAGGATCGAGTCGAAACATGAAGTCACAATTTTGGGAGGATTGAACGAGTTTTGCGTCAAGTTCTATGGACCTCGTGGCAGTAAGTGGGGCATGGATTGTGGAAAAATTAGGGGGAAATTATATGGAGAGAAAGCATTCTTAGGTTTTAATTATGCAAAAATGTGTCAATTATTTGTTAACGTAGGACTGGAAGACTTATCAAAATCTGCACATTTCTCCGCTCTGGGAATTTATTTTAAAATTCTGACCGACAAATTTGTAGAGCAGGGAGTTCCCAATTCTAAACAAAATATACACTCCAGATTTTGACCCTTTTTGGCGGAGGAGATCTCAAGGTTAAGAAACCTTCAGAAAAATTGGAACTCGTAGAAACTACCTTAAAAAATTCAGCGTCATTCCATCAATCAACTCACTGACTACAAATTTGTCGTCCAGAATTTTAAAATAAACTCCCACACGGGAGAAATGATTAGAAATGTATTGATTTTGACGATTTTGGTGATTAGTCATCCAATTGATTAAAAATGTATTGATGTGAACGATTAGTCATCAAATTCTACGTTAATTGTGTCACATTAAGTGCGTATTAAGAAGGGCAAAAGCAAAAAGTAGTAAGCTGTTTTACGTCATAAATAATTATTTTGTCCTAAAAAGTAGTAGTAGTCGTATTTAAAAAAGAGAAAAGTTTTGGCGAGACTATAATTAAGAACGAGAGCGGGCGGGGGGACCTGATGATAACAGTACTTACTGGTTTTTGGTAAAAAGAAATGCATAATAATAACAAGTCTACATACGTATATACGTAGTCTGCACATGTATGTATGTGCATTAGTTATTTAGCTGATTGTTATTGGATTGGCTGTTATGTTATGTTTGTGAGGCTGGCAAAAGTTGAGTTGGTTTTATTTAGCGAGTTGTTGTTCTTTGTTAGATCGCAATAAAAATATTGCGCTGTTGAGTTGCGTTGCATTGCACGATGCGATGCACTACCCAAAATTGAGTAGCATGACAATAATAATGATGATGATAAGTTGGGTAAGTGAGTAAGTAAGAGTTTCCTTATGAATACGATATATGCTGGCAAATTTAATTTGGCGATTAAAAGTGGCAGGATTGTGAGAGGGGGGATTTAGGGTTTTATTATTACGTGCCGTATTTGCCCCCAATTTAAATTTATTATGACCAATCTTTCTTAATCATGAATGTTGAGGGTATTAAAGTTTGGAGAAGGTTTTTGAATTTATGAGACCCCGGCAAGGCCAATGTTATCGTAAATTTGTAAGGCATTACAAATTTCAAAGTTTGGAGAAGGGTTTAAATTTTTGTCTCGATAAGAAGGCCAATGTTATCATAAAAATGTTGGGGGTATTAGAACTTTCAAAGGTTTTGCCCCAAATAATTGTCCCGATAAGCCCAGTGTTATCGTAAATGTTGAAAACATTGCAAATTTGGGAAGGATTTTGAGTAGGTTTTGTTGTTAAAATTAATCTCTAGGTTTCTTGTAGGGCTGGTGCATGTTTTGGACGGAATTTGGAGTCTATATAGGAATTCATCACTCTTTAGCAAAGCAAGTGAGCTCGCAGTTTTTTGCAGTGTGCAAATATCATCACGAGGCGAGCAGCTGATTCTGATCGACACGATATAAAATGTGCTATGCGCTATGCTCCTCAGGGCGATGACTACTGCTCGTGGCGTTCGTTCGCTCCTTCCTTTGCGAAATTATGTGTGTGCTATGTGTATAATCGAGCTGCTCTGGATAATAACATGTCTATATTATTTGCATGAAAGGTGGAATTGAATAGAATTGCGTAGTGGGAGAAGGGGGAGAATGGTCTATAGCGTCGGAGAGAGAGGGTGCGGTTTTAAAATGGATGGATTATAGGTCACCCACGGGTTGTGAAGGGGTGTTAGACTCCTCCCATTTTTGATGTCTGGTAATGTTATTGGGATTGAGAGGGTTGATTAGGAGGAGGAGCTTATAGAAGATATGCTAATGATTGAGGGACCGAAATTCGGATTAAAGGCAATGTTTAAAGACGAATGTTGTGATTAATCAGTTAAAGGTCTTACATGGGAAAACATGTGTTGTTAAACTCCTCCCCTTTTTCATGTACTGCAATGTTACCCTTATTGGTCTTCTTTATTAGGAGGAGGAGCTTATGTCGATTGAAATTCGGATAAGAAATCGATGCTTAAGAATGTTGAGGTGATAGATTGATTAACTAATTAATTAATTAATTAAAGCGCAATGGTCTCACATGGGACAAGTTTATTATTACTCTGGCTGGCTGGATTTTATAACGGTGTAGCTTACTAAATTAAATGGTCTCGATTTAATGTATTATCTACGTGTTTAAACCAGATTTTGGTGGAGGTACATGTGTAAATACGACTTGGAATATTGATTGATTAAGTAAGTAATTGATTAATTAATTAGGGCTCAATAGTCTTACAAGTTTATTACTCTGGCTGGATTTTATAGCCGTACTGTACCTTGTTAAATTAAATGGTCTCGTATTTTAATGTATTTTGCGTGATAATCTGCTTCACAAGTACGTGTTGCTAAGCCGGATTTTGGTTGGTGGATGTTAGAGGTGAGTCGGGCCTAAGATTTTCAAAGCCCGGCCCGCCCAAGCCCGACTCAAAAACCCTATTCAAAAGCCCGACCCGCCCAAGCCCTATTCAAACCCCAACTCAAAAGCCCGGGCCCGCCCAAGTCCACATTTTCTAAAGCCCGAGCCCGCCCAAGCCCTATAGGGCTTGGCCTTGAGAAAGCCCGCCCAGGCCCGAGCCCATCGGGCTTTGAGCCCGGGCCCATAGGGCTTAATCGGGCTTTTTTGTTATGGCGTGACAAATTATTTATACAATTAAAAATAAGATTTGTAGAGCGTTCTAAGTTACGCATGACGAAACACGAATTGATAAATAAAGAAGTTCAAATTATTTAACAAACACATTTCAAAGGTTTAGTAAAAAATAAATTATTTTCACAAGGTACAAAAATAAATAAACCCAAAACTGTTAGTGTCAATGATGTTTAGTAAACAAAAAACGTAGTTTTTATGAACGAATGTCAGGTTGGATAAACTACTGCCGCTAATCCTAAGTTCAGTGCGACTGGTGGTCAACGTTAAACCGGTGCTTTAAAACACTCTCTCATCACTAGCTTGTGATGCGGGGATTGATAATATCCTTGGAGTAATTTTCTGCATCAGTGGAAATTGTGTGGCGCCACACCAAAATTTCAGGATATGCTGACCTCGCTTGATCCAATAGCCTGACCTTCTTTGAATATGTATCCTCTTGCACAGTAAGCTTATTTTGAATTCTCCGTCCTTTCACACTTTAGATGTGCAACCCTGCTAGTAATTTTTTCACACCAATAACAACAATCATTTCCATTTTGAAAATTTTTGATATTGGAATTACTTTTTAATGAAAATACTATGAGAATACAATAATGCATTGTGAATTGCAAGTATAAAATACAAATGGTGCGCTTTTGGCCAAACTTTTGACTCTCATATTACTCCTAACTCCACAAAAATATTAGTCGGGCTTTTGAGTAAAGCCCGAGCCCGACTCAGGAAAAGCCCGCCCAGGCCCGACCCGACTCATGGGCTCAACTCAAAAGCCCGGGCCCGCCCAAGCCCTACTCAAGTAAAGCCCGCCCAGGCCCGGCCCTACTCAAAGGCCAAACTCAAAAGCCCGGCCCGCCCAAAGCCCGTAGGGCCTGGGCGGGCTCGGGCTAGCCCGATTAAAGCCCAAGCCCGACTCACCTCTAGTGGATGTGGAGGTACGAGTACGACTTTGAAGAATAATTGGATTGAAGTGTGTTTGAAGAATGGCTTTCCTCTCTCTGGTAATTGGAATCGGACGAGTAATTTGAGTCTGGATTTGTGTGAAGTGTAAACTTTGAGTGTTGAAATGCTCGAGAGAAGTTGTGAAATTCTCATCAGAAACTTGAGCCGAGTTTTTGATTAATTAGCTTTTCACAGAGTTTAAAGCGCTGATTGAAGTGGTCGTCGTGGTGGTGGTTTGGACAAGGATGGATAATTTTGAGCAAAACAATATGCTGAATGTTCCGAATTTTATGTGTAGGCAAATGTTATTTGGTGGTGGAAATATGGACAGAATTTGTGTACATGTTTAAAAAATTTGCGAGATTTCCGAAATAGTTTTCATATGTGTAATGGGGTCTAAAGGTTTTTGAAGGCTTGTAAATGTAGAGAAATACTGGGAAATACAGTGGTTTTTAGAGCACATTCATGAAGTTTGATGGTGTTTCATGAAATGATAAAGTTGGAAATTTGTAAAATTCGGATTTTCTGAAATCTGGTTTTTAAAAAATCTATTGTTTAATAAAATAACTCAAAAAACGGTTTTCTGAAAATGTATTCGCTTTAATTTGATAACCAAATCCCCGTTTTTTTTGGAAAATTCCTGGAAATGGGTTTAAATTCGTGAATAAAATAAATTAAATGTATGTATTATTTATACTCGAGGTTATCATCATGATTTTGATAAGTGGTGTCCTGCTTGTTTTGCAGCTCCATACGAGGGAGGAATCTGGAAGGTGCGGGTACATCTGCCCGAGCACTACCCGTTCAAGTCGCCCTCGATCGGTTTCATGAACAAGGTGTACCATCCGAACATTGACGAAGTGTCTGGAACCGTTTGTCTCGATGTCATCAATCAAGCCTGGACAGCTCTTTACGGTAAGAAGAGGAGGACAATTTATTCAGATCTGAATAATTGCAGACACCTGTAATTACGTGAATGTTGGTGATAACACCATTTTTGAGCCGGAAAACTAGATGGTATTGAAGTGGTGGTCAATATGATGTTGATATTGATTGTAAATCTACGCACTTTAATTAATAATTATCTATAATTACTAATTAAAGTTTGTACAATTAATTTGGATAGTCAGGAATTACAAATTGGTGTTTGGTTGAAAGATGTAGTGATTAATATTTTTTTTTGTTTTTTTCCAGACCTGTCGAACATCTTCGAGTCGTTCCTCCCACAACTGTTGACGTACCCGAATCCGATCGACCCCTTGAACGGGGACGCTGCAGCCATGTACCTCCACAAACCTGAAGAATACAAAAAGAAAGTTTCCGGTAAGAACAAAATATTTGAATTGAATGGGAACGTGTAATGGAATTTTATAATGTTTCTATTTATTTCTTTTAGAGTACGTTCGGAAGTACGCGACGGAAGACGCGCTGCGGGACGCGGAGGCGAACAAGGATCAATCGAACGACAAGGCGAACGGTGCGGGGGGTGGGTCTGGCGTGAGTGGGGGCGGCGGCGGTGGTGGCGGGACCGGGAACGGGAACCACTCCTCCACCCACAACATTTCCTCCGACTCAGAGTCATCCATGTCCGATTTCTCAGAGGACGAAGCCCGGGACATGGAGCTATAAAGAAAATCTACACTTTTAAAATTATCGTCGTCGTCATCGTCGTCGTTATCGTCGTACTTAAGGCTTTTCGAGTGGATGCGCCATTAGAAATTTGAATTTTTCATCTCACCTTACCTTATATTTAACGTCTGTAAATGCAACTTTCTAAAACGCCGTCAATTTCATGAATTTTCAAATGATGAAAATTATGTTACGTAAACGTACAGTTAATTTTTGGTATTACGCAATTATTGTTTTGAAAAAAATGGTTTATTCATTTTCACGGAAATTTATTCTGAAACATGGCAAATAATGAAATATTATATAAATGAAATGATGAAATATTATATAAATTAAAAATGAATAAACAGAATTTCATACAAAATAAAAATCGGGGATTATATATGGGAATATTTGGTTTATTTGTTGCATAATTATGTCACTTGTCGGAAGTGTCGTCGGGAAATTTGTAAGTTTCCAAGAAAGTTTTCCATGAATTTTTTCCTCAATGCGGAAATCTTGCTTATTTGCATAAATCCCACTTTTGAAATAGACTAAATTGAAAACCTTGTTACCATTTCTGAAAAAAAAATTCTATATTTTATCGAGTCTCAATTTCTTCATTTTTCTCACAAAATTTTAAGTTGTATAAGTATTTATCTCTTCTTTTTTTCTCGTCCTCCCACTTCATGAAATTCTCACCGATTTCTAATTGAATTATTGCATTGCTTCTTCGCCACGTGTAAATTACCAACTTATTTTTTAATACAAATTAGTTACGTATTTTATTAATCACTTTCTTCTCTCGAGGTTCAAAATGGGACATAATTGTTCAAAAGATTCCACGAGCAAGGAACGCCACAGTGACGACAAATATGATCACCTTCTCGTCAAGCAATAAAGCAACGCTCGTAGACTTCGTAACGCAAGGAGGGGATTATGCTGGAGTTTCATATTTTGGATGAGATACTCACGATAAGCAATTTAATGAGAATGATCATTCATCAATTATTGAGGTCTGCGATATCATAATAATATGCAAACTGACAATGGAGTTCTCCCAGCGTATGCTCTCCGATTTTGATCAAATTATTGTCAATCGATCACAAATTCCATTAGTATGAAATTTGCAAATGGAGCTATCTGCAACAGCATGTTTAGCGGAGATATTTGCATCCCAAGAAGAAAAAATGCGCCCAAAAGCAGACAAATTTAACATTTTCAAAATTTGCTGAAATTTTAGAGTCTTTGGATGGAATGCTCACGATAAGAAGATGAACGACCATTCATTAATTAGTGAGGGCTGCTTCTCATAAAAATATGCAAACTGAGACTTGCTGTTGCAGAATTATTTGTTCACCTTGGTCCCTTTCGATATGCAACATGAGCCCTGTCCGATTCATACCTGTTCACTTTCATTCATGTAACTGAGTATGATAGAGAGTGATAGTGAATGAAAATGAATTTCCTGTGATTTGAATGAAAATGAGTGAAAGATTCCGTCATTTCAGATGAATGACTGTGAATGAATGGATTCTTCACTCATTTCATTTTTCACCCTATGCTTAATACATGGGTCGAAGTAAGAAATGAAGTCAGATGAAGTGAAACGAAATGAATTTGAAGAAAATGATTGAAAATCTTCAGTCAGAAATTGGGATGACTGACTTTTGAATGAAAATTAAATTTTTGAAAAGGTATGGTCTGATTTAAGTGTGACGCACAAACTGACCCTTCTTCTCGTCACGATGAAACATTTCGTCGTCACTGTTCCAGCGTTGCATTTATGTCGACGCATGGAAAAATGGGAGCGAGACGCGAACAGAGTTTTATACTAAAAGATAATGACTTTACTACATAAAAATCATCATGGTCAAAACGGTAACAAAAATTAGGTCATGTTTACAACTTGATACTTCAATAATGCCATTTTTATGAATCGTATAAGAATATTTATCGTGTCGTAAATAGCGAAACCGGAAAAGTTATAAAAATCATTGAAAAAGTATGGGAAACATGTCGCAATTTGATGAGGGGTCAGTAGGGGGACGAAGAACTTTATTATTCGGAGGGGTGAAGCTTCCTGAGCCTCACAAGACTGGATTTCTGCGTGAATGTGTGACCGCAGTGGGGGCAAGGGAGCCGGATTTTGGCATGAATACTGCTCAGATGTCGCACCATGTGACTCTTCGTGCCGAACTTATTGCCGCACTGGTGGCACGCGAAGTCCTTCACATTCCGGTGAACCGTCTTCTTGTGGACTACAAGGGAGTCTTTTGTAGTCAAGGCTTGATCGCATTCAGTGCACTTGAAGGGTCGCGGATCCGCGCTGTGAATGCGCGCGTGCTTGTTTAAGTTACTCTTCAAACTGACCTGCTCCACGCACTGGTCGCAGGGAAAGGGTTTCTCCTTCGTGTGGGTGACCAGGTGCTCATGATAAGTGCGGTTATTGGGGAAAATTTTGTGGCAAAATAAGCTGACGCGACTTACACGCTGCTCCACGAGGGCGACCTTCTCGTCTTGGCTGAGGTGGAGGAAACGATGCTGGGTCAGGGTTTCTTTGGAGGAGAACGTTTTTCGACAAGTGGGACACCTGCCGCCAATCTTTTCCTTGGTGTGGGTCAGAAGATGACGACTAAGATCGGATGGGCTTTGGAATCGTTTTGTGCAAAAGTAGCAGACGTGTCGCCAGCCCTGACGCACCTCCGCGCGCTCCTCTCCGCTCATGTGGACGAAGAGATGGTCGGTTAAGTGGTGACGCATGAAGAACACTTTTGCGCAGTGGGGGCATTTCTCATGGAAAAGTGAGGTCCGCTCCAGCTCGTGGGGGTTGAAGTGGGTGCGGGCGTGGTGAGCAGCACTGGTTTTGCAGGTGAATGGACGAAGGCAGATTTTGCATGGGAAGATTTTCTTATTGCCAATAAGTTGTGGTAATTTCTTGGCGTTTGATGATCTGCTGTTGGCTGAGGGTGACTGCTCGTGGTTATTGGCACATGCTACTTGGACGGAGTTAGTCTTCTGAGGAGGAAGTTGTCCTTTCTTTTGAAAACGGTCCCCTTTCTGGGTTGTGGGGACGAGCGATTTCTGGCCTTTGCTCATTTTCTGGCTGACCTGCATCCCGTTCAACGGCAACATGTCGGAAGTATCCCCGCTATCAACCCGTTCTCTGCACACAACATCATGACGTCAACATTTGGTGTTGATGAACAGATTTTACATGAAAGTTCCTAATGCAATCTTACCAAAGACGACTCCTTCTTAAAATTTGGCGTGTGTTCGGGATGCAGTCAGTTCGGGAGGAAAATCTTTTCTTCTTGGAATCCTGCTTTATTCAAGCGATGTTCAATTCCTCCAGCTTTCTTAACTTGGAGCGTTCTGCTCTTCTTTTCTGAATGTGAGCTCGGCGTAAATTTGGAGATGTTTAAAATTATAGAAATTTCTGGAGGAAGAAGTGAGCTCTTGTTTTCCGAGGAGCTTGTTGGTCTCTGACTGAGAGATGGCTTCGCTGATCTGCGTATCCCACCGACAGCCAAGCCTCGTATAGCCAGACGTACCAAAAAGGTAACAAAATGCAGAATAAGTTATGTAAATATGGAGAACTAAATAAGCAAGAAATTCATGGGACAAGCAACAACACGTTGGTGATGGTGCTTATTGATCATTGATTAGTTATTCAACGCAAATTAAGACGCGTGTCAACTTCTGAAGAAATATGCATACAGAATCTCGTAAATTTGGTTGTGAATCAGACTTGCTTTCCTCTTTTCTTATGCTATTGCTGCTCTGTGCAAGTAACCACTTGGTGGGAGAAATAACGGGGAGAAAGTGGTTTCGTGCAGGGGAATATTTTGACATGGGAGAAATGCAAGGTCCAAGAAACTACGCCCCGCTGCCGTAAATAGAACAGTTGGAGGAAAGATCAATACAAGGAATTCAGCATACGATCGAGTCAAGACTTCTTAACTTTTCTAATACAATGTTATTATACGCATGCACATTTAATTTAATGGAAATGAGCACTTTGATCAATCATTAAATTACTTGTGGCATTCTCCTACACCGGAAATGCATACGGAATCTCGGAAATTTAGTATAGGTATTTGTCGCCAACCTTTTATCTGTATGCTCAATGCTTGATTTCTTGTGTATCTATGCATGTATGCCACGGGAAGAAATATGCATGAAAATATGGCTCGTTTAGTTATGATGCTAGATTTGTTCTCATCCTCCTCAGCCTGAAGTTACGTTTTATTTCCTTTGGACAAAAACAATTCATAATTTCCTCAACTAAGCCCAAAGTTTCTGCCGCTATGAAAAGTATGGTGGAATTTTAGACTTTCATATTTCTGGATGGAATGCTCCCGATAAGAAAGTGAACGACAATTCATCAGTTATTGCGGGCTGCGTATCAAAATTAGTATGCAAACTGAGATTTCTTGCATAATTATTTGTTCCCCTTGGTCCGTTTCGATATGCAACCCGAAATATGAGCCCTTTGCATGATTTAAGTGTGATGAACAAAGTGACATTTCTTCTCGTCACGATGAAATATGTCGTCGTCACTCTTCCAGTGATGCATTTATGTCGACAGGTGGAAAAATATGAGCCAGACGCGAGCAGACTTTTATATCAAAAGAGAATCACTTTACTGCATAATTAAGATCGTCATGGTCAAAACGGTAACAAAAATCGTGTCTCATAATTTATAAGACACGATTTTTTATAAGTTATAAACAACTTAATACTTGAATTATCTACATACGCCATACTTATCGGAATAAATATCTCGTCACAAATGGTGAAAGGGTCGCATTTAATGGCGACCCTAAGTGACTGAATGGGATACCCTAAGAACTAAACCCTACGGTGGACTGAATGGCCTACCCTAACACGTCGAAAAAATAGCTAATAACTCAAACTGAATCTCGACCCTAAAGTTCTGATAGTTAAAAATCGTCGATTTACATCATTTCTTAGGTAATTACATCTCGATTATCATTTATTAAGACCATTTCTCAGAATATATTCTTAAATTAATAAAAAATTCAACAACAAGAGCTCGCTTGCATTTCTTTGGGCTCCCTGGTCCACGTTTTAACCTAAGAGGTACATTTTTGCAAGTATCAGAGATATTAAAATGTCTGTAGATGTATGCTAGTCTGGTTAAATGCTCACAAACATGCTGTTTTCTAAATATTTGGCAATTACATAGAGAAATCAACTAATTTGATTCTTGTGCTTTAGTCTGTGCGAACGGATTACATACACTCTAAATAAAAATAAGTAAAATTTACTCAAGTTTGAGTAAAAAAAACAGTGGATGACACAACCAAAAGGTATAATTTATCCAATCATTGTGCAAAATTTGTCCAAAGTTATGTATGTAAAATGTCCAACGGGTGGGTAAATTTTGCACAAAGTTGGTTATTTTTAACTTCTGGTAGTGTCATCCTCTTTTTTACTCAACTTTGAGTAAATTGTATTTATTTTTATTTAGCGTGTATAATTTAGCTAAATAAAATATATTGGGAAATTAGGGTAAAGTTTAAGATAAATAAGGATGGTTATTGGCAAGTTAGGGAAGGCCATTCAGTCCACCGTAGGGTTTAGTTCTTAGGGTATCCCATTCAGTCACTTAGGGTCACCATTAATATTTGCCCATGGTGAAATGAAATGAGGAAAATGTAAAACTAGCTAAAACCTATCGTCAACAGGTGTCCTGTTGTTTGCCAGGAGGTGGGTGAACTGACATGTTTGTTAACTTCTGACTTGGTCGTGTACGTCTTCCCGCAGAGGTGGGGGCAGGGGTGCCGGATTTTGGCATGGACACCCTTCACGTGTTCCTCCATGGTCCCCTTCCCCCCGAACTTCTTCCCGCAGGTGAATATTTTGACCTGCAAGAAATACAGTAATCACACCCCGGCTCCATAAATACTTCATACGGCGCTTGGCTGGATGGCGCATATTTATTGCACTTTCTTACACCTCGAATTTCTTGCGTTGCTTGTTTTTCAGTGCAAATAAAACGTAGATGACAAACCCGCAAGAAACGAAACACTTGGAGGAATAATTAACAAAAGGAATTCTGCATACCTACGACCGAGTCTGGATTTCTTAACTTTTCTTGTACATACAATGTTATTATACGCATACATTTTAATTAAATGGAAATGAGCACCTTGGTCAATCATTAGATTACTTGGGGCACGTAAATTGACCACTCCTGCACGGAAAATGCATGCGGAATCTCGGAAATTTAGTATATTTGTTGTAAACCTTTCATCCTTATGCTCAATGCTTGATTTCATATGCATTTATGTATGTATTTATGTCACTATTACTGGAAGAAATATGCATGCAACATCCATCTCGTTCACTTATGCGGCTGGCTGCGGATAAGATATACATTTGTAGATGGAACGCTCCCGATAAGAAAGTGAACGACAATTCATCACTTATTGATGTCTGCGGATCAAAATTAGTATGCAAACTGAGATTTCCTGCAGAATTATCTCTTCACTTTGGTCCGAATCCAAATCACAATGCGAGCCCTGCACGATTTTAGTGTGATGCACAAAGTGACCTTTCTTCTCGTCACGATGAAATATGTCGTCGTCACTGTTCCAGCCTTGCATTTGTGTCGGCGCATGGAAAAATGGGAGCGAGCAGGGAGCAGACTTTTACATAAAACAGAATGACTACTTCAAAATCGACATGGTCAAAACGGTAACAACAATTGTGTCATGTTTATAAATTAATACTTCAATTATGCCATTTTCATGAGTCGTACGAGAATAGTTATCAATAAGTGTCAATAAATAGTGAAACCGAGAAAAGTAATTTTAAAAAAACTGAAAAAAGTATGGGAAACGTCGCAATTTGACGAGATTTCAGTTGGGGGACGAAGGACTTCATTCTGGAGGATGGACCTTCTTCAAATGCGTCCCTAGATGGTCTTTCCTCGAAAATGTCTGGTCACAGTGGGGGCAAGGGTGTCGGGTTTTGGCATGAACGCTGCTCATATGCCGCATCATGTGACTCTTGGTGCCGAACTTCTGGGGGCAATGGAGGCACGTGACGTCCTTCATCTTCCGGTGAACGGTCTTCTTGTGCCCGACGAGATGTACTTTTTGAGTGAAGGCTTGATCGCATTCGGTGCACTGGAATGGTCGCGGATCCGCGCTGTGAATGCGCGCGTGCTTGGTTAAATTACCTTTCAAACTGAACTGCTCCCCGCACTGGTCGCAGGGAAAGGGTTTCTCCTTCGTGTGGGAGACGAGGTGAGCTTGATAAGTGCGGTTGTTGGAGAAAATCTTGCGGCAGAATAAGCACACTCGACTTACACGCTGCTGCACGAGTGCAATTTTCTCGTCGTCGTTGAGGTGGAGGAAACGATGACTGTTCAGGGCGTGTTTGGAGGAGAACGTTTTTGGACAAAGGTGACACCTCCCGCCCAACTTTTCCTTCGTGTGGGTCACCAGATGACGACCGAGATGAGATGGATCTTGGAATCGTTTTTGGCAAAAGTAGCAGTCGTGTCGCCACCCTTGCCGCACTTCCGCGCGCTCCTCGCCGCTCAGGTGGACGAAGAGATGCCGGGTGAAAGATGGTTTCGTGGTGAACTTCTGCTTGCAGACGGGGCAGGCGTGGTTTTTGCGACCTTCGTGCGCTGCCACGTGGTCGTCAAAGTCGCGACGATTGAAGAACACTTTTTCGCAGTGGAGACATTTCTCGTGGAAAATTGAAGCCTTCTCCAACTCGGCCACGTTGAGGTGGGTGCGGGCGTGTAGGTGAGCACTGGTTGCGTTAGTGAAGGGACGAAGGCATGTTTTGCATGGGAAGATTTTCTTCTTGCGGACTGGGGCTGATTTCTTGGCTTTTGATGGCCTGCAGTTGGGTGAAGGGGACTGCACGTGGTTATCGTCACGTGGTGTTGGCTGTGCTTGGACGGAGTGTGGAGGAAGTCGTCCGTTCTCTTGAGGCGTTGTGGGGACGAGCACTTGCTGTCCTCTGCACATTTTCTGGTTGACCTCCATGCCGTCAAAGGGCAACGTCTCGTACTGCTCGGAAGTACCCTCGAACCTTGTCTCTATACATACAATTGTTATCCGTGTTACGTCATCCTTTGGAGTTGAAAGACAGATTTTGTATGCAAATTCAGAATGCAATCTTACCAACGATTCGTTCTAAAACTTTTGACGTGAAGGGTCAGTTTTGGAGAAAACAAATCTTTCCCTCGTCGATCGAATCCTGCGTTTCAGGCTTCTTCACAATTTTCAAATGACGCCCAGCTTTCTTCACTTTGGCGACGTTCTGCTCTATTTTTCTAAATGTGAGCTGGGTGGAAATGTTTAAAATTTGAGGAAATTTCAGGAGGAATAAATGAGCTCTTGTTAGGTGGGGAGCTTGTCGATCTCTGTCTCCTTTGGATGGAGGGATGGCTTCGCTCATCTACATATCGCACCAAAAGCCAAGAATAAAACCTCGTATGTAGTCAACCAAAAAGGTACAAAATGCAGAATAATTTGTGTGGAAGTAAGAAAATCGTGAATACGCCGGTGCAGATGATGCAAATTGATTAGTTATTCCATGCAAATTGAGACGATTTTCCACCTCTGGAAGAAATCTGCGTGCCTCCACCATGCATCCCTCAAGTTTGGCTATGAATCAGAATTCCTTTCATTCATTCTTATGCTAGCAGTGGCCGCGGAATGGTGAGGGGACAACCAGAGGGACAATGTCCCCACGGTTGTTCGATGTCCGAATCATCTTATATAAATCCGTCCCGCCCCTATTCTATAATGTTAATGTCCCCACATATCCCCACGGCTTCCGCGGCCGCTGTATGCTTCTGCAATCTTTTTATTCTGATAAAGGATCTGAGAATATAACAGAATTAGAATTATGTTTCAATCCTTCATTAAAGGGAATGAAGGATTGAAACGGAAATTGATAAGGCGCTGTTCCTAAACTTCGTAACGCTTGCCAGTATGTTTAGCCAGCGTTACGAAGTTTACGAACCTAAGGAACGCTCAAGAGAAAGAATTCTGTATGAGTTTGGGCTTCTTACTTTTTCTCATAAAATGAGACCCATATGAATATTTTATTTAATCGAAATGGGAACTTTGATTAAGCATTTAATTAATGCGGTGTAAACTGACCACTCCTGGACGAAATATGGATGCAGAATCTGGCAAATTGGGTAGATTTCTTTTTAGCTGATGCGCAATTTTTGATTTATTATGCATCTTACTAATATTTGGAAGAAATATATGTATGCAAAATCTGTCTCGTTTATTTACGTGGCTAGATTTGCTTTCATCCTCTGGCTGAAGCATGGTTTTATTGTTAAAATATGCATGTTAACAAAGTTTTCCATATTTATCAATTTTTAAGTTTGTCGACTTTTATGAGGGCTGAGCATTTTCCAACCTTTGTCCCAGGACAAGGGATTAAAAGGGTCCTTTTGTTTTTTATGCCTCATTAGAAGGGACACTTCGTTTGAGCATAACTCTGCGTAGTTTGTATGGTCACTTCTGACCACATATTATTACATATGTATGAATGTCTCCTATGTACTGTCGAAACCTTAAAACCAAGTTGTTTAATAAAAATCACCATCAGTCTAAAAATATCTTCCAGCGAGATCATTTTTACTTTCATGGTAGCAAAGCCGTTAGTTTGTATGATTCATATTGTTGGTCTCAACCTGCCTCATTGAGTGTCTCAAAAGTGCCCCAGTCTCAGAGTCTGTTAAAGTCTCACAACGAGAAGAACTGTTTCCTGTTCAACACTTGATAAACTGAAGTCGATCAGTGTTATTGTTGTGAAGTGAAAAGGTCAATTCATCAGTTAATAATAGCAGTAAGTCTCCACTGCCCAGTGCCAGTCTGGACGGAGTAAGCCTGTAAAAGTGTGCCGTGAATTGGACCATTGTTTGGACAAGAGACATCAACCCTTTGACTCTACCCGAAGCTGAACCTTCCGCCCGAGGACGAGTTTTATTGAGGACGACCACTCTACCCAAATCCTGAGTTCCCGTCTACCAAATCTCGACCTTTTTCGATTCTACTGCTCTTTATTAGGCAAAGAGAAGGTAACAAGTCTATTTCTGTTTTTCGCTTCTGCTTTCCCTACTCCACAACGACAAGATGACATCAACAATCAAAAGAATAGATGTTACGCACATTGTCAAGCTAGACGACACCAATTACGCGAGGTGGAGACTTCAGATAACTTTACTTCTCAAGTCACATGACCTGTGGGAAGTGGTCAACGGCACTACCCAACGACCTGCAGATGAAGCACAACAGCCAGCATGGGATAAGAAGGATATACAAGCACAATCCATCATTGTCCCCACTCTCAGTGCCACTCAAACAAATCATATTTATGACTGCGCTACATCAAAAGCAATGTTTGACAAGCTGAAAAGCATCAATTCAGATTCAAGCTCGCTTAACAAGCAACATACCATGGCTAGATTCTTCAATTACAAAATTGGCAAGAGTCAGTCATTGATTGAAGCATTTGCAGAGGTGGAAGAGCTGGGCAGAAGACTAAATGAAATGGGAGTCGTCATGCCTGAAGCATCCATTGTCACAAAGATTGTCTCAAGTCTCCCCGACGAGGAGTATAATGCCTTCAAAAAGGCATGGGACAGCGTTCCGGATAAGGACCAGAGCATGATAATGCTACTTGCCCGTCTGAAGAAGGAGGAGTTGGAGAGGAAGGAATCCAAACCAGCAGCAACCAATCAAGATGCAGCAAAGGCATTCTTGACCCATGACCAGAAGAAAGGCAAGAAGAAACAGAGCATTGAAGAGTTGAAAAAGGCAACAACCTGCCATGGGTGTGGGAAAAAGGGCCACTGGAAAAGGGAATGCAGGAGTAATCCACAAAATCAGAGCAATAAACCTTCAGATAATCCCGCACAAGCCAATAAAAGCCCTGGGAAAGCGTTCATGCTAAATGCAATACAAACCCCCATGCAAGCACCCGTGACTGAACAAGTGTGGCTAAGCGATTCTGGAGCTAACCAGCATGTCTGTGGAGATAAGGCATGGTTTACAAGATATGAAGAGTTTGACACTCCCAAGTCAGTCTTCCTAACGGACAAAAGGGCTACACAAGCACTAGGAAAAGGGACAGTGACACTTGACGCTTACATCAACGGCATATGGGAGGAATGTACCATAGATAACGTGTTGTACGTACAAGGGGCTGTCAACCTTTTTTCTGAGGGATCAATGGCTAAGAAAGGGTACTCCATCGTCCGTGACAAGAATGGAGCAACATTTATCAGGATGGACGGTTTAAGGGGCCAATTGCCGAGTTCAAGAATGATATGTACGTCATGAAGTTTCGCCCCACTTCACAAATTATTGCTGCATACATGCATCCCGTGACTAATGCTAAACTATGGCATCAACGCTTGACACACATTAATATGAACTATGTGGTGGACTCCATCAAGAAAGACGCAGTTCGTGGAATTGACCTGGAGGCCGTGTCACATAAAATTATGTGTGAAGACTGTGAGATTGGGAAGCAATCTCGAAAGCCATTTCCAGCCGCAACAAGAAATGCAACGATAAAACCAGGAGAAATGGTCCATATGGACTTAGCCGGAAAAATGCCTGTTGCATCCCTGGGAGGAGCTCAATATTTCTTACTCTTGAAAGACGATGCTACTGGCTTCCGCACTGTATATTTTCTCAAGAGCAAAGACGAAGCCAAGGATCGTATCAAATGCTACATTGAATTTATGGAAAATCAAACAGGAAGAAAGGTCAAGATATGCCGTTCAGACAATGGTGGAGAATTCTGTAATTCTACTTTGGCATCATACTTCAGAGACCGGGGAATAATTCATGAAACAACCGTCAGCTACAATCCAGAAATGAATGGGAGGTCCGAACGTGAAATAAGAACTTTAAAAGACTGTGCTCGAACTATTCTGCTGGCAGCTAAATTACCCGAATCTTTATGGGCTGAAGCCGTTGCCACCACCGTCTACGTCCACAACCGAATACTGGACAAGCAAAGTCCAAATATAACCGCATTTGAAGCAATATTTGGCAAGAAACCTTCACTCCGTCATTTGAGAGTCTTTGGTAGCGTAGCATTTGCACATATACCAGCCCAGAAAAGGACGGTCTGGGGAGCAAAGGGAGAGCGACTTATCCTGTGTGGGTACGCATCAGAGAGCAAGAAATATCGTCTTTACGACCCTGAGTCCGGACAAGTGGTTGAGGCAAGAAATGTATCTTTCCACGAAGAAGCTTTTGAACCGACAGTAATGATACATGGCAAAGAAGAAAGAGATGAACCTGATGAATCCAAATCTGAAAAAGATGATGCAAAAGATGATGCACAAGATGATGCAGAATGGACGGACGAGGAGAAATACGATCCCGAGGACCCACAGCCTGATCAAGTTGACCCACAGCCAGTACAACCTGACAACGAGAAAATGGGTGACGAATTAGAAGTCCAAGTTAAAACTGAAAAAGGAGACTACACGGCTCGCATTCCATCGCAAGGGACGACACGTGTTGTCTTGCCTGAAACAAGTAAAAAATCAGGAACCACTCGCAATTTAAGAGACAGAGCTAAAATTAAGAAACCAGATAGATATCAAGCTCATGCCATTTATGCAGACAAAGAACCTTCAACTTATAAAGAAGCCGTTGAGTCTAAAGAGAAGGAAGAATGGATAAAGGCAATGCAAGATGAGATTGAAAGTCATAAGAAAAATGGGACTTGGAAATACGTGAAGAGGCCAGCCAATGCAAGATTGCTTGACAGTAAATGGGTATACAACCTTAAACGTAAAATGGATGGAACAATCGATCGATTTAAAGCCCGGCTTGTCATACGAGGGCATAGACAGAAAGAAGGCGTCGACTATTTTGAGACATTCTCCGCCGTATCTCGGTACGAGTCCATAAGACTTCTACTAAGTATAGCTGCAGCAAAGAAAATGCATATCGCACAGCTGGATGTCCAGACAGCCTATCTCTACGGGATTCTAAAGGAGACCATATACATGTCACAACCTGAGGGTTTCCACAATGGAGATGACTCCATCGTGTGCCTCCTGATCAAGGCTTTATATGGATTGAAACAGGCTGGAAGAACCTGGAATGAAACATTCACCGAATTTCTCGAGAAATTCGACTTGCACCCATGTTACTGCGATCCCTGTATATTTGTTGGAGATGTTGATGCAATAATCACTTATCTCAGCTTATGGGTGGATGATTCACTGGTCATTGGAAAAGATAAAAATGCCGTGCAGAAGATCATCAATGCAATCAAATCCTACTTTGAAATAACGATAATGGAGCCCACAGCCTATGTTGGGATGCAAATAATCAGAGATGGAAATGATGGTTTACTTTTGTCACAACCTTTTTACATCCGTAACCTGCTTGAAAAGTACAATATGCTGGAGTGCAACCCGACGTGCCGATGCAACCTCATGCAGGAGAACTCGTCCCAGCCGCAACAATAAACGAGACCCTTCCGTATCGACAGCTCGTTGGATCATTAATTTACCTAGCCAAGTGCACACGCCCTGACATCTCCTTCGATCTCAAAGTTGAAAGGAAGAATGAAACCTGCGTTCTAAAGTACAAGGGACCCCATAATGCCATCCTTTCTACGAAAGATGACTGCGTATACTCCATCAATGTTAAGGAGCCTACAACCCCCGACCTAATTGTTTCGCCCACTCGAGGATGCACGCCAACAGCGAAAACAAAGAACTCCAATCACTTTGACATAGACCACTGTTATGACAAGAACCTTGCTGAACCATGGGATTTTGTACAAATCAAACTACACCATGGACAATATCATATCTACTGCCCTGGGTCCAATATTACCATTGAGAGGAAGCTGCAACAATGCCCTGCTAGCGTGTTCATCCTTCCAATGAATGCTAATTTTAAAATAAATGATATTGAATTTTCAGGAACTGAATCCAGCCTTGTTCACCAAGAGGTAGTCGACCCACTATTCACGATGAAAGCCAATTGGCACTTCCAGCCTAGTTTCAACTGGACCAGTCTGATGATCAATGGTTCCACTGACGAAGGAGGGTCAATCCACTACCACACAAGCAATGAACCAGCCTGGTCAACAATGGAATGGATCTTAACCCTTTGCATACTAATAATAGTTGCTCAAGCCACTCTTTGTGTTTTCCTTTTTCTGAAAAGCCGGCCAAATGTAATTTCGGTTAGGGCAAATCCAGTGGAAACTGCCGATATTGAACTTTAAAAATTGAGGGAGGATGTTAAAATATGCATGTTAACAAAGTTTTCCATATTTATCAATTTTTAAGTTTGTCGACTTTTATGAGGGCTGAGCATTTTCCAACCTTTTTCCCAGGACAAGGGATTAAAAGGGTCTTTTTGTTTTTATGCCTCATTAGAAGGGACACTTCGTTTGAGCATAACTCTGCGTAGTTTGTATGGTCACTTCTGACCACATATTATTACATATGTATGAATGTCTCCTATGTACTGTCAAAACCTTAAAACCAAGTTGTTTAATAAAAATCACCATCAGTCTAAAAATATCTTTCAGCGAGATCATTTTTACTTTCATTTATTTCCGGTGGAGAGAAACAATGCCTGATTTTCTTAACTAACTGAAGTTCCACCGATATGAAAATTAAGCTGGAATTTTAGAGTTTTATATTTTGAATGGTTTTTATAATTTGCAAATTGAGACCTGCTGTTGCAGAATTATGTTTTCATCTGGGTCCTTTTAGATATGCAAACCACAACCTGAGCCCTGTATGATTTGTATGTGATGCACAAACTGACCCATCCTCTCGTCACGGTGAAATATGTTGTCGTCATTTCGTGTGGTGCATTTATGTCGCCGCATGGAAAAATGGGAGCGAGCAGAGAACATTGTTTTACATAAAATAGAATCACTTTACTACATAAAAATCAAAACGTAACAAAAATCGGGTCATGTTTACATCTTACTAATTCAATTATTCCATTGTTATCAGTCATACGAGAATAATTATCTCGTCACAAATGGTGACATCGGGAACATATAAAAATCTAAAGTATTGATACGTTACATGAAATTTGACAAGGGGTCAGTCGACAAACGAAGGAATTTATCCGTGGGGATGAACCTTCTTCAAATGTCTCCCAAGACTGCCTTTCTGCGTAAACGTGTGTCCGCAGTGGGGGCAAGGGTGCCGGATTTTGGCATGAATACTCCTCAGATGTTCCACCATGTCACCCTTCCTCCCGAATTTCTTGGGGCACTGGAGGCAGGCAAAGTCCTTCAACTTCCGGTGAACGGTCTTCTCGTGCCTGACCAGATTTACTTTTTGAGTGAAGGCTTGATCGCACTCGGTGCACTTGAACGGTCGCGGATCCGCGCTGTGAATCCGCGCGTGCATGTTTAACCTCCTAGTTACCAATTTAATTTTGGAGAAATTTCCGTTGGAGACCGACTAATTAAATACCTTCATACCTTTGGCTACCATATTTTTTAAAGAAAATTCCGACACACATTCCGTTGGCTCCCAAATTAATCCAAAGCACTTTTGATTTATTTTTTCACATAAATAGATGCAAGTTACAACTATTATCACAGAAATTCGAACAAAATTACCAAAAAGTACATCGACATAAAACACGGCACTAATAAAGTTTGATTACTAAACAACACTCCAAGACACAATAATTTTTCACTCTTCGTACTAATATTTGAACAAATTTAAGATGGACTTAATCCCACATTCTGACTATTCAGATTTTCAAACTGTGGTCGCTGGAAGATGAAACATGATATTAAATAATACTTAAATCTAGGCACATGGATATCAAAATGAATCCAAACATTCGTATAATGCCCATCAATACCTGTAAACTTTGAGAGTTTGCAGCTCCAGTGATGTGATATTTTTTATGACAAGAATTTTCACCATCAATACATAGCCAAACACCGCACGCTTCACATCTAAAAGATGTTGCTTTCCTCAACTTATTCATAGTTTTCCAACAGAGGTGACAGTTTCCACGAACTTTCTTTCCTGCATTGTTTCGGAGTGTTGATGAGAAATGCTGAAGAGAGTTGAAACTTTGTTGATGAGGTAAAGATACTGGACGTCCCTTCGTACTTCTTATCGTGACATTTGCGGACATGATTTCTTTGATTAAATTTGACAAATACTGTTTGTATCCTGTGCTTCTTCGAGAATTCATGTGACAATATACGACCCAAGAGTTATACACACAGATATCGAAAAGATGGAAGGCGAACTTGCGATACCATTTGAGGGTTTTTCTGAGGGCTTGATAAGGTCGTATACTCTTGTCCATGTCATCCAAGGCTCCCATGCTCTTGTTGTAAACAAGGACTGATGCTGGCTTGACCTGGGCATTACGGGGATTTTGAGACTCGCAATCTTCCATGCGATGATGAATAAATGTGTTTAACATCAAGACTTCTCGTCGATCCATCCACCTTGAAACGTTATAAATATGTAGCACTATGCGAAAATATATGCGAAAAAGTGGTCACTACCTTTCTAAAAGCAAATCCCCGTCAGAAAATGTCTCGACCTCTCCTTTCTTGAGACGAGATGGACGGGATGTGACATGGTCGATAAATTTTGGCATGAATTTTCGGTCTTTCCTGACAGTACCAAGGACAAACGTCTTTTTTTCCAATAAAGTTTTAGCTAAAACTGGAGACTGGAAATAATTGTCCACGACTAGGCGATGATATTTTCCTAAATATCCCTTCTCGAGCATGGTAAGCACAGCAGCGCCTCCAAATCCATACATTTTTATCCAAGAAGGATTTGATATTCTGGTCGATTTTCCCTGGTATGGTAAAATGTCGAGGACAAATCGGTGTTGACAATCCATAAGGAAGAAGGACTTGACCCCAAACCTCCCTCTTTTCTTGGGGTTGTACTGCTTGAAGCTGAGAGCACCTTTGTATGGCATTAACTCCTCATCCAATGTCAGGAATTCCCCAGGATTTACAAGTTTCCTAAAATTCTTCAGAATATTCGGTAGAATTGTTCCCATTTTATGGAAACGATCATTGGTGTCAAGCGTTGGTTCTTCTAAATCCACAAAATGTAGCCCTCTGAGTATCTGTTCGAATCTGGAGAAGTTATCATGGGCCATTTATTATACAAATTTATTCATCACGGTATTATTTGATTTGATTTTTCTAGAAATTCACCTATTCCGACTCATTACTTCATTGAAGAAGGGAGTGGCTGTGAGTGGATCTCGAGTCCAATAATCCTTCAAACTTGGTTTCTGCACAACACCAGTCAACATATTCAGGCCAAAAAACCTCCATAATTCGGGGACGCCAACGTTCTTCCAATTTGGTATCGCCTTCTGATCAGCATATAAATTGGTTTGGGTGATAATTTCGTCAACAATATCAGGAGTAACAATTTTCTGAAGTATGAACAAGGGGGTGGAGGCTGGTGAGATATCCTCATCACTAACAAATGTCACTGGATCCAGAAAGTTTGGTGTTTCCGGGAAAAAGTATTCCGAATCTCCCTCCCACTCGATTCCATCCTTAAAAAATGAATGATTACAAAGTGGCCAAAATTTGTAATGCAATTTGCAAAGTAATCTTACTATTCGGGAAGCAACAGGTTCTTCATCATCAGAAGTAATCTCTTCAAACTGCAAGTACTCCTCGGGGTCATTACCTTCTTCCATCTCATCATTTCGCATCCACTCTGGTTCCCAATTATCTGCAACGTCGATCGCCTCCACTGTTCCTTGATTCGAGACAAGTATTCCAGACATATTTGACGACGAAATTCGACAAGGATTCACGTTGAATTACAGTCACAGATGCAAATAATTACAATATTTTCGCAAAAAACAGAAAATTTCCAGCCGAAGTCGTAGAATTTTTCATTGCACGTATTTGTGTAATTGGTAGCCAACGGAATATCGAGATTTGTAACTAAGTTACACAAATGTGTGTAATTGGTAGCCAACGGTAAAAAAATTGTTACACAAATGTGTGTAATTGGTAGCCAAGAGGTTAAGTCATAATTACGACTGAACAGCTTCCCACATTTGTCGCAGCGAAAGGGTTTTTCCTTCGTGTGCGTCCCCAGGTGAATGTGATACCTGTCATTGTTGGCGAATATCTTGCGGCAAAATAAGCAGACTCGACTTACACGTTGCTTCACGAGTGTAATTTTCTCGTCGTCGGAGAGGTGGAGGAAACGATGACGGGTCAGGGCCCGTTCGGAGGAGAAACTTTATCGACAAGTGGGACACCTCCCCCCCCCAACTTTTCCCTCGTGTGGACGACAACATGACAACTGAGTTGAGACGGAGCTTTGACTCGTCTGCTGCAGAAGTAGCAGACGTGTCGCCAGCCCTGCGCCACCTCCGCGCGCTCCTCGCGGCTCAGGTGGACGAAGAGATGCTGGGTCAAGTTTGCTTTTTGGGTGAACTTCTCTTTGCAGGTGGGGCAGGCGTGGTTCTTGCGACCTTCGTGGCCATTCACGTGGTCGACAAAGTCGCGACGAATGAAGAATGCTTTTTCGCAGTGGGGGCACTTTGCATGGAAAAGTGAGGACCGCTCCAGGTCGGCCGCGTTGAGGTGGATGCGGGCGTGGAGGCGAGCACTGGTTGCGTTGGTGAATGGACGAAGGCAGATTTTGCATGGGACTTTCTCAAGACTTTCTCAGTGCGAATAAGTTGTGGTAATTTCTTGGCGTTTGATGACCTGCTGCTGGCTGAAGGTGAGGGCACGTGGTTATCGTCACGTGCTGGTTGGACAGGGTGAGGAGGAGGTGAAAGTCGTCCATTCTCTTGAGATTGGTCCTCTTTGTTCACTTTATCCTTTTTTGGGGGCGAGCGATTTCTGTCGTGTGACCAATTTCTGGTTGACCTCTATCCCGTCCAAGGGCAAAGTCTCGGAAGTATCCCCGCTAGCAAAAATCTCTGTACAAAATATTATTGCGTCAACTTGTTAACATAAGCAAAAGATTTTGCATGAAAATTCGGAATGCACTCTTACCAACGACTCGTTCTTCAAATTTCGCGTGAGGTGAGGGTGTTCCGGAGTAAAAAAAATCTTTTGAATCCTTTTTAGAACTTGACAATTTTCAACAGACGTTCAGCTCGTCCAACTTTATTTCCTTGTGTCGTTCTTCTCTATCTTTTTCAATGTAGACTTGGTGGAAATTTGCAAATGTTTAAAATTATTGAAATTTCTGGAGGGAGTGAGCTCTTGTTTAATGGGAAGTTTGTTGGTCTCTGACTCCTTCGGAGGGAGACATGGCTTCGCTTATCTGCATATCCCAGCAACAGCCACGTCTCCTGTAGCCAGACGTACTAAAAAGGTTACAAAATGCAGAATAATTTATGTACGGAGAACTACGCAAGAAAATCATGAGACGGGAAAGACGTTGGTGATGGTTTGATCATTTATTTGTTATTCAATGCAAATTGAGACGCTTGTCCACCTCTGAAGAAATATGCATGCATGCGCCCAGAATCTCGCAAATTTGGGTATGAATCGGACTTGCTTTTCTCTGATGCTGCTCTATGCAAGTAACCATTTGCAATAAATAAGGGGAGAACGTTATTTTTGTCCGGGCAAATATTTTGACCTGCAAGAAATACAGTAACCAAACCCCGGCTCTATAAATAAATACTGCATACGACGCATATTTCTTGCACTTTCCCCCAGTTTCTTGCCCCTCGCATTTCTTGCGTGGCTTTCTTCGAAGTCCAAGAAGTGCACGTGACAAACCCGCAAGAAACGAAACCCTGGGGGGAAAGATCAACAAAAGGAATTCTGCATACGATCGAGTCTGGATTTAACTTTTCTTGTACAATGTTATTATACGCATGCACATTTAATTTAATGGAATGAAAATGAGCACTTTGATCAATCATTAAATTACTTGTGGCATTCTCCTACACCGGAAATGCATGCGGAATTTCGGAAATTTAGTGTAGGTATTTGTCGCCAACCTTTTATCTGTATGCTCAATGGTTGATTTCTTGTGTATCTATGCATGTATGACACTGGAAGAAATATGCATGAAAATACGTCTCGTTTAGTTATGATGCTCGATTTGTTCTCGTCCTCCTCCGGCTGAAGTTACGTTTTATTTCCATTTAACAGAAACAATTCATAATTTCCTCAACTAAACCCAAAGTTTCCACCGATATGAAAAGTATGGTGGAGTTTTACATTTCTCGATGGAACGCTCCCAAAAAGAATGAGAACGAGCAGCATTCATCAATTATTGAGGCCTGCGGATCAAAATTAGTATGCAAACTGAGATTTCCTGCAGAATTGTTTGTTCATAAATTCGTCCCTTTCGATATGCACCCCGCATTAACCTGAGCCCTCCGAAATTTAAGTGTGATGCCCAAAGTGACCGATCTTCTCGTCACGTTGAAATAAATATGTCGTCACTCTTCCATCGGTGCATTTATGTCGTGTAACGCTCCCTATTCGATTATGGGATTGCGTGTCCTGATTCACATCCACTTTCGCGGATGCCCCTTTTCTTTGTGACGTTGTGCAAGAAATTTGTAGTAGAAACTCATTTTTTTACAAGAATAATGAATAAATTTATTTACATCAATACCGACTGAAAAATATTGACTTTACAGAAATGCTCGTATTATAAATACGTGGGAGAGCTAATGCTATAATTTATATTTTAACTAATTATCTATACGGGAACTTATTATTAAGTTTTCGAAAATCTAAAACCTTGAACTTGATCTTGATGATCACTAAAACTAACCTGCTGATCCTGAATCTAAAACTACACTTTTTTTTCTCTTCTCTCTCTGCTTACTCTATATATACGTGATCACCATAAGCCACGCCTTCTTGATCATTACCTTTACTTATGCTACATATGTATAAACTACGCCCTCATGATCATGATGATCATGATGACGTAGGCATCATTCTGTGCTCCTCATTCCTATCCTCTCTTCCCCTTCATGATCTCCTCCTGCACACAATATGGTTTGGACACACATGAGAGGCGAGATACTTATGAAAACTACATCTATGTATTTTGAATCCCTTGACCTTTGAAATGCTGATGTCACATTTGCATCAGCGTTCCAAAGGTTGCAGTCGGCACATGGAAAAATGGGAGCAAGACGCGACCAGAGTTTTATACAAAAGAGAATGACTTTACTACAAAAAATCGTCATGGTCAAAAAGGTAACAAAAATGGGGTCATGTTTACAACTTAATACTTCAATTATGCCATTTTCATGAGTCGTACAAGAATATTTATCGCGTCGTAAATAGTGAAATCTGAAAAAGTTATAAAAAAATTGAAAAAGTATGGGAAACATGTCGCAATCTGATGAGGGGTCAGTTGGGGGACTTTACTCAGAGGGATGAAACTTCTTCAAATGCGTCGCAAGATAGCCTTTCTGCGTAAATGTGTGACCACAGTGGGGGCAAGGGTGCCGGATTTTGACATGGACACCCTTCACATGTCGCACCATGTCACCCTTCCTCCCGAATTTCTTGGGGCACTCGGGGCAAGCGAAGTCCTTCAACTTCCGGTGCACCGTCGTCTTGTGCCTGTTCAGAGTTACTTTTTGAGTGAAGGCTTGACCGCATTGGGTGCACTTGAAGGGTCGCGGATCCGCGCTGTGAATGCGTGCGTGCCTGTTTAGGTTATATTTTAAACCGAACAGCGCCCCACACTGGTCGCAGGGGAAAGGTTTCTCCTTCGTGTGGGAGACCAGGTGCTCATGATAAGTGCGGTTGTTGGCGAAAATCTTGTGGCAAAATAAGCACACTCGACTTACACGCTGCTCCACGAGTGCGACCTTTTCGGCTTCGTTGAAGTGGAGGAAACGATGACTGGTCAGGGCGTGTTTGGAGCAGAACGTTTTTCGACAAAGGTGACACCTTCCGCCCAGCTTTTCCTTCGTGTGGCGCGGAAGATGACGACTGAGTTGAGCTGGCGTGGGGAATCGTTTTTTGCAAAAGTAGCAGTCGTGACGCCAGCCCTGCCGCACCTCTGCGCGCTCCTCCGAGCTCATGTGGACGAAGAGATGGTCTGTAAAGTGTTGACGAATGAAGAACGCTTTTTGGCAGTGGGGGCACTTTTCATGGAAAAGTGAGGACTGCTCCAGCTCGTCGAGGTTGAAGTGGGTGCGAGCGTGGAAGTGAGCACTGGTTGCGTTGGTGAAGGGACGAAGGCAGATTTTGCATGGGAACATCTTCTCCACGACCAAGCTTTGTGCCAACGTGGGGTAAGAATTGCTTAGCTTTTGATGACCTGCTGTTAGCTGAAGGTGATGACACGTGGTCATCGTCACATGGTTGGCCGGAGTGAGGAGGAAGAAGTCGTCCGTTCCCTTGAAGACGGTCTACTTTCGGCGACAAGCGCTTTCTGTCCTCCGAGAAATGTCTGGTTGACCCCCAGAACGCCAACGTCTGCTCGGAAGTTCCTCCTCTAGCAAAATCTCGATCTCTGGCTCTAAATACAGACCAAATTATAAAAATTATTCGGTCAGCATCGGTATCGAGTTGAATATGAGATTTTATATGAAAATAAGAACGCAATCTTACCAATGGCTCAAATTTGGGGGAAAGACGTGATTTGTTCCGGAGGAGTAAAAAAATCTTTCCCCCGAATCCTGCTCCACAATTTGCAACCAGCTTTCTTCCCTTTGCTCTCTTTTTCTCAATGTGAACTCGGTGGAAATGGGTAAAATTTGAGAAATTTCTGGAGGAAGAAGTGAACTCTCCGATGGATTCGTTTATCTGCATACCCTATCAAGAGGCAAGTCTCTCCGACTGAATCTCGTAGTCAGTCCGTCCAGCAAAAAGGAAACGAGATAAATTTGTGTAAAGCAAGAAAATCGTGGCGAGAGGAAGACGGTGATGATCATGTTCATTCATCAATGATTCAATGCAAATTGTGACGTTTGTCCAACCTCTGGGAGAAATCTATCGATAATCTCTCAAGTTTGGCTATGAATGAATCAGAATTCCTTTCCTCTGCATTCTTATGCTAGCAGTGGCCGCGGAAGGGTGAGGAACAGAAGGACAATGTCCCCATGTTCGATGTCGGCATCATATCCCCATCGTAGATATGTATATAAACCCGTCCCTCCCCTAACCTACAATGTTAACGTCCCTCGGGTGTCCCCACGGCTTCCGGGGTCAATGCCGTGCAGTGCTATCTTTTTGCCTTTATATTCACCTCAGAATTAGAATTATGCCAAAGTTTCATGAAAATGAGGGATTGAAAAGAAATTCTGTCTGCATGAGTCTAGGTTTCTTACATTTTCTCATAAAATGTGACCCTGAATGAATATTTTATTTAATTGAAATTGGAACTTTGACTAAGCATTTAATTATACTTATATTCTATGTAAACTGACTGGACGAAATACCAATTGATGCAGAATCTTGCAAATTGGGTATATTTCTTATTAGCTGGTCATCCTTATGCGCAATTTTTGATTTCGTACATATGCATATTACTAATATTACTGGGAGAAATATATGTATTCAAAATCTTTCCCGTTTATTTATTAATGTGGCTAGATTTGCTCTCATCCTCCGGCTGAAACATGGTTTTATTTCCGGTGGAGAGAAACAATGCCTGATTTTCTAAACTAACAGAAGTTTCCACCGATATGAAAATTAAGCTGGAATTTTAGAGTTTTATATTTTGAATGGTTTTTATAATATGCAAATTGAGACTTGCTGTTGCAGAATTATTTGTTCATCTTGGTCCTTTTAGATATGCAACCCGCAACCTGAGCCCTGCCCGAATAATGAATGCCCTGTCCTGTGTTAAGTGTGATGCACAAACTGACCCTTCTTCTCGTCACGGTGAAATATGTTGTTGTCATTTCGTGCGGTGCATTTTTGTCGGCGCATTGAAAAATGGGAGCGAGCAGAGTTTTACACAAAATAGAATTCCCTTACTACATAAAAATCGTCAAACCGTAACAAAAATCGGGTCATGTTTACATCTTACTAATTCAATTACTCCATTTTTATCAGTCATACGAGAATAATTATCTCGTCACAAATGGTGACATCGGGAACATATAAAAATCTAAAGTATGGAAACATTACACGTAATTTGACAAGGGGTCAGTCGACAAACGAAGGACTTTACTCGGAGGGATGAATCTTCTTCAGATGCCTCGCAAGATTGGATTTCTGCGTGAACGAGTGACCGCAGTGGGGGCAAGGGTGCCGGATTTTGGCATGAATATTCCTCAGATGTGTCACCATGACACTTTTCCTCCCGAACTTCTTGGGGCACTCGGGACAGGTGACGTCCTTCACCTTCCGGTGAACCGTCTTCTTGTGGGCAACCAGAGTTACTTTTTGAGTGAAGGCTTCATCGCATTCAGTGCACTGGAATGGTCGCGGATCCGCGCTGTGGATGCGCGCGTGCGTGGTTAAGTTACTTTTAAAGCTGAACTGCTCCCCGCACTGGTCGCAGCGGAAAGGTTTTTCTTTCGTGTGGGAGACCAGGTGCGCATGATAAGTTCGGTTGCTGGAGAAAATTTTGTGGCAAAATAGGCACACTCGACTTACACGCTGCTTCACGAGGGCGACCTTCTCGGCCTCGCTGAGGTGGGCGAAACGATGACTGGTCAGGGTTTCTTTGGAGGAGAAGCTTTTTCGACAAGTTGGGCACCTTCCGCCCAATTTTTCCCCCATGTGGACGACAACATGACGACTGAGATGGGCCGAAATTCTGAATCGTTTGGTGCAGAAGTAGCAGCCGTGTCGCCAGCCCCGCCGCACCTCCGCGCGCTCCTCCCCGCTCATGTGGACGAAGAGATGCGTGGTTAAGTGTGACTTGTGGGTGAACTTCTGTTTGCAGATGGGGCAGGCGTGGTTCTTGCGACCTTCGTGCGCAGCCACGTGGTCGAAAAAGTCGCGACGAATGTAGAACACGTTTTCGCAGTGGGGGCATTTCTCATGGAAAAATGAAGACTGCTCCAGCTCGTGGGGGTAGAGGTGGGTGTAGGCGTGTCGGCGAGCACTGGTTGGGTTGGTGAAGGGACGAAGGCATGTTTTGCAGGGGAAGATTTTCTTATTGCCGATAAGTCGTGGTAATTTCTTTGTGTTTGATAATCTGCAGTTGGGTGAGGGGGACGCCACGTGGTTGTCGTCACGTGGTGTTGGCCGTGGTTGGACGGAGTGAGGAGGAAAACGGTACACTTTCTTCCCTTCCTCCTTTGTGGGGACGAGCGCTTTCTGTCCTCTGAGCATTTTCTGGTTGACCTCCATCCCGTCGAATGGCAACGCCTCGTTCTGCGAGAAGTTTCACCGCTAGCGACCCTTTCAATTACCAAAATATTATTATTATCGTAAGTTGAAGGACAGATTTTGTATGAAAATTCAGAACACAGCCTTATCAACGACTCGTTCTTCAAATTTCGACGTGAATCTGGTGTTCCGGAGTAAAAAATCGTTTACAATTTTCAACAGACGTTCAGCTCGTCCAGTTGTCGTTCCGCTCTATCTTTTCAACGTAAACTTGGTGGAAATTTGGAAATGTTTAAAATTATTGAAATTTCTGGAGTCAGTGAGCTCTTGTTTGATGGAGAACTTGTTGATCTCTGTCTCTCCTTCGGACTGAGATATGGCTTCGCTGATCTGCATATCCCACAAACAGACAAGTCTCGTACAGCCAGACGTACCAAAAATGTAACAAAATCAGAAGAATTTATGTACGGAGAACTACGCAAGAAAATCATGGGACAAGCAGCAACACGTTGGTGATGGTGCCCATTGATCATCCATCAGTTATTCAATGCAAATTGAGACGCTTGTCCACCTCTGAAGAAATATGCGTGCGCCCAGAATCTCGCAAGTTTTGGGCATGAATCTGACTTGCTTTCCTCTAATGCTGCTCTATGCAAGTAACCATTTGCAAGAAATAACGGGGAGAAAGTGATTCCTTGCAGGGGAATATTTTGACCTGGGAGAAATGCAAGGTGCAAGTAACCACACCACCCCGGCTCCATAAATATCTACTTCATACGACGCGTGGCTGGATGGCGCATATTTCTCCCAGTTTATTGCACCTCGCATTTCTTGCATTGCTTGCTTTGAAGTCCAAGAAACGATTGTGACAAAACCGCAAGAAACGAAACATTTGGAGGAAAGGTCAACAAAAAGAATTCTGCATGTGATCGAGACTAATTTTCTTAACTTTTCTAAAGCAATGTTATTATACGCATGAATATTTAATGAGAATGAGCACTTTGATCAATCATTAGATTACTTGTGCCATGTATGCAAATTGACCACTCCTGCACGGAAAATGCGTGCGAAATCTCGGAAATTTAGTGTATTTGTTGGCAACCTTTAGTCTTTATGCTCAATGCTTGATTTCATATGTATTTACGACACTATTACTGGAAGAAATATGCATGGAAAATACATCTCGTGTAGCTATGATGCCATATTTGTCCTCATCCTTCTCAGGCTCCGGGTTCGCTACCCCGGGTTTTTGTGGGTTGGGGTTTTTGCGGGTTTTTGTGGGTTTTTGTGGGTTTTTCCGGGGTTTTTGTAAGATTTGGGGACAGATTGAAACAAAATCCCTTAAACTACAACTTAAATCAATGCTAATTAAATTGACGGATTCATCATGAAATTTTGAGAATTTTCATGTACGACTTGAATTTCCAAGTTTTATTGCATATTTCCAAGTTTGCATGCGAAATATGAATTTTCGATTTAACAGTCCAACTCAATGATAACGCTTAAAATTGCATGTCAAAATCGTATATTAAATTACTTTTTATCTAATATATAATTTAAAGAATTTTGGTTCAACCTGCCCCAAAATCTACAAAAACCCACAAAAACCCACAAAAACCCAAAAACCCACAAAAACCCCAAAAACCCCGGAAAAACCCGCGGGGTTGGGTTTTTCTAGAAAAACCCCGGGGTTTTCCGAACCCTGCTCAGGCTGAGCTTGGGGTTTATTTCCATTCGACAGAAATATCTAATGCCTGGTTTTCTTCAATAAAATCAAATTTTCCCACTGTATGTGTATATGAAAAGTATGGTGCATGGAATTGTAGAATTTTATATTTCCGGATGGAATGCTCCCGATAAGAAGATGAACAAACATTCATCAATTATTGAGGGCAGCGGATCAGAATAATATGCAAACCTAGACTCAGATTTATTTATGGACCTTCGTCCCTTTCGATATACAATCCGCAACAGTGGCCGCGGAAGCTGTGGGGACATCTGGGTATGGTTGTACCGTTCCCTGCTCCCAGGGAATTTTGGGAATTTTAGAATTCCCAAAATTTCCAATTTTCCGGGAATTTTGGGAACTTTGGAAATTGTTGTTTTCGGGTATTTTTGAGAAATTAATTGCGAAATTTGAATTTGAATAGCTTTGAGTATTTGTCCGATACAAGAGTGGTCTTCTCTCATATGGGAAATATTTAAAATTGTCAATGTTTTTCAAAATTTCGTAAACTTTACATCTCTCCCCTTCTTCGCTTGTCATGTCCAATTTTGAAGATTTAGTTCTACATACATATTTATCTAAATATGTACATATTTACATATTTATTCATAAACGATTATGTTTGCTAATAAACTCGAGAATGTAAACATTTAACAAAAAAGTATCAATCATATGGATTAATTAATTACTATGCCATGCAAATTGATCACTCCGGTGCATGGAAAGCATGGAATTGTATGTCGCATTCTTTACATATTTTCCACACGACAAGGGATATACCTTCCCTAACAAAGCAACATTTCTTATCGTGTGTCTTACTTAACTAGCAGACATGTATGCGGTACTCCAACGACTTTGTGTTTAATATTTAATATTTATTACTTGTAATTTGAACAACGTTATGAACAATGAAAGTATAAAAGTCTTAGAGAAAAGTATTGTAAACCCATTATTATGCTTCATTAATTTTGGAATCCGTACATACGTTTTCGAATTTGTATAGTTAAAACAATGGGCAAACTTGTTTCACGTCCATAGAAAATACATGCATAACTCAATTATGTACATGCATTCAATGTGTAAAAAGTATGATGACTTTTATATTAGTGCACTCTTAGAAAAACGGTATTGAATCATCACCAAACGGGGAGCCCACATGACTTAACCAAATTGTGATAATATTTACCCCACATTGTGATAAATCTTCCCCACAATGTGTAAACGTAACACTGGATAGTGAGGATTTATCACAATGTGGGGTAAATATTATCACAATTTGGTTAAGTCATGTGGGCTCCCTGTTTGGTGATGATTCAATACCGTTTTACTAAGAGTGTGTGCAGGCAGAAGTACAAGCATACATACAAGAATGTTAAGAATTTAGTTGCGTAATTTTTTCAACGTGCAGGGATAAATTTATTGTGCCAAGTTTTATCGTTCTGAAAGTAATTATACATCCCGGATGGCATTTACATATGTGCCCATCGATGAGTATTGAGTACCGCATACATAAATATTGATTATTTGCTAAACATGGAGCAAGTTGTGCAGCAGTCTAGATTCCGTCCCACCTTTCTTATCCTCTTCTCAATAAGTTTACTTCTTGACCCAGGTAGGTAGAGGATAAAAATACGGATGTGATAAGGACATGGTAGTGAAGAGGGTTCTGGTCTAAAAGTAAGATTTTCTCTAGGATGCAGCATGCCTGCATTAGACCCGGATGAAAATTGGGTTTGCGACGTGACCCAAGTAGGCAGAAAGAAACCACTGTCCGGCCATTGTTACACCTATCAACAATGTCAATGGAGAGTATGTAAATTAGGAAATATATAACTTTTTATTAAAACTAACGATAACCAAGTTTGTACTTTTAATTAAGAATAAAATCTAATACGCCCTGAGATTATCTTAAATAAATCGTCCGGTAAAAATGTCTTAATTTGCCTTATCTTAATTTGTCAGGAGTTTAAAATTTTATAATTCAGAAATGTCTTAATAAAATCGGTAATAAGTTTTAACTATTTTTTAGTTAAAATGTAAAAACAGATGTATTTTCAAACCACAAATAACTTAATGATTAAAAATACGCAAGTATGCACTTTATACAATTTTAAAAAGTGACAAAACAACAAAAGCTAGGTAATTTCTTAACCGATTTTAATTAAATTAGTGCATTTGTTGTCATTTTGTAAATTGATTTTTTTTTAATCTCAAAAAAGACTCTACTCAGAGGCCATGCACAGACCAAAAATGGTCATTAAGACATTTTAAAGGCTACCTTTTCCTAAACTCCAGGCAAATTAAGACATTTTTACCTGATGATTTAAGATAATCTCAGGGCCCATTAATAGCCACACTTTTAATTAATTTTCTCTGTGTTGAGTAGGACTTTATGGATTATGACATGGAAATATTGACTTGTCCTGATGACAAAATTTATGACAAAAGTATCAACGAATGCATCAATGAAAAATCAATCTCCTTCGACTTTGAGAAAAGTAGATGCGAGAAGAAGAAGCCTAATGTGTCGTCAGCAAAGCACAATTGTACATATTTGCAAATTATTTTATACTTGATGAATGAATATAATTCATAAGTGAAGATATAATATTTATTTATTTATGTACTATTTTGTTATTAATCTAGCTAAAACTCCACAGCCTGGAAGAAGCGTGACCAAGGAGCCGCCACCACAAGCAAAGCTGCCAAAGACCCCTACAAAATCTGCTTTTTCGTCCTCCGAATCCACCCCAACGGTCAAACCTATCCCTAAAAATGATCCAAACCCTTTTGATTATCAACCAGTAAGACCAAAGTCGTCGGAAGAAAAATTTACTCAACAGCCTAATTTTTTCACACCGTTTAACAACTTTCCTCCAACTGAAAAATCTTCAAGGAGAATATTATTTCATGAACCTTTTGTTAAACCGTACTAAATATTTTGCCAACAAAAATCGAGGTATTTGGCCCAAATGGGAATAATAAATAAATTAGATTCGCCATTATTATTGTTTTTTAATTTAATTTTTATTTTTAATCATTGATTAATGCACAAAAAAACTGACCTTTCTTCTTGTTTTATTTGTCTGTACGATTCTAGTTTTCCTTAGTGAGGAGTTATTCCATTTTTTTAAATATGAGATAATGTAGGTGGGAAAATGGGAGCGAGAAGTGATCAGAATTTTATATCAAAAGAGAATGACTTTACTACATAATTAAAAATCGTAATGGTCAAAACGGTAACAAAAATCGTGTCATATTAACAACTTGAATTATATACATACGTCATGCTTATCGGAATAAAAATCTCGTCAGAAATGGTGACATGAGGAAAATGTAAAAATATATGTAAAACCCATCGTCAGCAGGTGACGCTCAGTTATGCTGTTGTTTAGCAGGAGGAGGGCGCGGGGTGAACGATCTTCACATCTTTGCCAACATCTGACTTGGTCGTGTCCTGCGGGTTGAGGGGGTCGCCGCGCGCTCCTCGCGGTTCAAGCCGACGTGGAGGAAGTGGTGCGTAGTTAAGTGCGCTTTCCGGATGAATTTCTTCTTCCAGTGGGGGCATTCGTGGTTCTTCTGGCCTTCGTGCGCAGCCACGTGGTCGGTACAGACGCGACGACATAACTTTTTTTTGTCAGTGGGGGCACCTCGCGTGGAAAAACGAAGCCTTATTCTCCAGTTCGTCGGAGGTGAGGTGGGTGCGGGCGTGGAGGCGAGCACTGGTTGCGTTGGTGGAGGTATGCGGGCATTTTTTGATTTTGCATGGGAAGATTTTCTTGGCTTTGGCTGGCGGCGAGTGCACGTGGTTATCGGCACCTCTACCAACTGTTAATTTCTTTCTCTGCACAAAATATCACTACGTCAGCATTCGGAGTAGAAGTAGAACAGATTTGTCATGAAAATTATATAAGAAAACAATTTTACCAACGCCTCCTTCACGTTTGGGCAGATTTTCTTATTGCCAATAAGTTGTGGCGATTTCTTGGCGTTTGATGACCTGCTGTTCGCTGAAAGGGAGGGCACGTGGTTATCGTCACGTGCTTTTTGGACGGCGTGAGGAGGAAGTCGTCCAGCCTCTTGATAACCTTCCCCTTTGTACATTTTCTCCATCGTGAGGACGAGCGCTTTGTGTCGTCGGCGGAGCGCTTTCTAGTGCGCGTGCGCAGTTGACCTGTTGAACTGCAATGTCTCGTTCTGATCGTCAGTTAGCCTTTCGATGACCAAAATATTATCAGGTCACCATGGTCTGAAGTTGAAGGACAGATCTTGCATGAAAATATTCAGAACGCAATCTTACCAACGACTCGTTCTTAAAGTTTGGAGGAGGCGTGTGTAAAAAATCTTTCGCTCGTCGAATCCTGCTTTTTTCAGGCTCCGCCACAATTTTCAACCTTTTTTCACTTGCAGCGTTGTGCTCTCCTTTTCTAAATGTGAATTCTGTGGAAATTTGGAAATGTTTAAATTTCTGGAGGAGGTGAGCTCTCGTTGGATGGGGAGCTTGTTGGTCACTGTCTCCCTCGGAGGATTGCTTCACTTATCTGCGTGCGTATCCCCACCAACAGCCGACTTAATCTCGTAGTCAGTCCGTCAGCCAAAAAGGCAACAAAATGAGGAATGATTTCTGTGATAGAATTAAGCCAAACAATCCCGGAACAGGCAGGACGGTGATGATGGTAAATATTCATTAAATATGCAATGCAAATCTGCATATGATCGAGTCTCGATTTCTTACCGTTTTGCATGCAACGTGACGCATACAAAATTAATTTAATCGAAGTGATCGTAAACACCGTGATGTAAATTGACCAAAATATCACATCACAAGATGCAAACCTGGTGGATTAAATTGAGAGAAAATTGTCCACTGATACAAATTATGGATCTTTATAGTTATCAAACTTCCTTCCAGTTTATGTGTCCCTCTTTATTAAAAAATTGGGGTTATCATGGGTTAAAAGCGTGCATTTTTCCACTCTGTCGAGAAAGCAGGTTTGACTTTTAATTCAGAAATCATACTTGGTTTCTCAACGTGAGAAAAGCAGTGGCCAAGAAAGAAGCTGGAAGAACTGCAAAATCCGTCTCATTTTTCCACTTGTGTGAGACTACATTCGTGTACATTGCTCAAAATAAATTGGTCCATGTTCCATCGATGGACCATTTTTTTTGTAGTCCATGGTCCATTTCGAGCTACATTCGTGTATAAATGACGAATTGACCAGTCTTTTAAATATTAGGTGACCAAACAAATCATCCCTGCAGTTTGCCACGAAAGTGGATACCTGTTCACTCTCATTCATTTGACTGATACTGATTATGATAGTGAATGAAAATGAATTTCCTGTCATTTAAGTAAGTGAAAATGACTGAAGGATTCCGTCACTTCAGACGAATGACTGTGAACGAAAGGATTTATCATTCATTTTATTTTTCATCCTATGCTTAATACATGGGCGAAGTAAGAAATGAAGTGATGAAGATGAAGTGAAATGAAATGAGTTTGAATGAAAATGACTGAATGTGAATGAAAATCTTCCCTCAGAAATCGGAATGACTAACTTTTGAATGAATACTAAATTTTTGAACAGGTACATATTATTATGCGAAAGAGGAAGTATTTTAAGCGGTAGGTAATTACATAATACTTGATCATCAATTATTGTTGGAATATTCAAATGTAAAAGTTAATTAAGATCAACCTTAAATTAATTAATGTTAAATAGTGTTCTAATCATTCTAATCTAGGTTCCACACATCGTAATTGATCCATGAGACTGTTTTCCCTTATTTGTATCGTTCTAATTATGCATGCATTTCTAAAACATGAACAATTAACTTATGTTAAATTAACTTTTAAATTAAAATTATGCATCTTTATTAATGATGAACCACGATAACAATTTTGATATTTTTTCCTATATAAACTACACATTAAAATTCTACACATTTCTCTTCTACTCTGCTCAGTAATCAAGATTGACATAATAGATTCATTATAAAAACATTTTAGCATTCAACGAGGAATTTCAGATATGTAGGTTTTTGCGCATGATAAGTATTTACGTTTAATTGAGATATATGTAGTTGACTGATATTCACTTTCTTGCCCACCAGGCCTGCGACTTGTGGGAATTTTGACGATGACCGAGCACGGAGCGTTGTCGCCCCCAGTTGTTTTCATCACGCCCATTGTTTCCGGGTCGTTGCAACGCGGACATCGGCGTGCTTGCAGCGGCCGGTTGGCCAATGTCGACGGGGGTTGCTTTATTGGAATTGTTGTTCTGCAGGTGAGAATCCCACAGAAGATGAATGGAGCCGACGGGATCTTCATTTGTGTGGTCTCTTGGTGGGGGAGGAGAGTCCTCGATCTGTTGATTTTTTAGTGGCGGAGTATTCTCCATCTGGAAAAAAGGACATTTTAAAACATGGAATAAAGTGTCACTTTTTTTTAGTGTTTTCGAAATATGTAGTTCTGCTAACATCTTCAAAGTCGAGCTTTCTGCTGACAGGCTTGAGTGTAAATTTGTCTACATGTGAGAACGTCGTGGTGGACTGGGAACTGGGGTTGGGGCTGGTACTGAGGTAGAAGTATTCATTCTTCGCCAAGTTCGACACTGTTTCTGTCTCAGAACAGGAATCCACCTGAAATGAGGTCAGAATTTAAGTTAACAGTGATCAAATTTAAGAAAAGATGGAGCTTGTCCGGAGCCAAGAATATATTTGTTAATTTGACTATGTAAAATATGCTACAATTCCACCGTGACCGACGTTTATGATAAGAATGACGGGCAAATTGGACATTTAACTTGTCATATTTGTCACAAATTTTAAATGTGTGACAAATTGGACATGTCATGACGGCATATTTCACTGCTCACCATGTTAAAATAGGGCCCCAATACAGCCTCCACTCTTTGGGCAGGTCTCGCGGACCAAAAGACAACACCGTATTGGCCCAACTCTCCAGTTTTCCTGTCGCCAAGGAACTCCGTGCCCTCTTCCTGCCCCCCATCGCCCCCTCAGATCCGGTCAGAGGAGACCCGGAGTCCAGAAAATTCCTTTCCCGTGTCGTGTGAACGGTGACGTTCGACGGAGGGGTAATTAAATTGCCGGATAAGATGCTTATGACATCGGACGAAGTTTGAGTGTCGCAGGTGGATTCTGTATCTTCAAACCGATGAACAAAGTCCGTCGACCATCCCCTCCGGGACTTGGGACGAGGTGGGCGCGGTGGGGATGCAAGGGTGGGAGGAAGGATTGATGAGATGGAGGCTCGTAAGTCGGTCAAACAGAAAGGGTCGGAGGATGAACTCGTCCTGAAAAGAACAAACCAATTAAACAAGTCAGTTAATTATTTATTATTGATTTAAATATGTGGCAGGTCTGCATTCCCAAATTAAGAATCCCAATGAGTATTGAGCAGATATCCATGCAAAGATAATTAGTTAATCAATGTTCTAAAAAGATACCAGGAATTACAAGGATTTTACTAAACAGTATCTTACCTTTTCAATATTTTGAATCTTTAATCAAAACTTGGATCGATTAAATTTCTCGTCTGACATGATTTGCAAAGGTCTGACTTGAAAATTGATAAGGTTACCGAAGACCATGACCTACCCTTCAGTACTGCTCGTCACTACGATGCCGCGGCCGTGACCCTCCGGATTTTCCAGTGCCGAGGAAGATTGCTGGGCGGCCAGGTCGAGGCGCATAAACTTACTGACGGGGGAGGGATTTGAGTTATCATCTCCACTTGTTTCGTTGTTTCTCTTCATGATGTGACCGTAGTTAAATTATTGTTACAATTTATAGAAAATTATACCACCAAATTTGGAGAATAGATACGATGAATTTAAAATCTTGCGTTGACTGAGGCGAGGCCTGCCTGACTGGAGAGACAAGTATTGACACTACTCTAAATTGATTACGACTGGTAATTTATGACTAGAAAAGGGACCGAGATAAGTGAACCTATCTTTAGAGCTTGAGACTCAACTATTTAGTTAATCACAGATAATTATTAATTAATTTTGCCGTTCTCTCCCAGCCGGCCGGTGGACGGAGATGGATCAGCCGCAGCCTCGATCTCAGCTCAACTTTTCCAAATTATTTTCTTCTCAACGCCACGGCAACAGACTCGCCCGTCTTGAATCTCAATTTCTTCATTTAATTCATTCCACCACGGAACAGTTGATGGCGACAATTTACTAAATAATAAGTACAAATTAATGAAGTACAATAAAATGTTACACTATTCTATTATAAATATATGTATGCATCTTCACACTTAATTAATTAACTAATTAATTGTATCAACTTTGATAACTACGAATATAATATTAAATTATGTAGTAATTCGACACTTGCTTTCTTCCTAGATCATCCAATTTTATTTTTGAATAATATCACATACATTTCCAGATAACCTTTACATGCATAATATACATTCAGTGTTTAGCTTTATATGTTCCTTACTCTGTTCGGATTTTGTACTTTTGGCATAATACAATTATTAGTGAGACTATAATTTAAATTAGCATATTGACGAGAACACGTATCATGAGATCAGGATTACTGGTTAAAAATCATAATATAATATAGATGAGATGAGGATGAGACATATACACATTTATCACAGCATGCGAATTTCACTAGTTCAAAATTCTTGTAAATGCAGACTTCCAGAATGACCTTGCCCCCCTCAACCCCCAATAGGAGGTAAGGCGTCTAAATCATGCAACTGCTGGTGCAAGAGGTTCCACTCCATAAGGAACAGGATAATCCTCCCAGTGTACAGTTGCAAATCGAAAAGAGTCCCGCTAGTGTACATCTACAATACAATAACAATTAGCCATCAATTAATATTAATCACGATTACAAATAGTTGACCTGAACTTACGATATGTACAAATCTGGCACATCCTGGTATTTTTCGGGTATCATATTCGCGAACTAGGCGAACTACACTGGTGTCCCCTGTCTTGGGGAGTGGAATCCGTTTGAGGGTTAACGTGTCCATGATGTGGCACGCCCACTTCCAGAAGCCTGTCCTCCTAAACGACATTTCCGAATAGTTAGTTATCGAGTTAATTAGTAGTTAAATGTGTCGAAATTGAGGAGAAGTGAGGGACGCAAAGTTGCCTTGAATCGGAGCGAGTGAAGGAAAGTGAGCTCTGGGAAAAAAGTGCTGCTGGGCTGGTGAGTTGACCTCCCGACGGTTTTCCAAGTTCAACCGCAACCCAGTTTTTCTTCTCACAAATTTGACTCTTTTTGGAAATTGAGATTATTCTGGAAACTTATTCTGGTTCAGAAATAACTCAAAATGCTATTTGAAAATATAAAATTTGTTACCGGAATACCTAAAATTTCATGAATTGAGAGCACGAAGGATGTAAGATTGTTCTGAAATTTCTGTGGGGACATTCCACACACTTCCGCGGCCATTCTGCTAATGGACTCAAATGGTGTCTTGAGAGACCAGTGGCGGCAGGACAGGGGGACATGGTCCCCACAGAAATTCAGAAAAATCCTACTCACCTTTCGCATGTTAGTAAGACCCTCCTCTTCTTACCGCACAATGCTTATGTCCCCCCTATTCCGCCGCCACTGTGAGAGACTTATTTAAAGAGAATGTTGGGACGAAGTGATTTTCATTCGTCTTGCTAAAATCCTCCATTAGTTTGACATTAACTCCGGAAGTAAAGAAGGTGACAAAGAAAGAAGAGTGCAATGAAGGCCCCACCCGAGACGCCATCCGCCGCCACCGTCCGACGGACCCTCAGGTGGTTGCAGGTGGTTGCAGGCCCGCGTCGGGAGGCCGGCCGGCCCCCGTCCGTCAAGGCCGGAGATATGGGCACGCCTTGAAGCGCAGGTACCAAATGTTTGTCTTTACTTAGATTGAGGAATAGCTTTTGGTGGCCAATTTCTTCAAATTTACGAATATTTTGACAAATTATAAATATATGCATCAGTAATTTATAAATTACGATTTTTTAAAAATAATATTTACCAATTTTTTTCAAATTTAGGAATAGCTTTTCATCTTATTGATATTTTTTTTTAATTTTCGAATACTTCACAAATTATTGACCAGTTTTTATAATTTACTCGTTGAAAATTATTTACGAGTTTTTTTATATAAATAACTAACCAAATTCTTGTAATTGAGGAATTGCTTTAAAAATAAGTAAGAAATTTGGTTGCCAATTTTTGCCATTTTTTTAAGTGATGAATTTCTCATTTTTTTAACAGGAAGCAGAGCTGCGTGCCGTGGGGAAAGAGTTCCCGGCGTGAGCTCGAGCTTATCGGCGGGGGGACACTCTGGGGGCAGCGATCCTGCTCCACCGAGAATACGCTGGCCTGGTGGTCCCAGCTTCCGTCGGGTGAAGGGAGTTAAGGACCAGGAAATTCTGAGTAAGTGCAAAAAATATAAAATTTGTGTACAAAAAATATTCAAAATTTTGTTAAGTAATCTTGAAAACGAGAGAAAAAATAGTACAACTGCAATAATTTATTCAATTTTTTTTGTCGTTTACAGATTTGCTGCTGCTGCTGCTACAGTTTATGAAATTCCTAAGAATCTGAGTGTCGTAAATGAAAATAAAATATAAAATAATGAAGAAAAATATATATGAACACATCGTTATTTTGAGTTACTTATATCACTAAACTAAAAATTAAATATATTTATGAGACTGTTCTCCATAACTTTAGTACTTCATTCCCTGACGAGATTCCAATTATGCATGCATTTCATATCGAATTTTGAAGTCGAATAGAAAAAAAATATATCATAAAAATTCTGTTTATTGGCAAATCGCGATAAAAATCTTGATAAATTTTTTCTACATACATTCTATAAATTTTCAGATTACTTAGAAGTAGAACAGTTACGTATTTCAATAAAAAGCATTTGCATGAAATTAAAATTAAATATAGGCTGATGCATAATAAATTTCTTAACATTTAACAAGATTTTTAGGAACATTTCGGCATAATAATCAGCGTATTTAATTTATAAGGACTGGATTCATCAAGACGGGACTTATTTTTCTTGACCACGTGGCTTATGGTTTAGACGTGCTTTCGCGATTACTGGGAATATGAAGGTCTCTCAGCGTATGCTCTCCTATTCTGAGGCTAAAACGAGACCCAATCTATAACAAATTTAATTGGTATGAAATTTGCGAAAGACACGATCTCCCAATGGTCACGTTTAGTAGAGATATTTGCATTCAAAGAGGAGAAAACGCAAATTAAAGCTGACTCTTTCTAAATTTACCTGATTTTTCTCCTCTTCGGATGCAAGTATCTCTGCGAAACGGGCATATTGCGAGATTACATCTTTTGCAAAGTTCACGCAAGCGACACATCAGCATCGGCACGAAAAGATATTTGTATCCAAAAAAGGAGAAATTATCGCGCAGTAAATTTGGAAAGTGTACAATTTGTCGACTTTAAGGCACATTTTCTCCTCTTGGGATGCAAATATCTGGGCCAAACGTGCCCATTGGGAGATCGGGTCTTTTACAAATTTCATACTAGTTGAATTTGCCATCGATTGAGATTAGTTTGACCCTCAAAATCTGAGAGCATACGTTGGGCGATCCCCATCGTGGGTGGGGAGCGTCGTTGAACACGGTTATCTTCATCATCCTTGCCATCTTCCTCGTCCCAGCGTCGTTGCAAGCCAGGCATGGGTGCACTCGCCGCGGTGGGTTGACCATATCCGGTGGCTTTCATGTAGGACGATGATGACGCCTCATCAGCCTTCTTATTCTCCCGATAAGAATTCCAAATCAGGCGAGTCGAATCTTCCGGATCTTTCACCCAATTTCTAGGTGGGGGGAAATCTTCAATGTCCCCAATCTGAAAAAGGAACCCAGAACATTTTAAAGCATGCAATAAACCGAAATTTCATTATTTTTCTTGATTTTTTTAAGCTCTGCTAACTTCGTAAAGGGACGGCCGTCTGTTTACAGGCTTCAGTTGAGACTTGTCTACTTGAAAAAAAGCTGATGTCGACTGTGAACTGGGGCCGCTCTTAGAATCAGACAGATTTCCATTCCTGGTCAACTTTGACTTTGTGTCGGAGCAAGGATTGACCTGAAATGAGTTTAACAGTGATCACATTTACATGATTTCACTTCGACTGCTAACCCTGTTAAAAAATGAACTCACCGAAGTCTCGAGTTCATCGGGGAGAAATTCTGGAGGAAAAGGTGAGGCCTTGTCGGCACAGCTGGACGTTTCATCCCCCTTGGACACCGAACCATGTCCCCTTTTCTTCCCCGACATGGCCACTCCAGGCCCGGTTAATGGGGGCATCAAAGCCAACATATTTCTCTCCGGAGTGGTGCGAACGACGGGACGAGTGGTCAGTTCCCCGGTTAAAATACCAACAATATCCTCCGAGTCTTGCGGAATGTCGACGGGATTTGGAACAGTGTCGGATGTGGAGGTAGAAGCATTTGTTAGCCGTTGCAGAATTTCAGAAAATTCTGAAGATCTTTGACGGGTTGGGCGCGGTGGAGATGCCAGGCCGGGGGGCAACAAGGATGAAATAGACACCCCCAAACTACTCAAGGAAAACGGATCGAAATTGGAGCTTGCCCTGAAAAGAACAAACCAATTAAATCAGTCAGTTAAATATTCATTATTGATTTAAAAACATGACAGCCTGTCATTGACAGGTATGATGGATTTCCATTGGAAATTTCCATTGCTCAGTACTTGGAATTGTCATCCTATTTAGAGATCCAGAATTACAAGTATTTTACTAAAATGTATATACCTTATCCTTGCAATATTTTGAACCTTATCAAAACTCGGATAGATTAGATTCTGATGCGATTTGCAAAGTTTGTCACCTCTCATTTAAAACTTGATAAGTTTACAGACGACCATGACCTACCGTTCTGTCCTTCTCTCCACGACCATCCCACGACCCTCTTGATTGTTTAGGGCGGATGCAGCCCGTTCAGCGGTCATGTCCATCTTGAGCCATTTGCACTTTCCCGAAGAAGGGGCCGAGGACGGGGGACTTATTGGGTCAGAAGAAACACCTTGCTCATTGTTTCGTTTCATTTTTTAACTAATTAATTGATTCTACTTTAATACGACAAAATACTGATTGTAAGATCTATCACAAAAATGAGATCAAAAACTTTTGAAAACAATCAACTCGTCCGTCGACTGGCTGACTATTTAAAGTTGATAATGAGAACTACTCTATCTTGACTCAAATTATTACTAGGACATGATAAATTCAACTAGTCTACTAAAACTTAGAAAATAAGATTTTGCGAATCACATAATTAATTAATTGAGCCGTTCCTTTTCCAGCCGGTCGATGGATCAGCCAGCCTCGATCTCCGCTCAACTTTTTCCAAATTATTTTCTTCTCAACGCCACGGAAACAAGGCTCGCTCGTCTTGAAATCTCAATTTCTTCATTTAACTAATTCCACCACGGAACAGTTGATGGCGACAATTTACTAATTAATAAGTACAATAAAATGATGCACTATTATGTTATTATAAATATATGTATGCATCATCATCACACTTAATTAATCAACTAATTAATTACTTATATCAACTTTAATAAGTACGAGTATAATATTAAATTATGTAGTAATTAGACACTTATGCTTTCTTCTGAGATCATTCAATTTTAATTTATGAGTAATATCACATACATTTCCAGATAACCTTTACATGCATAATATAATTCAATGTTTAGCTTGATATGATACATATATGTTTCGTACTCTGTTCGGATTTTGTATCATTATAAATATTTGGCCTACTACAATTAGGGACACTATAAAATTTGAATTAGCATATTTGAGGAGAACACTTATCATGAGATCAGGATTACTGGTTAAAAAGTAAAGTAAAGACCATTGATCTTTTCATTTAAAATATACATATTTCTCGTTACTGATGATAAAATACATGTCTGTTCAGCTTTACTTTTTCCTAATCTGTTTTTGCACTTGTATCATTATAATTATTACATCGATCTTAGTGGGACTAGAGTTTATGTTAATTAATTCGGTTAAAAAAAGAGAACACTATTAAATGTGACCAGCATGACATGCAAATGACATGCAAATGACAGCAAATCATGACTAAAAATGGAAGCGATCACAATAGAAAATCTGACATATCACAAAGAAACAAAGAATTTTCGATAATCACGATAAGTAGATAACCCCATGACGTCGTTAACCCTTCGCAGGGAAGTAGTGAGCTCGTTCCAAACGTGCCATCAATCGTTCCATCTCCCAAACGAGGATCATCAACCTGGTCGTCAGGAGCTGCAGGTTCAGCAAAGTGGTGTTCGAGTAGATCTACATATATACGACCACAAATTATTAGCCGGTTATCTCAAAAATTATATTATTTACCACTAAAAATTGTTGACCTGCACTTACAATGTTAACAAACTTCGAATATTCTGGGATTCGGTGGCCTTGATACGTTCCCAGGCGGCGGAGTAGACCAAAATTTACCTGGCTTGGGAGAGGAACCACGGTTCTTTTGAAGACCCACTTCGGGACGACGAGTCGGGGGGAGTTTGTGAGGTTGAACATTTTATGTAGCGGATTTGAGGAAATGAATTACTGAGTAATGAATTGTTGAAATTATTTAAAAATTTGGAAGGAGAGGAGGACGAGCAATACGGATAGTTGATCGAATGGAGTGAACTTTGGGAATGAAAAGCAACTTTGGGCTGTTGTTGATTTGACGACGGATTTCCAAATTTTCCATGGAAACGCGTCTTAGACTTTTTTGAAAATCCACTTTAGATTATTCTGGAAACTTATTCTACCTTATGGCACTCTCGCTCTTTACATATATGAGTTTTTTAAATTGATGTCATGTCATGTTCGATTTTTGATTTCTTGGTGTGCTTGAAACAATGAAAATGTGTGGATAAGGGCTTATAATTAGCAGAGATAACCCACAACACTGTATGAAAATTATTACCGGAATATCAAAAATTGCATGAATTGAGGGCACAATAATATTACGTACATAAATCATCATTTAAATCCTGTCTTTATTTAATTTTCGTTACACAATAAGTAGAAATGTCAGATCAGACTACGAGTAAAAATAATGAGCATCATAAAATTTGGCGTTGCGGAGGAATCTTGAGATGATTTGCATATTCGTAATCTTGACTAGATTTATAAGGAGGGTTTTGTGGAGGAGGGGGGCGTAGTAGTTCTTGGTCCATGGGGAAGGGTGGGTTGAGCCCGATTTGCGAGAGGACGTCGACCCAGAGGATCTTGGCGCTGCCCAGACAAACGTTCCCCTTGTAAAAGACGGCCACCTGTCCGGGCGTCACGGCGCGAGTGGGGATGGACAGCCACACTTTGAGCGCCACCGTCGACGAGGGGGCGGACGACGACGACGAGGGGGACACTTTGTACAGCAGGGCGGGCGTGGTCCACTCCGTGTGTTGGAATTTGAACATGCACCTGCAACGTGACGAAATTGTTAACGTAAGACTCGATGATTCATCCTCAAAATCAATACATTTTTAATCAATTCCTGCCTTTGGGAACTTATTTTAAAATTCTGGTCGATAAATTTGTAGACCAGGTCGTTCCCAATTTTCTAAAAATTTACACTTCAGCTGTTGAACGAGGAGATCTCAAGTTCAACAGAGCAGAGAATGGAGTTCCAATTCCAATGGAGTTCCAGAGAATGGAATTCAGAGTTTCCCTATCTTTTGAATCGGGCCAAAATTTCCGGAGACAATGTTAATAAAATTTAGGAAGCCCTGAAGATCCGCACCAGAATTTTTACCTAACCCAAGAGATAGGAAAACTTATGGAAATTTTGATAACTTTGGTATGCTAATTGTCTAGCGATTTCCGGGCATTGTGGTCAAGTCGTACGTACAGGAAGGGTTCGTCTTCTCGTAAAGTGGGGACGTCGCAAATCCAGTGGGGCTCCTCGGCCAGGAAGACGCTCGAGAAGAGGGCGGGATGGTCGTGGTCGTCAACGGCGTAAATCGTCTGGGAGGCGGGGTCCCTCGCGGCCACGAACCAGGGGTGCTTCCCCCCCGCAATTCGACACCGCTGCCCAATCGTGTAGTGGTGGACGCCGTTGTGCGATCTGTAAATTGGATTTATTTAGTCCAAGATAAGGTGAATTTAGTTTATTTAATAAAGAATGGACGTCTCCCAGCGTATGTTTTCCGATTTTGGCCAAATTAGTGTCAATCGATGACAATTTGATTTGGTTAGTATGAAATTTGCGAAAGACGTGATCTCCCAATAGGCACGTATAGAGGAGATATTTGCATCCAAAGAGGAAAGAACGTGTCCTAAAGTTGTCAAATTTTACACTTTCTAAATTTACTGGGTGGTTTCTCCTCTTTGGATGCACACATCTCCTCTATACCTGCCCATTGGGAGACCGGATCTTTGACAAATTCCATACAATTGCTTAAATTTGTGACTGATTGACACTAATTCCATCAAAATCGGAGAGCACCCGCAGGGAGACGTCCGTCGTTAGTCTATTCAAAATACCCGATCACGTGTCCCTTAATCAAATCGATGAAGGGTCCCGGCCGATGAGGGATGTATTCAGAAATGAAATCGGTGAAGGATCGGTTCCCTGAATTTACATACATTACTTCGAATTAAGAAACATAATGCTTATCTTCTATTAAAGTCCCTGTCCTCACCGATAAAACAGATTCCGACCGAGTCCCTTTTCTTGGCCAGGGTCTCCATCCCGAATTCATTCGCTAGTCGCCGCACCTGCGACTTGTACATGTCGCCCAACGGAAACAGCGTGGCTTGCAACGCCTCCTGGTGAATCCCGCTGAGAAAAAGGGTCTGGTCTTTCGTGGCGTCAAGAGCACGGAGGAGTCGAACTCGTCCCCTGCCCCCCATTTCCACCACGTCGTCGTCGGCGTCGGTTTGAGCGTAGTGACCCGTCGCGATGCAGTCCGCTCCCCAGACTCGTTTCGCGTAGTTGAAAAAGGACCCGAATTTCAAGTAGCGGTTGCAAAGAATGTCCGGATTTGGGGTGAAACCACGTTCGTAGTCGGACAAAAGGGTGGAAAACACGTCGTTCCAATAATCCTTGACGAAAGAGACCTGAATAAAAGTATGAGGAGGAATTAACTTATAAGTTTAACTTAGGATTCAATAATTCATCATCAAAATCAACATATTTTTAATTATTTTTCGGCTCTGGGAATGTATTTTAAAATTCTGGATTACAAATTTGCAGTCGGTAAGATGATTAATGGAATAGTGGTAGAGCTTTTAACCCAGTTTAGATAACTTCCAGTTTTTCTGAAGGCTTCTTAAACCTGAGATCTCCAAAAAGTGTCAAAATCGGGATTGTACGTATATTTCTAAAAATTGGGAACCCCCTCCTCTACAAATTTGTCATCCAGAATTTTAAAATAAGTTCCCAGAGCCATGAAATAATTAAAATTTTGCTGATTAATAAGTTATCAATTACGTTAAGGTACAAGATCAGTATTTTTCTAGTAAAATGTCACTCACTCACCGTCGTGAAAGGTATTCCCAAAATGTCGCAGGCTTCTCGAGCATCTCGAGCATCTTGGTCTCGCACCTTTCGACACTGACCGGACTCGTCCTGCTCGTCCCAGTTCTGCATGTGCACTCCGATCAGGTCGACCTTGTGGGGACCGTAGCGCTTTTGCAGCAGAGCCGCCGCCACGGCCGAGTCGACACCGCCGGAAAGCGCGATCACGATGCGGCGAATGTTGGATGACGACATGTCTTAAGAGCCCTGGAATTTAGTAGTATGTTAATAATTACTTAATGCAAATGAGATGAAAATTAATAACACAACTCACAATTTAATACCTCACAAGAACAATCTCAGAAACACTGTATGTTCGTTTACTATTTATTCATTGTATGCGACTCAGCTTTTATTATTTGACGACATCTCTTACGACCCCTGGAATTTAATGATCCGTTAATAATTAATTAATGCAAATGACATGAAAATTATGAACACAAGGAATTGCATACCTCAAAAGAACAATCTCAAAAGCATTTGTTCGTGTTAGTGATTCAGCTTTGATATGACTTAATTACCATTAAACGTTCAGAAGTTAACTAATAATAGTCATAGTTCGTGTTAATTAAACTAACTGCACAATTTAAAAATTAAGGATATTTAATTTAGTATTTTTAACTTTCATCTCTAACTCAAAACACGTGGACGGTGTGGATTCCTTTCCGCGACGAAAAACCAAACCGCCTCAAACCGGCAGCTGATTCGTTCTGATCTGATACCAAAAAATACCGACCGGTTAATTAACTAACCGGCTTTAATAATAATTAACATTCCATCAATATTCAATTAGTACAAATTCGTGCTCAGGATTTATGAGCCTCATTTCCGGAATTTAGTTTATTTTTTACAGCAAATAAATCTCATATCCAGTACTTTTCATTTCCGAATTGGAAATTCCAACTTGAAGTAAATTACTTAATTTAATTACAAATTAAAAACATGGCCTCGTCGTCCTCCTCCTCTTGTTCGAATTCGAAATCAGTGTTGTTCGTTTGTTTGGGTGAGTTGAATTATATTTTTCGTCTTGTTATCTAAAATTTACAAGTTTATATCATAAATTATGATTGGTAATTGTGGTACTTTAAAAATTTACCTTAAAATTGGTAATTAAAATCACCCTCTCGTTCTTCAGGGAACATTTGTCGCTCGCCCATCGCGGAGGCGGTGTTTCGTCACCTTATCTCCAAACGTGGCGTTGCGTCAGAGTGGACGGTCGACTCGTGCGGAACGATTGGTTATCATACCGGCAAGAATCCGGAAGTCAGGGCCAGAAAAGTTTTGAAAGATCGTGGCCTGACAGATTACGAGCATCAGGCGAGAATTGTAAGTTTCATAAGCACAAATTTCATAACAAAATTAATGTTATCGTTGGCAATTAATGCACATAATCTCGTGTCAGATCAAGAAAGCTGACTTTGAGAAGTTCGCCTACATTATTGGCATGGATTTGGATAACGTGTTGGACTTGAAGCGCATCCAGCCGCCCGGAAGCAAGGCCAAGATTCATCGATTGGGCGAATTCGATAAACACGCTCTCGCAGGCGGAGAAGTCAAGGAAGTTCGGGATCCATACTATGTCAGTTCCCAGAAATCATTTAAATTTAACTGAGGATTCATTGACTAATTGTCAAAATCAACACATTTTTAGTCATTTGTAAGCTCTGGGAATGTATTTTAAAATTCTGGACGACAAATTTGTAGAGCAGGGAGTTCCCATTTTTCAAAAAATATGCACTCCAGATTTTAACACTTTTTGGTGGAGGAGATCTCAAGTTTAAGAAGCCTTTAGAAAATTGGACCTCGTCGAAACTTGCCTAAAAAAACTTATCGCCATTCTATTAATCAACTCACTGACTGCAAATTCGTCGCCCAGAAATCTAAAATAAATTCCCAGAGACGATTAGTCATTAAAAATGTTGCCAGTTTATTTGTATGCAAATATTTGATGACACACTGATTAATTTCTCAGCATAATTCACTATTATCCTATTAGTAATTCATGTTTTAATTGTGGATAATTGCAGGATGACGATGCCGAAGGATTTTACGTCTGTTACGACCAGTGTATGGAAGCGTGTAAAGGTTTCCTGGATAATTTCGAGAAACCAAAACCACATCAAGAAGCAAAGGAATGATCTGAAACGATTTAACTCTAATTAAACAAATTGCAATTAATAATCACCGCATTCTTGTTACATTTTCCATAAGAAATTAACCACATTAAGGCAAACTTTGTTATTTATCTTTGAAAAATATAATAAACATGGTTATGAATACTTGTTAAATTAACCTACTTAACTTCAAAATGACCATTATTCATCGGCTCTGGGAATTTATTTTATAATTAAAATTAAATTAAATCTTCGTTAAGATAAGCGTTACGATAAGATATGTGATGAATCATTGATCAGCCCTACGTTAATTTTGTAACGACCAGCTTATTACTTAATTACGCGTCATCCTTCTTCTTCCAGATCAAATATGCTGTTACTTAAAAACTCATGAAAATAGTTTTGCAATTTACTTGATGAGATTAATAAAACAAAATTAATTTGCGACATGGGAATCTCGTTGAGTTTCAGTAAACCACTATTTTCGTCTCATGCAATCTGTAAACAAGCCAAACTTTTATGGATAACTCGTCGACTGCGGTTTAGTATAGGTAACCACTTATCGATATGGGACCATGTGTTACATCAATCAAATTGATAAGCTGGACAAGAATTTGTGTCTCCTTTTGCGCGGAAATGCTTATTACCTTCGTAATTAATTGGCAAAGATCAAATTATGCTGTTAGATACTTAAAAACACATGAAAATAGTCATTCAAATTTTGCAATTCACGTGACAAGATGCATATTAAATCGAAATTAATTTGCAACATGAGAATCTCGTCGAGTTTCAGTAACACTGTTTTCGTCTCATGTAATCTGCAAACAAGCCAAACTTTTATTGATAAGACGCCCACAAAGGGGTGACACACTTGTCACTTGGTTTATCCTCGTTTATTAATGAAATGCCGTAACAAAAGGTGACATGAAGGAGGCGATGCTGCGTCGGTGCGTCGTTAATCCGCTCTTTAATTGCAGAGGGGAGAGAAGAAGGGTTAAATTATGTAATGAAGATGATTATGAATCAGTTTTAATTGCGAATTAACGCAACACGGTGGTCGTCTCATCAGAACGACTTCAATTTCTCGAGTACCGTGTCGCATTTCGTGTCAATTTGTACATAAACTTGGCTCAATATGTTTAATGCTTAACCAAAACCACCCACAAAACTAAACCAGACGCAAAGAGAGTGAAATGGAAAATCAACACAATTATAGCGGATCGATTCGACCACGAGAAACCCATATTTTTTGGGTAGACGCTAGAACGTGGTGTCCTGTGTGACTGACTGCAGTGGTCATAAACTTGGTCACAAACTTGGTCATTTTCCTACTCGTAATGAATGTCTTTCAGCGTGTACCCCCCGATTTTCATTAAACGAAGAAGGTGAAGAAGAAGAAGTTGTCCCACTTTTTCAAAAATACATTCCGTTGCGAGTTTTAAAAAAATATACACTCCGAATTGTTACACTTTGTGAAGTAGGAGTTTTAGAAAGTTTCAAGTTTTAGAAATATACTTTGTTTTCCCGTTTTTTTAAAAGTATTTTAACAGCGATTTCCGTCTTAAATGTATCCAATTCACTTTTTACTCTAGAATTATTGATTAATTAATAAAGTAATTAATGGATCAGTTAATTAAAAGCAAGGACAAGCTTGGACAGGCTTGGACAAGGACCATGATGGTATAGTTATCTCATTTTCGTCTCATAATCTCCGTCTCAAATCCAATCCATTCATTCTCTCCAGTCCACACTCAAAAAAGTCAAAAATCAAACCCCACGAATCACACGAATCTTGTTTACTCTGTGAAGAACTTTTTACTCTCGGATTATTTAACTAATTACTTAATTGATCAGTTAATTAAAACTTAATCCCATCTAGACATGGGCCACTATGGTATTGCTCATGTTCGTCTCAAACTCCCCAAAATCTCAAATTCCCCGTCTCAAAATTCCCATCCCAAAATTTCTTCTCAAACTCACCAAAATCTCGAAATCTCAAATTCCCCGTCTCAAAATTTCCATCCCAAAATTTCGTCTCAAACTACCCAAAATCTCGAAATCTCAAATTCCCCGTCTCAAAATTTCCATCCCAAAATTTCGTCTTAAACTCCCCAAATTCTCAAATTCCCCGTCTCAAAATTCCCATCCCAAAATTTCGTCTCAAACTCCCTAAAATCTCAAATTCCCCGTTTCAAATCCAATCCATTCATGTGCGATGCCCCAAAATTCTCGCATTTTTCCATCCAAAGAGTCAAACCCGACGAATCAGGCGATTCTTGTATTTTTGACTTTCTTTCATCTCACTCTGGTCGTTGACGGAGTGGCCGTGGCCGCGATGAAAAGAGCAAAACCGGCAACTGATTCCTTCTGATCTGTACTCCGACCGATTAATTTTCCGGGTTTAATAATAATTAACAATTCATTAATTACCATTCCATTAATAATTAATTAATACAAATTCGTTCTCAAAGTTCGAAGCCACATTTTTAGAATTCAGTTCATTCTACCCAGCAATTCAATCTCACCTTATTTCACTTCAGCCAATAGTAGTTTCCAATTTAAAGTAAGTAAGATTCACTTAATTACCAATTAAAATAATGGCCTCCGCGTCGTCATCGTCATCTTCGTCTTCGTCATCTTCAAGCAAGGCCCTATGGCTCAGAGGTACGAGGGTAGGATTGTCACCACGCAGTCACACGTTCGATTCCTCTGGCCGGGAAGCTATTGCTAATCCTACTCGGCTCGGTGTTAGTACGGGGTAGGTGCTGTCTCGTGACAGGGTGAGCCCAGCCATACGGAATGGCAATGTCACTGTGTACAGCCCCTAGCAGAGTCCGTTCTCTGTGGGGATGAGACAACTTGCTACGAAATTATGGCAAGAAGTCGCCATCTGAGGCTGAAAAGCAGAGAAATCTGAGTCCTGGCGATGTAAAACTGTCACATTTTAACATTTTAACATTTTTTTCGTCAACTTCAAAATCCGTACTTTTCGTGGATTTGCGTAAGTTCAATTATATTTTCCTTCTCTTTAAACCATTCATGATTCAAAATTTTCAACCTTACATCATAAATTATGCCTGATAACTAAAAATTTACCATAAAATTTCTAATAAAAGACATCCCCTCGTTTTTCAGGGAATATTTGCTTCTCGCCAATGGCGGAGGCAGTCTTCCGTCGCCTTATCGCTGCCCGTGGCGTCGCGGCGGACTGGACTGTCGACTCTTGCGGTAGGATTGACCTTCATGCCGGAGAAAGTCTGGAACCAAGGGCTCGAAAGGTTCTGAAAGAGAGTGGCCTCGCGGAGTACGAGCACAAAGCGAGGGTGGTAAGTTTTAAGCACAATTAAGAAAATTATGATCACAGTTAACAACTCATCTCGTTTCAGATAAGAAATGCTGACCTCGATAAGTTCGACTACATGATTGGTTTGGAATTAGACGACGTTTTGGAACTCGAGTACTACTCTAGGGCATCGGACCCAGGTCAGGATTCATCTGCTGAGTGAATTTGACGGGATAGTAGTTCCCTTCGGAGGAAAGCGCAAGGAAGCTGAAGACCCGTTCCATGTAACAGTTCCCTAATTCCATTAATGCAGGACTGGATAACTGATCGTCAAAATCCGCACATTTTTCCCCTAATTTATTTTAAAATTCTGAACCATGAAATTGTACGAGCGAGTTGTTGTTGTCAATTGAAAGAAAATATGCCCTCCAGATTCTGAAGGAGGACATCCCAAAGTTAAGAAGGCTTCAAAAAAATCATCCAAACTAGCTGAAAGAACGCAACGTGATTCCATTAATCAACAATGAGTACAAATTTGTGGTTCAGAATTTTAAAATAAATTCCCACACCGAGTTTTGAAATGTTTTAATTTTGAGGGTTTTGTTGATAAGTAATCCAGTCCTGCGTTATGTAAATGTTGCCAGCTAATTAAGTTTTTTTTTGTATTTGGTGACACGCTGATTAGTTTCTTAGCATAAGGACAATTATCTTATTAATAATTCATTTTTTAATTGTTGTTAACTGCAGGAGAACGACGACAGGAGTTTTTATGCCTGTTACGATCTGTGCCTGGACGCTTGCAAAGGGTATTTACATTAGAAAAATATATGTATTTAATACACAAAAAAGTTTAATAGATGAAGAAATAGAGATGAATACTTATTAAATTAACGTACTTAATTTTAAAATGATCAGCTTATTGTCATCTTTCATCATCCACATTTGTAATCATTTAAGTATCGGCTTTGTAAATTTATTTTACAGTTAAATTAAAGTAAATTTTAATTAAGATAATATTAATTAAGATAATTTTAATTAAGATTCTGAAGCCTTCTTAAACTTTTGAGATCTCCTCCTTCGGAAAGTGTCAAAATCTGGAATGTTTGCAATGAATGCAATGTTTTTTAAGATAATTTGGCAACGACGACCTGCTTTACAAATTCGTCGTTCAGAATTTCGAAATAAATTCTCAGATCCGGGAAATGATAAAAAGCGTGCTGATTAAGCAATAAACAGTAAACAATTTCAGCGACTTTTGTGGTGACGAGTCATACATTAATTTTGTAGTGACCAGTATATTACTTAATTACACTTTATCTTTCCTCCAGATCAAATTATGATGTTAGTTAAAAAAAATCATGAAAATAGTTTCGCAATTCAAGTGATGAGATGCGTAATAAAACGAAATTAATTTGCAACATGGGAATCTCGTTGAGTTTCAGTAACACTGTTTTCGTCTCATGTAATCTGCAAACAAGCCAAACTTTTATTGATAAGACGCCCACAAAGGGGTGACACACTTGTCACTTGGTTTATCCTCGTTTATTAATGAATGCCGTAACAAAAGGTGACATGAAGGAGGCGATGCTGCGTCGATGCGTCGTTAATCCGCTCTTTAATTGCAGAGGGGAGAGAAGAAGGGGTAAATTGTGTAATGAAGATGATTATGAATCAGTTTTAATGGGGAATTAACACAACACGGTGGTCGCCTCATCAGAATGACTTCAATTTCTCGAGTACCGTGTCGCATTTCGTGTCAATTTGTACATAAACTTGGATCCATATAATTTAATATTTAACCCAAACCACCACGTGAAATGGAAGGTGAACACAATTACAGCGGATCGATTTGACCAGGATAAACCTTGATTTTTTGGGGGGGAGGGGGGACACGTTACTAGCTGGTCGACGCTTGAACGTCGCGTCGTGTGTGACTGACTGTGGTCACAACTGGTCATAAACATGATCGCTTTTCTGTTCAATTTTGAAATTCGGCAAGAATTTGTTGTCCAACTTTTTGAAAAATACTTTCCCTTTTCTGCTAATCTCAAACTTTACCCATGTCAAATATTGACCTCCTTATATCCACCCACTTTCCATACTTGCAGACAAATAATGAATGAAAACGTGGTACATACACGTATAATGTAAATATGTAAAGTGCGAAATGTGCAGTTCCAAATGCTATACCATTGCCAATTATTTGCATAATTATTTGCATTGTGTAATGAAATCGAGTCAGTCATGTGTGACTGACACATACGAACAAAGTCGGTTTCATGCAAAACTGCATGAGTTGAATCATGCTCACCAAATAACATCTTCTGTTTGGTTATTATTCCTGCAAAAATGTGCAGAATTGAGTACATACTTATTTCGCAAGTATTAAATAAGTGAGCAAAGATAAAGAAGCCAAGACTTGTGGTCGACCGACGAGATGGATGGACGAGTAAGTGACGAGATTTGCAAAACTGCGATTCGAATTTGCATCCACGTGATCATCACCTCTTCTTTATCACCGCACGTTGTTCTTGAGCTGACCAGACACACAATAACGCCACGCTGAATGTAGATAAGAAGAAAGGAAAATGAATTACGTAACAAGAAAGAAAGAATGTTTTTGATTCTTGAGAATGGAATCCATGCGATGAACGATTCCGATCAGGAATGAGTGGTCAGCAAGGCGTGAAACATTGTGGCGTCGAGTTTTTCTCAATATTTATATTCACACGTAACATATTAAAAACATTGAAAATTGTACATTTTATAAAAATGGATCAATTTGTTCACATGATCCACAAAATGTGATCCATGAGGTATTCTGTGGACCAAGAAAACTACCAAAATAGACCCTTTTATAAACAAAAATCGGCCATAAAACTGGTACAAAATCAGCCAAAAACAAGAGCAAGAAAGGAAAATGGGTATGTAACCAGAAAGTAAAATGTTTGAATCCATGCAATGAACGATGCTAATCAGGAATGAGTGGTCAACAAGCCGTGAAACATTGTCGCGTCAGTTTTTCAACTTTCTGTTTATTTTTATTCCTGTATAATCTTTATAAAAATGATTTTTACTCATTTAAAATGCAAATCTTAATCGATCAGGTTGCATATTGATCCACTTTTGGATTCTTTCCATCTTCTCATCTATGGAACAGAAGAAAAATAATTAAAATATAATTTTTCTTTGCAAAAAAGTGGTACAAAATCAGCCAAAAATAAAAAAAAAACCACACCCACCCAGTGAAAACTCCTCCACCACTGGGGCACGATATTCTTCTTCCTCCTCCTCACCACCATTCCCATTCTGCGATGCAGACGGCATGTTGAATACGGCCGAGTCCACCGAGGATATCGTCCCCTCCGAGGGGGAAGAATCGTCCGACGTCCACGTCACCACCTCCTCTGTCGGCGTCACATCCTCTTTCCTACCATTTCGAAAGATAATTATTACGACGAGGTAAAGTAAAATTAACCATCTCGTATTTGCGAGGTCTAATTTATTGAAACTTGATAAGTTTCCAGGAGACCATGCATGATGATAACCTACCCTTCGATCCCTACAGCGACGGAAGAGGGATTTGAAGACCAATAAGAAGCCGGTCGGGACGAGGAAGAAGTCGTGCGACGTGACCACGAAGACGACGACGACGAAGAAGATGAAGTAATTTCCTCTTCTGAAAGGTCCTCTTTTGAAAATATGGCGATTACCGGAGGGTCGATGGGGAGCACCTCATCATCTCCAGAGAAGACCAAATCTCCTTGATTAGTCCACTTCATGGTGTAATCCTATTTGAATATCAAATATGAAAATTTGTCCAAATGAGGTCAAAAGATTTGGAAATTTATAATTAATTAACTCGTCTCTTGACTGGCTAGCTATTTAATATAAAATTAACAGTACTCTACCTTGACTAGAATTATGCTGGATCGTGATAATATTAGTAAATAAGAAATATTTGTAGAGAACTTCAAGATATAATGTTTTTAGAATTAAACGGCGATTCTGACAAAAAATTGCATTTTATTTTTCAGCAATCCGGCCGCCGCTGTCTGCACTCCGCCAGTTGTCTCGCCACCCCGAATTTTGATAACCGAATTCCACCAGAGATGAGGACGATTTACTAATTAATGACTAATTTATGACGAAAAGTTAAATATGATGATAAGCATGGGAGAAATAATGCATTCTTCGAATCTATGCAAGTATTACCACGTGCTTCTCTGGGATGAGAAAAACATGTGGAAGTCCGTATAATTTGAGAGTAATAATTAATTAGTAACAATTACATAATTAATGACAATAATTATATGCGTTTGAATTTCGAAATGTTTACAAATTTATTTTCCACATTGGCAAATTTATTAAATTAACTGTTGCTCGATCTGTTTCATGCTGAAGTGTAATGTGCAAATCGTCTCAAAAATTCGTACGGAATCCAAGTCTGACAAAGGTTTAAGACATGCTTATTACTTAATTAGTGATATGTAAATGATTAATTGTTTGTTAATCATTTGTCAATTTCGAAATGTTACAAATTAATTTCATTAACAAATCTATTTAATGCAAAAGTTAATGTAAAACGGTGTAGAAAACCAGTGTGGAGTCAAAGTCTTACAAATTCTCGAAAAAGTGAGCAAAACCATGAAATCGCTGATTATTCGGTCTCACAATTATTTCACGTTTTAAATACTTGAATAAATCAGAACAATGTCCAACATCGGGAATTATTTGCATCAATTTAATATGACAATGTCGCAAACTTTGGCGTAACAAAGTGATAAATTTATTAGGCAAGGTCGTCGTCGTCGAGTTTAATAATTAAAACTGCTAAAATTTTGACAACTTATTTAGTTCACTTGATCTGACCGTCGCAATAAATAAATCAATCTTTTGCAAAGATTTATTTATTATGGAATGACGGAAAACGGAGTACAAGGTAACAAACATGGCGTCATGCGACGCCACAGAAATGAAGTCTTTACACGCATAAATCCTCCTCAGAAATATTTTGTGCAGGCACAACGAGCTCAATTAATTACGAATAAATAGAACCCTCGGTGGACATGGGACTCTAATTTGCATAATACACTTCATTAATTGCGAATCTAATGTGTCAAAATACACCACATTTTTCAAGGGTTTGAATTTCCAGAGTTGTCACACCCACAAAAATACGAAAATCTACACCGAGAAGGCAGCAGTCAGTCTAAAATACAAATACGGGTTTAGTGAAGAAATTGACTTTTTATTCCTGTAAAATGCATTGTTTTCGCGATTGTTTGTACTTAAATAAAGTATTTTAACAGGGATAAAAAGTTGCCAAAATTTCCGTCTTAAGCGCATTCAATTCACTTTTTACTCATGATTTGTTCAGTTAATTAAAAGCTTGGAGGAGGACCAACACGGGTATAATACGGGCAGAAGGACCCCTCTCCGATCGGGGAATGTGATACGTCAAAATTTCGGGTTTTTCATGCTGATCAAGAATATATAAATTTTTTGACCGGCAAATGTATATTAAGGTCACAAAAAAAGGTCAAAGGTCAAAATTTTTTATTGCATTTTTGGACGTTTCAGGGCATTCTAAAACTTTGTCTCACTTTTCCCCATGGTGCGAATTTTTTTTGGGGTGACATGAGATTTCTAGTTTTTGTTGTCGAATGTCGAATGTCTATCATTTTTCTGCAAAGTGTAAAATTTTTGGGGCACTATGAGATTTGGGGCTAAGTGGATCATTGATTATCGTAATTTTGCCCAATATTGGGGTATTGTTCGTTTTTAAGCGAGCGAAGCGAGCAGGTTAGGTTAGATATACTAGGTACGCGGAAAGCGTTGCTATTCCAGCTAGCAATCCTAGCTAGCAGTCCTAGCTAGCAGTCCTAGCTAGCAAACCTAGCTAGAAGTCCTAGCTAGCAGTTCTACCTAGCAATCCTAGCTAGCAGTCCTAGCTAGCAGTCCTAGCTAGCAGTCCTAGCTAGCAATCCTAGCTAGCAGTCCTAGCTAGCAATCCTAGCTAGCAGTCCTAGCTAGCAGTCCTAGCTAGCAATCCTAGCTAGACACTAGAAATCTCATGTCACCCCAAAAAAATTCGCACCATGGGGAAAAGTGAGACAAAGTTTTAGAATGCCCTGAAACGTCCAAAAATGCAATAAAAAATTTTGACCTTTGACCTTTTTTTGTGACCTTAATATACATTTGCCGGTCAAAAAATTTATATATTCTTGATCAGCATGAAAAACCCGACATTTTGACGTATCACATTCCCCGATCGGAGAGGGGTCCTTCTGGCCTTATTGTTCCCCAACACGATGTTGTTATCTCATTTTCGTCTCAAATTCTCAAAATCTCAAATTCCCCGTCTCAAAATTCCCATCTCAAAAATCCCCGTCTCAAACCCAATCCATTCATACGCGTCACTGATTCTCACATTTTTCCCTGCTCACTCGTTCCGTGGCCAAAATCACTCTCGACGAATCAGCCCTGAATCTTGCTTACTTTGCGAAGAACTTTTTCTCTCTCGGATTATTTAACTAATTAATTGATCAGTTAAATTAAACACTTAATCCCATCTGGACATGGACCACGACCACGACATTGTTATTTGATTATCAAATTTCGTGTCGCCAAAATAAAGTTTTTGAGACGGAAATTTAGAGAATAAAATTGTGAGACGAAATTAATTGGGATAAAAATATCAATTGGACATTAATTTTACTGATGGGACACTTATAATTAAGCCAATTTCTGCACAAGTTAAGCACGATGGTTAACACAATTAATATGAGTAATGCAAGGAATGAATGAATCCTGCGTGAAAGATCGGTTTCTGATCGTCTCCAATTTTCTTACTTGATTTTTTAACGGATGTGTTAAATTCATTCCAGTATTTCCATTAAATTTGCATGAAAAATTGTTTATTTTTTTCAGATGTGCAAATTTTAGGTGTTATATTATGCAAAACTTTATTACGATGGGGTCCAGAATTTCAAAATAAATTCCCAATGCAGAGAATTGATTATGTAAGAATGTAGCGATTTTGGTGATTCCTCATCCAGTCCTACATTCAAGGAAGCAGCTTATTAATTTACATATTAAGGCACGCATGTCCTCCTCCGAAATATTTTGTGCAGTGACGTTAAGATTCATAAATTACGAATAAAAACTGTTGCACATTTCTTAAAGTCAAGTTTAGTGGGTTGACGATGGTCGATTGGAATTGTGAACTTGACACCATTTTTGACTTGGGCGCAGTGATTTCTGTTAGCGTGGCAGCGATATTTGGTGCCAAGGAATAGGACGTAGCACTGTCGTCGTCCATTAATTTTATTGTTGACCATGCAGTGATATGTTTAAACTGATTATTAGAGGAGCAGCAGTTGACGACAATAATGACGACCACGTGACACGCAAAGGTCACCCCACGCCATGACACCATCAATCATACTATTACCAGAATAAAAACCGTGGATTACTTCATTTTGCGTAAATTGGTTCTACGTTTTTTGCTTGTGACTTGAAATTAATTAATTGATTGGTTATCGGTGTCTCTCTTGCTAATTATTACTCAAACCCAGTGGTCACGGAAGCCGTCTGGGGACGTTAACATGTAGGTTAAGGGAAGAATGGTTAATATAAGGTGGGAATATGATAAATAGGGACATCAAACAACCGTAGGGACATTGTCCCCTCAAGCTTCCGCAGCCACTGCTGAAAACAATGTGCAAATTCTTTCAAATTTTGAACATTGCAACGAGAAAAAATTGTGTTATAATTTGCGGTTAAAACTTGACCAAAGTCTCCCACGTGTAAGCCCACGTTTCGCGTATGCACCACATTTTAACAATGCCGTAGGGACATCATTCCATTGTAGGACAGGGGAGGGACGGGTTTGTATAACCTGAGGACACCGACCAACCGTGGGGACAATGTCCCTCCGGCCCCTCAAGCTTCCGCGGTCACTGGTGTGCACTACGGAAAGTGAGAGGTTAGCTAAATACGCGAGGAAATAACAATGCCCAAATATTTTACGACGCTGATAACGCGATCATTTCCACGATACGAGCCAATCCTCGAGATCGATCTGAGATTCGAAAAAGTGCAACGACGAGAAACAATGAATCACGATCTAATTTTGCTTTTTGCATGCGTATGAAATTGGTGGAGGAAATCAATCATGCATTTCATTTAGCGTTGTGCATCTTAATTTAAATCGTTTGACAGTACGCAAGGGTAAATTAGGCGCTATTTTACTCACGAGGAATGGAAGTCTCCCAGCGTATGCTCTAGGATTTTGGACAAACGAGCATCAATCGATAATAAATTTGATTAGTATGAAATTTGCGATGCATGTATCTCCATAGTCCCATGTTTATAAAGAGACCAGAAATTTTGCAATGATTGCAAGTCCGTTTAATAATTGTTTAATAATTCTTTGTGATGTATGAAACTATAACGAAATTTGTATAATTGGTCAAAACTAGAATTAATAAAAAATTTGTAAATCAACAATTTAATTTCCAAACACAACAAGACAAAGCATGTCAAGAAGGAATACATAAGTTTAGAAATTCACTACTTTTTATAAAGTATTACATTTATACATATAAAATCTGGACCATTGAGTCAAAAAGATACGAAAAAATTGTAACAAAATCAATTCTTTCTCCGTAATTGATGAAAAATTTGTAAAAAAGATTATTGACAATTTGAAATATGCAAATCATACAATAAATAAATAATTATAAAAAAAGAATCATGTGTCGAGTCGACTCCTTCCATTTCCAAAAATCCTTGTCCATAAAAAAGCAGTCCATCAATTTCCGTTAATTTAATTTGAAGAAACTTGCTCCGTCGGGGTTTCCGATGATTCTCGAGCCTTGTCGATCCACGGGTTGTGAACATTTGGGAACATTCTTGCAATTTCGCCTGCTCTTGCAACAAGCGAGCCTGATGCCAAAGTTGCTTCAGTCGGGAGGTCCAGACGCCGCAAAGTTTTGCATACTTGAAATCCTGCATCGCCATCTTCTCCATGTCCTCCGAGGGGCAAAAATGCATGG